AAAAAAACGTGGATGCTTTATGCACGCGAATTATAAGAGATCCTGTATGTAAAAGTATTTAGAAGCGTATATCTTATTAAGTATTTCATGTGTTCGCTTCAACAGAACATGTTTGCTGATGAAATACAGAAGTGATAATTTGACTTTCTTGTATAGCTAGTACAACTAGCCTCGGTAACTTTATGATTTGAATTTTATCTGAAGATTATATCGCTTTATAAATATTTCTAATTTTAATGCTCCTACCGATAATGTTCATGAAACTTAAGTATAAGTGAATACACCTAAGATCAGTTAATGAGGTGTCTTTCATAATTTTTATAGGGGATGGCTGTTAGTATTATCTAACTCGTAGGCATGTAATATACAATCCACTTTCTCTCTCAATCCTGAGAAATTATGACCCTAGATGCGATAAAATAAGACCGAACATTTAGGATATTTAAAGATTGTATTTCACGTCCATATAAAAGACAAAAAACACATGAAAGAATCCCAAAGAACTCAACAATTAAATGAAGTACACAAAATATTCTTGATCATTCCTGGTAGTACTTGAAATTTAAAGATATGTATAAAATTATTAGTAAGAGGGCTACTATAAGAATAAAAACTTATTTCTGAAAATTCTATACATCATTTCACCGTTACGAAGCGGAATTATTTAGCCAACTAGTTTTACCGGGTAAACTAGATCTACCTTTCAGTGCTCATCATCTATCTTTGACCTTGTACACCGATGGATTTGGTATGGATACTAAATTTGAAAGGTGTTTACAGATACTCGTTCAATAGATACGCACAGATATGAACAAATATTTTGCATTAACCACCATGACTAAAATTTAAAAAGGATCATTATCTTGTTTGGTGATGATTTATGTAATAGTTACAAACAATAATGGGAAATATATCTCAGAATAACAGATAAATAAAAGTCTCCCTTTCTATCCTTTATTAAATATTATCCATAATAAGGACACAGATTCATTCCTAATGATAGTGCTTCTTATGGCCAAGAGCATTCTCAAATGTTAGAGGTATGATCTCTTCAATCCCTTCCCAGTTGTTCTCCAAAGTGGTTTCCTCTTCTTTAAATAGTCTTTTTAGGCCTGGAACATGTTGCTGAGAGCTTTCTCGAATACGTTAAGTTTTTCAGTTTCTCGAAGAAAGGTTGGTTAGAGGTTTTGTCCAGTTTTCCATTGCTTCTTTAGCTTCAGTTCATCATGATCGCCACTAGTTGGTGATTTGAAGAGTGGCTATGCATGTAAATGAAGTTGTCAGCCATTTATAGGAAGGTTTGAATGATCAATCGATTGAGATGAACTCTTTAAACAACCACATTAAGATTTATTTCATAACTCACTTTATAAACAATTCTTTCAGAACATAAACTGCATATATAACAGCTCTTTGATAATTCATTACTTGCATATTTCCGAAGTAAAAACACCTTGATGATGAAAAGAACAGAACAAACAATAAATCAATTTATGCAACAAACTACTCTTTACAAGCACAAATTTTAATTATTTAAAGATTAACTAGATGAATGAATGAATCAATGAATGATTATGTCAACATGACCCCATTAGTATGTAAACTAGACAAATATTGATTGCGTCTAACTATGCTTCACTCAAAGCAAGGCCAATATTCCTACAATTCAAGAACATCTGGAACCGAAAACAACTCCCAATCAACACCAAAGTCACAATTTTCAATACGACATCAAGACAGTTTTCTGCTGTATCATCTACAAGATACAAGTGTTTATTAACAATTGTCTATGCAGGATACTGTGGATATGTTGGATAGACACCATCAGCAACAACCTACTGTATGAGAAAACAAACCACATTCCAGTTGAAGAAGAAATTAAGAAAAAGTGTTTGAGGTGTATAGGACATACATTGTGGAAATCATACGATTGCATCAGGAGGCCAGCTCTAAATTGGAATCTTCTAGGTCAAAGGAAGAGAAGTGGATGAGTGAGCACACTGCGTTGGGAATTAGAGACAGACATGAAAAGAATGAATAGCAATTGTGTTGAAGTGGAAAGGGAGGCCCAGGACAGATTTAGTTGGCGAATGCTGTTCGGTCACCTATGCCTCATTAGGTGTAACGAGCGTAAGTAAGTAAGTACATAACTTTTATTTTAACTGTCTATTGTTAATCAAAATTGTATGACAATTAACAATGATCAAGAACAAACTGAAAAGCCACTTGATTGACTAAAGAAAAACAAATGAATGCCACATTACGATTCATAGAACCAGTCACTGAGTAAATATAATTTGCTGATATCAATCAATAGTTTCAAAATATTTATTTAGGCGGTGATCACAATAAAAGATATGTTCATTTTACGTCTTCAAAACTCACTAATATCAATAACCTAGTTTTTCAGTCATATCGCTAACATTCATACGCAGCTATATTTTCTTTGTTTTCAATCTTACGTTTTGTATGAGCCTTCATTTTATTTGATGTAATAGCTTGTGTTATCTTTGGCAATAACGTTACTTTATATGATATACATTAACGTCTATAAGTTTATAGGGATCCCATTAGATTCTGAATGTTTTGGAGATTTGGATCCGAATCCAAAATAAGCTGTCTTCTATGGTTATGATTCCTGATGCTTACGGAGACTCAAAAAGTATAACAGACTGCGCATTATTTTTCACAGATAATTTAAGGTAATTTTTGAACGTTTCTGAATGTGAGTAATTTTGGTTATATTATGTTTCATTATACCAACAATGAACATGTGTCGCTTAGTTTATCGAGACCTAACTTAATTTAAACATTCTGTCAACAGAAGTTTATCATCACAATTAGTTTCTATAGTAATATTTGCTTGGGAGAAATAGCAATATGACCAGGATATTCTACAAAAAACGGCCTATTCCTCAGGCCAAATTTTCGACATAATCGTCTTGATGCATGTGTAATGTGTGGTGATCTTTTATTGGAAAAAAACAAAAGAGTTGACTGCTTATGATAGATATTGATTTTAAATGGTTTGGCTTACCTAATGTGTGGTGGACAATATTGTTTTATTCCTTAGATTAAACTTCATGTATTTTGTCAGGCTGAAATAAACAACCAATAGGATAATGGAAAACGGACATGCACACCCACTCATAAAGTGATTGCGTACAGACAAAAATCCATTAAATAATTTCTATACCCCCAAGGTGGCAGAGTATTTATATAGCCCAGCGTGGCTGACTCTAGCTACTGTCGTCAGAAGGGATTGCTAACTGGTCACATAGTGAGACAGAGTTAGTATTCCTAATATTTGGTCGATAACCTAAAAAATGTAACTCTTGAAACAAAATGTCTATCCTGTTTTTTCTAAGATCAATTTAATATTTACCACCCAAATTGTGCTTTCTTTGAATTGGAAGTCTGCCAAGTCATAATGCACGGAATTGTTTGTGCTCTGAGTGTTACCCACACTGATAAAAAGGATAGACATAGTATAGTGCATCAAAATTATTCAGAATGGGCTCTTAAATTAGATTCTCGATTTGATCTGCAATGTGATGGTTAATTAGCAGTAGGAATTACAGAGCCCTAAGGTCGAATCTTTTTCATGAAGGATAATGAAACAGAAAATCCTGTCCCTTTGATTTACGCACAACAGAGTTAATTTGGAAAGGATGTCTGAAGATTTAGAGTAATGTCAATTTATTCATGGATTTGAATCCACATAAGTCAGTACTTCAGTTCGGAAAGTAACTGATGAGTCATTTGAAACGTTTATAACCGTTTAGGAGTGAATAATGTACATATATCATACTAGGCACCTGAGTAATATTTCAAATTCTGAGTTTAAGCTAAGGTTTGTATATTCAAAGTCTTAGAAATATTTTACCATTTTGCTTAATTATCTTCAAGATAAGATAATGCTATGAAAGTTGATAAGATTACTTGGTTTTCACAATAGTCTTTTTCTGATTATTATTATTATTATTATTATTATTATTATTATTATTAATGTGTAAAAGTGAAATGGTACGAAAATTCTCATTGAAAACTTTGCATTTGACGATAAAAGGAGAAAAATTAGAAGAAATTATAATCGACTAGTGAAAAAGTATCTTATCATTTTAAGATGTAAAAGGCACCGAAACAAAAGGGTTGTTTATCTGACCTTTATTTTCAGTTAATGTTAATATCATCAATGTTAATAAAAAAAATAAGCATATCTTTGATAATGATACTAACAACTTAAAAATAAGATTCACGTAAGTTCAATAGCATACCAGCGTGTTCAGTTGTTGAATAATTTTTCAACTTTAACGTATGTGAATACTTTGTATGCTGTTCTTGGGTACCTGATGTTGCTGAAAGGCAAATGCATTGTAAAAGCCCTATTTTTTCCAGGATAACCTGCGTCTCTTTAAGAGTAATTTAAGATTCTGTCTTTATAATTTTACATTATCTGTTATTATTATTCCTTACATATCCGTCTGCACAATATTTTATAGCATACATCCAAGTAATATTGAGTACATCAACTTAACTGCTTTATACATAATGATGTATTTCTGGTCAGAACAGTATTGAGAAGACCTTTGAATCCACTGAATTATGTAAACATAAATGACATCTTAGATTTTCAAGTATTCATTTCAGATAGTATTTAGTTCGTTATTTTTAGCCGTTCATAAATTCAAACTGTAAACAAGTAGTTTGTAAAAATCTATTTAGAGTAAATCGATGAGGAAAAGGAAGCAAGATTGGTTGTCTCAAACTGCATATGAATTTTTAATTCTGTCGCCTAATTTTATGACCAGAATATTTCCAAAACTTGATAGCATCAAAATTATCATAATCATAACAATCCCATTGTATGTCTATTGAGCCACATTGTGAAATGTAGACCAATGATCATCACGTGGTGGAACTGTGACGTTTGTTGACCTAGAGCTCGCCACTTGATTGGCCAGGTCAGATTGGCCAATTATTTGATAGCAGTTTGATTCTTATTTTCATTCTGTTAGTTGAACAAACATTACGGACTTCTAACGAACATGAAATTGACGATGGATGCGGAGAAATCTAGGGAAATGCTTTTTGACCCGAAGGAGGAGCATGACGCTTGCGGTGTGGGTTTCGTAGTTAACACTAAGGGTGTACGCTCAAATAAGGTAAGTGGTTTTTAGATTTCTCTATCAAGAAAAATGTGCAGTGTTTATGTAGTATGTCTAGGTGTTAGTTTTTATTTATTTTTGGAGTATATGTGTTGTCCAATGAGTCCGCTCACCTATGAGATTAATTATTGGGTATTAACTATGTTCAACAAAACCTTTTGAATAAGAATGGGAAGGCTGAATATACTAAAATTTCATGGGATGATAACTGGAATATAGGTCACTGAGCTTCAATTAAATTTAAAATACTCCTAATCGATAAAAATAGCTTACTTTGAATATCAGTAAATCAATGATCCGTTAAAAACCATCTCAACATGTAAGACGTATATTCAAATCAAGCTAATTAATGTCACTAGTCATAATTTCTAGAAACTGGACAGTTAATTATAAATTTATCCTGATGTTTAATATGTTACTCTGGGGCTCTTAGCTACATATCTGACAATCCCTCATTGTTTATCTAAGGTACCCTAAGTGTGTTTGAAAAATCATGTAGCCAGCTGGTTTTATGTGTACATTACAAGATAAAAACTAATTTATCTAATGTCTACTTCAGCTTAGTTATATTGATAGTTATTAGTTTTGATGTAAACAGTTTTTTGTACGGGCTGCCATTATTATACAATAATAAACTGTTGGGGATGTTAGATCCCCAAAATTCGCTTGATAATGCCGTATTTCGGTTTTCACGTTCGCCAGCAGGGGCTGATCAAACGACCTTGAGATTTCAACTCCCACCAGGAAAATCAATGGCTGTGATTGGCCACAGTGTATTTTAGTATGCTATTTTCTTAACTGTCTCAAGGACGTTGTTATGTTGTATAAATAAACGAGAGTTGTATGCTTGATTGTACTGGGATTGCTGGGTGCTTGTAGAATATACTTCTACGCCTACAAAGTCTTCTATTTCGATTCTGCGATTCAGGGTAGCCTTCCTGGAAGCTGGTAAAAGTATCGTTCGCGTTTATCGACTAAGGTAAACTCGTAATAGCCTCAAGCATCCTAAGTGACGAACTTATCAGTGGCGACGGGGCTCACAATTCACAATGTCAATTAACCTTGAACAGTTAGAATCTTTACTGGAACGTCAAGGTAAACGATATGAACAGTTGCAGGAACGTATGTTGGAGCTGTTAAGGAAACAAATGAATTTGAACCCACGAGATTGTTCGTTTTCGGAGACTGTTCAGACTTTAAGCCAACACTTTGGAGACAACTCGTCACTATTTAATACTCGTTATCGATGTTTGAAGCTTATTATGAACGAAGATGATGATTTTCTTACGCACGTGGGCATCGTCAACCGTGAATGCGAACGCTTTCGGTTGAAGTCTTTGTCGGAAGACCAGTTCAAAGCCCTCATTCTCATCTGCAGCCTCCAGTCGAGTAAGTTCAGTGACATTAGAACAAGGCTACTAAGTCGGTTGGAGCAAGATCCAAAGCTTACGCTTAATGATATGGCTCATGAGTACCAACGTCTCACTGACCTACAACGAGACTCGACTATAGTTCAGAGTGGTAGCTCAAGCCGATCTGAAATTCATTTGGTACAGCAGCCACCTAATCATTATAAGTCTGCCCATGCTACACCCAGTTCACCCCGCTCCAATTCGGCCCAAAATGAATCCACCTTCTGCTTGCTGGCACTGCGGTTCATGGCACTATGTACGGAACTGCCCATTTAGGCAGCATAGATGCAGGAAGTGTAAAGTCATCGGTCATAAAGATGGCTTTTGCCTACAGAAAAAGCCAAAGCGATCCAGAAGTGCTAAGAAGCCTGTTCCTAGATCCAGTACCAATGCATTGAGCCTAATATCTTCCTGCCAAAGTTCATCACCAGAATGCAAATAGATACTGCATCTGATGTCACTATCCTCTCACGCAAAAATTGGACCAAATTAGGTAGCCCAAGCCTGCAGCACACAACACAAAAGCCTCGTACAGCATGTGGTAATTATCTTCGTCTGTTAGGACAATTGGAATGTAAAGTTGCTTTCCGACATTCGTCGTTTACTGGGATTGGTTCGACCAGCTAAAATTGGCTGATGTCCCGCTAAATACCATATGCAGCCTGGTATCACAACGACATGACCCAGAAGCGTATACGAAGAACCACGCAGAATGTTATCTGACAACCGCAGTTCGCGCATTACTGGTGTCTGCAACAGACATACAAAATGCTTCTAGAAACGACCCCATCATCAAGATGACGATGAAATATGTCACTAACGGTTGGCCGTCGAAAAAGTTTGAAGGTGACATGAAGCAACTGTATCAGCGGCGGGAGTCACTATGCATCGTCAACGATTGTCTGATGTTTGGTGAAAGAGTAGTGGTGCCAGAATCCCTTCGTGCAAAAGTGCTGAGACAGTTCCATCTTGGTCATCCTGGGATTAAACGAATGAAGTCCATAGCCAGGAGTTATGCATACTGGCCTCACATGGATCAACATGTCACAGCGTTGGTTGAAAAATGCATGCGGTGTCAACAGGCGGCAAAGATGAATGCCAAAATTCCGCCGGTTTCATGGCCCAAACCTGAGCATCCTTGGTCCAGGATACATGTCGACTTCGCTGGCCCAATAAATGGAACTATGTATTTAATTGTCGTCGACGCCTTTTCTAAATGGCCGGAAATCAGCCCCGTTATGCCGCCCACTACAACTAAGACTATACAGCTCCTAACTGAAATTTTCTCACGGAATGGCATACCAGATGTGATCGTATCCGACAATGGCTCTCAATTCACCTCTTCCCAATTCCAGAATTTCTGTCAACGGCTAGCTATTAAACACTTACGCTCGCCACCATACCACCCGCAATCGAATGGGCAGGCGGAAAGGTTTGTGGATACGTTTAAAAGAGCACTGCTCAAGTCAAAAGGGGAGGGGACGCCAGCCGAAACGTTACAAAATTTCTTGTACGTCTATCGGACAACACCAAATGAATTGTTACCGGAGCAAAAGTCCCCAGCTGAAATCCTGATGGGAAGAAGATTGAAAACGATTCACAGCCTGATGCATCCGACCAATGCACCCTCATCAGTAGGGACAAAGCAGCAAAGACAATCCGCTTACGAAGTAGGATGCCCTGTGTTTGCCCGCGACTACAGAACGAACCATGGTCCTTGGGTAGAAGCGAGAGTGGTCAGAAGGGTTGGTCGAGTTATGTACGAAGTAGAGGTAGGAGGTGATAAATGGTCACGTCATCGCAATCAGATACGCAGACGGCTAGCCCCAGATCGCCCATCAAGAGCAGAAAGCCTTCCCCTTGACATCTTGCTTGATACCTTCAACCTACCGAGAGCCCCGCCACGAGAAGAAACTCAGCAGCAAGCTGTTCTTCGTTCCCGAAGGTATCCACTCAGACAGCGGCGAACAATAGTCAAGATGCAAGTCAACCACAGGAGAACACGCTATTAAAAAGGGGAGGAGTGTTGGGGATGTTAGATCCCCAAAATTCGCTTGATAATGCCGTATTTCGGTTTTCACGTTCGCCAGCAAGGGCTGATCAAATGACCTTGAGATTTCAACTCCCACCAGGAAAATCAATGGCTGTGATTGGCCACAGTGTATTTTAGTATGCTATTTTCTTAACTGTCTCAAGGACGTTGTTATGTTGTATAAATAAACGAGAGTTGTATGCTTGATTGTACTGGGATTGCTGGGTACCTGTAGAATATACTTTCTACGCTTACCAAGACTTCTGTTTTACCGTTTGGATTCAAGGTAGCCTTCCTGGAAGCTGGTAAAAGTATCGTTCGCGTTTATCGACTAAGGTAAACTCGTAATAGCATCAAGCATACTACTAAGTGCCGAACATATCATAAACCCAGTTAACAACACCGGGTAAACGAAAGCACTGAAATGGGATAGTTTACTGATGTTACATGGATAAGGTAGGATGGCAGTTAAATTTAACTGTATCGCTTCTTAAGATCGACAAATCTTATTTTGGATACAAGTGAGTTTCCATCTTGTTTAATAATGGGTTGTTTTAAGAATGAGTCTTTTATCGTATGTTGAATAAATAAAATAAAATCCGTAATGAACATACACCACCTTTAAGTATTACTAATGTAAAACGGATTATTAATCTAATCATACTAAGAAAATTAAATTACCAAAGGCGTTATACAGAAACAGTGAGATGTCTTTTGCTAGCTGGCATGCTTGAAGTTTTTGCGTCTCAACCATTTCAAGATATATCTGGTTGCACATATGCATACACATAATCATCAAGATGTTATTACACTTAGTTGTTTAGTCAGTACCACTATAACGAACAGTAAGGATTATTGAATCTCAGCACTTAGTCCAAATGTGTCTATGTATAATACGTATGGAGATTCACCTATCAAGCTCATTGGTGAAGTTACTTATTTCTACTGATATCTAAAACTAATTCGTAGATCAGAAGTATTTCATACAAACATTTGATTTAAATCCTGACGTCCATTCTAAAAATAATACTAACTTTTGTTGCTTGAACCATGTGTGAAATTATCTAAAATTTTCAATACACCGTTTTGTAAGATGGTTTATAAAGATTTTGTTCGGTTACAAATTTTCGTCACTGAATAACATTTACTTGCAATCGGCCCAGTTACTCCTTTTGATATGAGTATAATCAATGGCGTGGGAATAATTATGTCCTCTTCTGCAAAATTATGTTCATATGTTCTAGCTGTTCTTTATTTACATTAAGTATTCTGGAACTTTTGCAATGCCACCTTCCATTAAGATTTCAGTCTTGTCATGTAGTTAACGACAAGGTTTGAGTTCTTTTTCTGATCACTGTTTTTAAGACACCGGTAACATACTTGCACTCTTCTATCACTCGCAGGTAATTATTGGGATCACAACTACTTCGCTTTCTTGTTTGTTTTCTAAAAATTTCCAGTCGAGATTTTTTCACATATTAACACGATATATTGCAGAAAAAGAGATCCTAGTTCTTAGTGTTCTGATTTGCTGGTTTTAACGACGGAAATGTAGCCTAGAATGATGGATTTTAGTAGTATAGTGGATTCAACTATTTGGTACATACTGCTGACTGAAAACGTTGAGAACACTGTTACTCACTTGCAGTTGAGTGAATTATATGGTTCACTTTTAGTTAGACCTTGTTATTGATAAAGTTATTAACAAATCTACATCCCCACGTTCATTCGGTTATCCTTTTAATTTATAATTGTTGTTCATCTACTTTGAAAAGGAATGATTATAATTCTGTAAAAATAATTCAGCTGATTTGGTGCTGCTCGTAGGGATTAATGGTCGTACTACTCTGGGAATTGGTGTGGGTAAAAAGCAAGTATTATCTAGTTGAATTTCTAAATTCGAGATATCTTTTACGAAGAACGGGTAATTTAACAGAAATGAAATATATAAGTTTTAGTTTTATTTGTTCAAGGATATTTTGTTAACAAGATGTTTGTAATCTAAAGAAGCTGGCGAGCAGAATAAACGTCTTGATATGAAACAATGTGCCTATGTTACTTCAGATTTACAATTTGTAGACATTAAAGTAGGTCTAGGCAAGTGACGATCACTGTATAAGTAAGCGGATGCCTTGGTGTAGTTGGATATCCTTTGTGCAATAATTTTATATCTGTAAATTAACCTTGTTGACTGGAGATGAAAAACAAGGTGTGTTTGAATTAAACTTTGCAGTATTACATGAAACTGATTTATTGAAAAATTCACATCAATGGGCGATTCAAATATTTATTGTAAAGTACATTGTTGCGAACGATCTCGGATTTTATTAGCTGTTCAACGTCTCATGACAAATTCATCAACAGGTTGACTTAATCGCCAAACTGTTGTAGTTGCATTATGATAAATGAAAGAGTTCAGTTTTAGCTTAGACTTCAAGAACTATAGTATTCTCTGATTATGAAAGATTTTACGGTTGATCGTAATATACAACTAATTTAATTTTATATTCATTGGCATAATACAATGGTTATTTGATATATGGTAAACGGTAACCAATGAGGCAAGCTTGCATCTTAATAGTACTAACTTACAGAAAACCGTACACTACAATTAAGGTTGTTAGATGGATTTCTTATCGATTATTATAAGCCTTCATATCATCATTTGTTGGAAACAATATGTGTATTTTATCATACTTGGTCAATTCTAATCGAAGTCGTCATATAAATTTTACAATTTTGACTAAATTTGCAACTCTCTAACCGCATTGGTTTTAGTTTAACATGAAAATATAAGTCTACTGCTTGTATTGTATTATTAAGTACAGTTGGTGTAAAAATATTTTTATGCGCTAATAGATTGTTATAGAATTTTGTAAGGGTCATAATATAACAAACAATATTATTATGTGCGTGCTTATTGATCAAATTTCTGCTAATATGGTTATTATTATGACGTTCTTTCGCTTGTTTTTTTTTGCTTCATTATCACTCTGACCTATATTTTTTTTAATGCAAATTCATGGCACATGTCTGAATAATATTATTTGAACAAATTCACTGTTTATGATATCAGATAATGCTATGAACTAGCACACAAAATAATGTCTCTCTTTCCTGCTAAATGTCTGTGGTTTTCTTTGAAACATATTGAACTGACCTATTTTAAGTCATGCTTATTTTTGAATTTGTGTATAGAGCTGATTTGAAGTTGGTGTCATATAAATTCTATAACTGGATGCATGTAATTAATTATACAAGGTGGAATCGTCTAACTGCTAATTCACATAAATTGTACCCTCGAATTCTAAATGCAACAGAACTGGTCACTGTTCAGTAAACACTTTAAAGACACAAATGAACAATATTATGTTATCCCAAGGCAAGGCCTGTCTCGGAACCCTCAAGGCCAAAGGATAAGGTGTAGATCACGAAACTTATTCCACCGAGAATCAGAGACAGACATGAAAAAGACTGAATAGTAGTTGGGTGGAGCTTAAAAGGAAGGCTTAAGACAGAGTTGGTCAGCGGCCTATGCTCCATTAGGGTTAATAGGCGTAAGTAATAGGGTTGTGGGGATTGCTGAGTCTTAGTGAACCCGTCATTGTTAAACTACTGTTAACAACCTGGGAGCACTGGACATCCGTTTTGCCCTGGTAAGAGGCTCCTCAGCAGCGCACATCCACAACTTCACACATGAGAATCGAACTCAGAGTCTTCGGTTTCACGTGTGAATGCTTAACGTCTAGACCTCTGAGCCAGAATTCATAGGTGTTAATGCTTAACTTTTATGGATCAGTCCTATAGTACATATCACCAGGACGTCAAACAAACTTGACCCTGGCCAACCAATGCTTATCTTCAATCAACCCACGTTATTACGTGACTGTCTACCATTGTCTTTGGTAGGTAGCAGCCTCACACTCGATACGATGGATTACTCTGATTTGCAATATCGAAATTTTTAGATTTTTATGACATGGCAAGCTTATATGAAAATGTTCCTACTTTAATGTTTCTGTTTTCTTGTTACATCCATCGTCAGCTTTGTTAATAGACATACTTTTTAAAGCTAAAATAATTTTATTTCCACTCCAATAATTACAGTTGTGTAGTTTTTAGTTATTGAAACCTGATAACCTGGTAGAAGATTTGTGCACATATGACACTAGATATTTTCGGTCAAATAAATACCGTTGTTTTATTTATCTTTAGTCAGTTTAGTAGTGATTGGATGTTGGAGATCTATGAAATGAATCACATACATAGTTCAGTTATAACATTCATTTGATAAAACAGATTGTCTTTTATAATCTTACCACCAACCACTAAGCTATGAAACAGATCATAAAGCTCAACAAATTATTATAAAATTTGACTTTACATACTTCGTTCTCTATATAAAAAGTCTAGTTTTAATTGATTCATAAGGTCATAACTATTACCCAGTGATTACAGTGAATGTAGGAGCAGAAATACGTCACCCGAACAAACACTGATTTATCACCCACTGCAATTCTACTGGTAGGTACTTAGTCTGTATTGTCCAGTAACAAAGATCGAAATCATGTTAAGAACTGAGTATTTAAGGTTAGTAATTTGCACGCTATTATCACTCGATTAAATCTCATTTAATCGGGTAAAAGCTTATATTATTGAAAGTAATCCTGGCTGCAAGTATTCCGCTAAGTTCAATCTTTTCAACGGATTAGTACAAATATTGCTTTTGTTAATCGAGGAATGAGTAAGCTATTGTTTAAGTTGTAGCGAGCGTACAGGGAGTCATATATAAAACTAAACTCAATGTGAATACTTTACTTCACTTAAACTAACAGAAAGAACAAGTTAAGAAGATGAACACAAAAATAGTCAGTATATTAGTAGCAGTTGTGGTGAAACCAAACCTATAGAATCTGATACACTAAGTCATCAGCTAATTTTTTTAAACTTTTTTTCTTCGTTAACCAACATCATCATTACTTACTTAGTGATTCCGCCACACCCAACCCATGCTTCGAATATACTTGTTAGCACTAAATATACATCTTCCGTCTTCACCGATAAACGTTTAAAGAGGAAACTATTATATAATATACTCACCTATGGATTGCTGAACGGATCTGACACGCCTGTCATAGATGGAGTAAGTTGACAAAAAGCATGTGGTGTTTTTGGACTGTTCAAAGACTCCACAAACTATCAAGTTGACGGGGCTGATGAAATTTCTAGTATGAATAAACTGTATACTAAACTACTTCCACTTCTATAATTAGATTAGACTTCACACACACAATTTAAAATAAACGAGAGACAATGTAAGCATACATACCAAATCTTTTGAACTGTATTCAATCAAAACTATGTTATGTGCTTACTCCGAATCAATAATTGAGTTGCCAGACTGGAAACTGACTCTTGTAAGTTAGCTAACAGAAAGTTTGTACCAAATGCATATCTACGACTAAATTAAATCCATTCTTCAGAAACAGAAACAATATTTTATTAGTACTTCATTTAAAGTTTTGCGTGTCAGAAACGTTAAAATAATTTCTGTCAATCACCTGAATTACAATTTTACAATTTCTATTAATATATTTGCTTGGTTATATTGATAAGGGTGTGCTTGGTGTTTTGATTGTCAATCAAGGTCAGAAACTAAAATCAACAAATTATCGTTTCCTGGAAATATTTAACTAGTGTTTTATCACTAAAAGATGGTTAAAATAAAATTATGTTCACAGTTTTAGTACTTTTGAGTCCTCCCAGACAGACTCTTCCTGATCATTAGATCCTACAAATGTAAATATTAGATCTAAAACTAATCACTCATTTCCCATAACTATTGAAAATAGAAGAGTAGCTAAATAATCGGATGATGTTATTAGGTTGAGTCTAAATTCTTTATTTCATTTCTCTCATGATGTGATTAGGTACTCAAAGATGCTAAAGTCATGCTTGAACGTATGGATCATCGAGGCGCTTGCGCATGTGATGAGGACACTGGAGATGGATCGGGAGTAATGACTTCTATACCATATGAAATATATCTGGAGTATGCACGGTAAGTTTTCTCATTCTTTGTGCAATTTAAATCCATTATTACAATATCTATCCAAAATGTTTGTATTTTGCATTTGGTTCACCAGGTAAATTACTATGAAAATATAGTTAGCAACTTAAAACTAGACACTTATTGGGTAGATCAGTTTTACATTACAGAAATTATTCCCTCACACTAGTTTATGCTATATTAACATCGAGAGTAGGAAATGTTTCTTGTATCGTGAATTGCTTTTGAACTACATTAGACTATGTAAGAACTATTACGACTTAACATAGGTGACATACTTTTATTTCATCATAATACTTCTATAAATTTGTATATTTGTGCAAAAATAAATTTTCTTAATAGTTAGACCAGTGCGATATTTTAAACAGTTCATTCTTTGTCTTTATATATTGCCTCCAAAACATCTACTGGATAGTTTGTAATTTTGTGATAGATCCTTCAGTGCAGTTTAAATAACTAACCAAAATATTCATAAATATTCCTAAAATTTTAATGGATATGAAACCCAGACTTTAAAAAACAAACACTGAATCATCTTAGTGAAACGGGTACGTTGACAAGCGGTTGTTAGAAGCTGGTTTTTGATCTCAGTTAACGATATGTCTAAGAAAAATAGGTTACTTTGTACACCGAGTGGAAGTTGGGTTAAAATATCGCCTAGAATTATTTGGATCATTACGAGAGTAGAATATTCCTCGATTCTGCCATTGGCAAGGTAATACAGTAAATATTTTCGAGAAGTCGCATCATTAGACAAGCATTTACCAAGTAGTTAATTGTCTTCGAATTAGTTAAATTATCTTTGCTGCTACTACGAAAAAGTTACTCAGATGGATGATAAACTAATGGTCCTAGTTTCCGCTCGTGTTTACGAAGTTTGTTAAAGGAAATACTCAAACATTGAATAAATTAATTTTATAATCTTAAACATAAAACTGATCATTAGCATACTTGGTAAAAGGTTTATCATTGAGAAAAAAATCTTTATAGAATAAGAAGTGGTTTTAATGATATAAGTAATTTAAACAGTAAATACTATCATGAATTTATATTTTCACCTTTAGCCAGAGTAGGTAAATAAGCTGAAAACTACTTCTGGTATTATAGACTGACTATCCACCTAATACTTTTGTGTTTGTTTTCAGTTTATCTGAGAGTAGACTCTGGTCTTAAATTTATAAAATCATTTAACAATCGGCAGTTTATCATCGTCTTGTGTGTGCGATAAGTGGGAGTTTTGGTTTCAGTGTAGTTGAAAGTTTATAGGTTATAGGATTCTGAAGATTTCTAAAATGTGAATAAAAGTATCTTGTAAGGATTTGTGGTTTTTACTAGTTATTTTACCAATAAAAATAAGCAGTCAAAACTCGAATTATTTTTAAAACATCTTTAACTTAACATCAAGCAGAAAAATAATGAAAATAATAATAATAACAAGAAATATACATTGTATGGAATGAGTACAAGGTTCAAGAATGGATTTTGGGTGGTAAATAAATACTGACGTAAAATTAATATTCCTCAGACAGAGGTCGTGGTCAAATATAATTAGTATTCTTACAACTGGAGTTGCACTTTGAGGGCTTAGATGTCTTTAGGAAATTGTAATCTTAAGTCATATAAAATCTGCGCTCCTTAAACATATATATATAATCAGAAAAAACCTACGTATGTAAGTTGCAAACCTCCACTAGACCATAAAGATAAGGTTTACATTTTGATATTTTCATCCTGAACCGTTAAATAAATATGGGGATTGTTTAAATATTAGAAACAGGACCAATGGATACTATCTTTTTCCGTATAGGCTGGTGTGGTATACAATAATAGACAAAAATCCGACCATCTTAAAAAAGGGTTAATTTTTTTCACGAAGCAGCATGTTTTCATTATGAGCATGTGAATCAAAACTTCGTAAAATGTGTCTTGGCTTGCTGAATTTTCCAGATATATCATCTTCGGAATCAATATTTAACGATAGATATGAAGTCACAAAATGGGACCACACTATTATTCATACGATCGACAGTAATCCAAGTAACTCTCGGCAGATTTTTAAGTTAAAACAACTCACTATGCAATGTGAAGTAGGAAGGAATTTCCTGTACACTACAATCATAATAGCAATATAATAATTTAAACATCTTACCGTTTTGTAGCAAGAATTTTCAAAGACATTATTTAGGCACAGTAAATGATAGATGGTATTCCAAAATTCCCATGAAAACTTAGAAAACTAACGATAGATATCCATTCGTATGTGCATTAACACAGTTATGTGGTTAAAACCTTTGTGTGCGGGAGTTCATTTTTTAAAACTCCTCAGTAATTACAGACACAATTATTTTTTGATTATTACTGGAGCCAGGTAAAAACATGATGCGATATTTATTAAATAACTTCAGTTAAAACGCTTTTGCGGTTTGTAGTAAATATTACTGGTTATTGTTAGAATATACAGAAAAGAAACTCAGGTCATGAAAAAATAAATGACTAAAATACCTACCTTTGAGCAGTACAGGCTTCATCTAGGAAATATTTGGTAACAAATACAACACTCTGAAAGCAAATGATTCATAAGAAAATACTACGATTAGCTAACGTTCATTCTGAACAAAACATTGAAATTGAAGCGATTCAGAAAAATAAAAGTGAAACAATCATAAACTTTGCTATCCTAACGAACCGGCATATTCCACAGTGTTTGGGACTTAACATCAATGACAATTTTCCGTAAACCTAAAGATTCCCAGCCTCTTGCACTTTAAGCAATGATACGAGTGAAGCGTCGTTGTACAGTCTATTCGAAAAGTTCTAGAATATATTTCGAAATCTCGTCAGAGCAAAGGTGTATTTATGATAAGATGAGTAATTTTTTTCATTCTACTTAAGTTTAGCATGAAAGTAACGTATGCATTTGTTCCCTTCTATTGGGATTTGTACAGCAAATTACCGGTAAATTTCAACATACTTTTATCAAGGGTCAAAAGAGAGGAAGCTGACATCTAAACATAAGTAGCATTGTGCAGAAAATAGTTTTTTGGTAGATGACCCGTGATTTTATTGAACAGGAAATTCTAATCGCACCATACTCTACTCTATAAGCTATGATTTTCAGCTTTCTCGATTGTGTCACGAATGTTCTTGATAAAGAAAACTGCCCTTTGTTTTCATACATTAACATTTTTACAAACATAGAATGAATGTGTGTCACTTGTTAGCGCTATTACCTCATCGACATTTACACTGCTGTTTATTGTGTTGTAGTGATATACGGATTTTTCTTTATGTTATAGTTCTGTATTTTAAATTGTTGTTTGTTTTACTCCTCTCATCAATCAAAAATTATAATAACTTTTTTTTTCTAGTGAAGCAAATGTTGTTTTACCACCGATGGGCCATTTCGCTACTGGTATCATCTTTATACACGATCGCACTATTACAATTTCTGATCTAATGAAACGGTTTTCAGAAATAACGGAGGAGTGCGACCTAAAAGTAGGTTCTTATTTATCTTATTGTGCATTTGAATTTCATAGATTATACAAATGATCATTTCTATATGAAGTTTTAGTATTTCAAAATTTGTGTAGAAAATGCTATTCGAATAGGTGAATAATGTAGTGTGATAGAACACATTGTGTTCACTTTGGACATGATTGTTACGTCTGTTCTTTAATAGATTAGAATTCTGTCTAGTCTCTGGGTGTGAGCATGTTACAATGGGGATTTTCCGTTACATTCATGTCTAAATTTTTAACCAATAATGTTAGATATCCTAATTGAAATTAGATACAATTTTCAAGTTTCTTTTTTATACTTGAAAGGTACAATTCATTTAGAAAAACAATGATACTTCACTACGTTCTATAAATAAAGATGTAGTTCCCATCTCCATACACTTTCATGATTTGCGTATGTGTATCTTTAAAGCTGTTTTAGACATTTCACTCATTTATTCATGTTACTAGTGACGTAATTTAAAGAGAATCTTCCATCTATAATGATTAGATTTCTGATTTCGTCCTTTATATTTCCGTTATGTATAAATTAATTTACTCTTGTTTGTTGAATAAGCTAGTGACACATTGGTGTGTTATTTTCAGTTAGATTGCAAAGAAAATGATATATATATATATATATATATATATATATATATATACTGCAGAAAATTTATGGTCTGAAATTTATATCCTTTGCTGTACTAACCTAACTATTAGAATGTTTCGTTTAACACAATGTTGCTTACTGCTTAGGCAATATTTCCTAAATTTAACGGATACGCCTTGTGATTGAACTGGACAAATGGCACTACGTAAATTACACTTATTAAATAAAATAGACTCATCCATTTCGTCCAGAGCTTTATCGAAATGCATTTGTTTAGCATTTATATATTTCAAGGAGACAGATGGATACTGCAGTGTAATTCTCATGGGAATGTACATCACATCTGTGGATGCAATTCCTCGCCTCATCACAATAGATCGTAGATATGGAAGCTAAAAGAATCACAATTCGAATCAGTCAGGCCTCTACTACTCTAATTCAGTCACTGTTGAATTTTACGTGATGCATAATGTTTGCGCATAATTTCGGAAGCATCTGGTATTTACAAGATGTGTTCAATTTGATAAGGTGTTTTAGCATGCTCATCTACAGGGTAAATAATGTCGTTATGTCGTTATGAATAAAATGAAGAATGTTATGAAAAGTTCGGAAGTCTTATGATTTCGCTTGGAGCATGTAGTGAGTGTATAGACTAGATAAAGATAATGAGTTACAGTATTGTTTTTTTCTCAACGGTAGATTGAAGGAACTTGACGAATCAATATATCCATGTTGTCAGTTTACATGGGACCTATACATTTATTTCATTATCGAATTGTTGCCCAGAACACGAACTTCATAACAATACCAATTTGCTTTGACTTTCTCAGTCGAGAAACTTGTACAATAATTAGTCCAGTTGCCGTATTTTTTCAAAAAAACGCAACAGAAGCTTGTTTGAAGGTGATTGATTCACCAGCCATCAGTGCCAAAATCATGGTAGTTTGTCTGGATGCATATCACTTACTATGCAGAGTGGCACATGATACGTCAGTTTACCAATAGTGCATATTTCCTAAGGCGCAGACATGTCAACCGACAACATTTTTTAATTAAATTTCCATCTAGCTTTTCTACATGTTCTAATTTCTACAATTACTTACTTTGAATTTTATACTGAACTGAATTACTTTGACCATTAGTCAACAAAATTCTGTTAGGTCAACATGATTTTGAAATGAATTGTAAAATGTATTACATTGTAATGAATGCTGGTCACTGACATCACAACTTAGCTTTATGGTGTCTGTTAACTACCTATGAATTCATTTGATCATTTAATGCAGTAGTTACACATTTACCAGTTTACACACATTTGAAATATATGTGTGTTCATGAACCCAAGATGCTTAATGGTTAACTTTGTTCACTTGACATTTTTTTTATTGTAACACACACTGATATGTTTGTTGGCTGCTTAATATTAGTTGTTAGTGGACATTTATCATATGACACAATTCACTGCATTCACATTAATTTGATAAAATATTGAGATTTTAAATTTTTGTCGATAAATTAAATTTGTGATAGTCATTAAAACAGTTGACCTTCACATTAAATAAATGCACTTTTTGATTTATCATCATTTACGAAAATAGTAATATTTATGTCAATTGTAGTATTGATAACAATGAGCTATCGATGCGATTAGACATTGCCGACGTAGCCTTGCTTAAGAAATTCGTTTCATCCAGAGCATAAAATAGATGAAGTTGACATGTATAATAATTTGTATTTTCTAATACGTGTATTCACAGAGTGATGAATCATTTATAAAAAAAAAAAGGATAATTATTATTACATGTATTTTAAAACTGATATTATCACATATACTAAAATAACACATAATCTTCAACAAGAAATAAAAAAAAAATATGTCAACCTTAACATAATTATTCAAACATCTATTGCTGACTGAGTTGAGCCGTTCTAATTTCATACTTCAGGATAACTGGATGTATTTTTAGTCATATTGTTGTTATGTTGGTCACATTGAAGGATTAGTGCAGAGGCAAATAACATTTTAAACGGCTTTTTCGCAGTAAAGGAATATTTGTTTGAATAATGCTTAAATGACTGTTCAAAAATTCAGAAACTGACAAACTGACACCTATTCATAAATGGACTAGTTTAAATATTTCAGTACAGTTGGAGGCTTTAAAAAAATACACATCCACAGAGATCGGTTCAAATGATTTGATGAGCTTATTGTGGTATGAACAAAATTAACAGAAAATTACAGTAGTTCTTTCCAAGTTCCCAAGTTATTTCATGTATTATATTTTCATATTCTACTCGTACATTATTATTATACTGATCGACATCTAACCTTTTATAATATATATTTCACAATATTACATCATAGTAAGACTCGATTAATATCGAGTTATTCGAATAACGAATAGAATTGATCGTGAATTGTTTGTATGGTTAATAAGTTACAGTTCAACTTTAAGGAAAGTAATGTAGAATTCATTCGCAAAATACCCTATGTATTTCAATTTATCTGTTAGCTTGCAAACATCGATTCACTAAATAACTGTAGACACGCTTTACATCATTACAATGTGATCCAACCATTCAAATGTAAATTTTGACATTATAACCAAATGTTAATGTTTGATGAAAAATATATGAACGCCGAAACTCATGTGATTTTGCATCATCATGTTTTGATAATTCCGAATTTAAGCTCAACAGCGATAATCTATCAACTAATTTGTGATCATAATAAGATAAACTCACTTTTTTTTACACAAAACCACTTCAGATGATTTTCAGCTGCACTGTGTTAAAATTACAATTTTATGTTTCACTGAACATGTTAAGTGGACATGATTAATGTTAATTTGAAAGTATAAGATTTCAGTGAAACCTACGGTCAATATTCAAATAAAATAATAGAACAGTATAATCTAAATTATTATAAACGTTTTTGGTGAAGTTTTATTATTGAAGCCGTTAAAGATTTATTTATTGTTGGTATATGCTTACTACTGATTAGAGCTGTCAGTGGGTTAGCTCATGTTGTTTACTCCAGGTTTGGCAAGTAATCAGATATTATAAAAGCAGTAGAAATCGTAAGCATTCTGAGTGGTTGCTTTAAGTTTTGATTATCGGCTCCAGATTCTTTTGTATACTAGATTATAATCCATCAGTCTATTCAATTATTTGGAACGCAAAATATATCAGACCAAAAAGATAAACGGTAAATTCCCAATAACGATTCGATATAAATGAGTTGTGCAGAGGCGTTAGTCGGTAAAAGCTGGAATGGAAAAATAATTTATACAGATAAAAAAAAAATACTTTTTGAGAATTTACCTTCATTTTATTTCCTGTTTATTGATCTATACACAAAACGCTTTTGAGTTAGCCTTGTTTTAATCGAATGTGCTACCGTATACAACGAAAAATTTACTGATCATTTTTTGACCATCGAATATTCATTCCATTGTCACGTCATTAAATGTAGGATTTGTATGGCTAGTAGTCGGTAAATCAAATCCATTTTATGTTAGGTATTTGTTTGCCTGTCTCATCATAGAATAAACATTGAACTTTATTTTCATGTCATAAACAGTATGATTGTCAACATTATTAGATCTAGGCTAAATTAACATGACGGTTATTATTGAATTTTATTACTTCCTCCAAATCCCTTTAATATCAAGCAATCGGTACTGACAACTGAACTAGATACTTGAATGATCTAGAAAATGTTGACAACAATGACTGTATTTATTAAGGTCATATTTTTTTATCATAAAGTTCCTTGTTCTCATCACTTATAGATTTAAAAAGGTTGAAATATGAATGAATTCAAGTTAACTGGGACAGTCATCATATTTGTTTGCTAATAAAATAGATGTAAAAAAAAAATTCATCTTTTGGTCTCTAAAGAAAAATAGATATCAATGCACAATCTAGAACTCTATATGATGAATAACTCTAGAAATTCTGTTTTTCGTTTTAAAATTCTAAATAACATCACCGATTGTTCATTGATAGAAGTTTGCTTATTACATTTTCGGCCACAACAGCTGATGTTAAAAACTATGTATTACTGTGTAAATATGCTAAATGAAGACAAAAGTGTTTGTTTTTGTCAATAGTGATTAGCGTATTTGACATTTGAACTTAGCCAACTAAAGATTACAGGACAGATTACTTGGGCTATTAGGATTGCAATTTTCTCTACTACCGCTAACAATCAACCGATTGCTAAATCTGGAAAGTAATAATATGATGGAACAAAGTAACACACTATCACAAACTAGAGGTATTTAATGGTTGTTCTGTGTGTGTGTGTGTGTGCTGAAACGAAAAGTTAACTTTACAGCCCAACATTCATGAAAATGTTGTTCAATAATTTCAATTATACAGTCTGATGTCTACTTTTTTTTCAACCTTTCTATTGATTATCCATTCGTATTTTTTTTCCACATGCATTTAAATCTTACAAATAAAGGAAGTAAAAGAATGAAATGATCATAAAATAAATGGAAGTTTTCAATAGTCAGTTAAAGCATTTTAAATAATAATAGTTTGTAAGCTGGTGAATGAGTGAACAGCATGTTCGAAAGGAGAGAAATAGATGTTAAATAGAGGCAGATGAAACAAGAAACAGAAAAATCTATTTTATGTATAAACTTTAGGAGAAAGCTAGGAGCGGCCAAACCAAAACATCTCACAAATCCATAAAGACACTGACAAGTGGGCTGAGTCATGTTGTTAGGTGTTGACTACCAGGTTGTAGTCCGCGAGATGAGAGTAATCGATGGTTAGAGACATTGAATGTCATGGCTCAAACCCATTTACAATGACGCAGGTGTATTTATTCTTTCTTTCTCTCAAGTCCTAACTTTCTGAATTCCTCATCACCTCTATCTTTCTCTTTTCAAAGTTACCTCACTGAATTATACTTCTTGAATAATATCTTCGAACTCTAATGCTTCTGACCACTGCTATTACTTTTACTACCTCTACTTCTATGGGATTTGAATTGATATATATATATATATATATATATATATATATATATATATATATATATATATAAGCACTGAACAAAGCTAGAACTAACATATTTTTACCGTTTAATTCTTTTCACTACGTAATAATTTTATTTTCTCTATTTTTTAAGCTTCTATTCTGGCGCATGGTGGATGTGAACAAAAACTGTATTGGCATAGTAGCGCATTCTGAAGAGCCGATCATAGTTCAAGTAAGACAGGATAGTTTAAATTAATGGACAAGAAATAGTTTGAATAAAATTATCATTTATCACCATTCAATCAGTTATATTTTTGCCCACGTTCCTTACCAAATAAATGTTTTTTTTATTTATCATTATTCGTATATAGTTTTTTTTTTTTACTTCACTTAAATACTCAAATCTTTTGCTGACTATTTTATTATTGGTATATTTGTTATTCATCACACAGATATTGGACACGGTTTCTATTTTAACACAGATGAATTAATTGCACTAGGATTTTACATAAACCTTTGAAAATAGGTAGATTTATTATGAAGTTAACTCTTGTTAACATTTTGGCAAAAAACAAACACAAACAAACAAACTTAAATTTGTTTCCTTTCATTCAGTGTTTGTTTGATCAAGGTAAACAAACACAGTTGACAGAGTTACGTTTGTATAGTTTTTTGAAATAAGTGCGATTTAAGTGAGAACTTCCAACTTCCAGTTTCACAAATGAATGTCAGTGCATGATTTAATTAATTATTTATTTTTTTTTGGACCTTCATTTTATTAAAAGACTGAAAATATGATTGAGTTTGATGGTGAATTTCAAGGAAAGATTACAGCCAACTAGTATGGTGCATCACTCACAATCGATAGTTCATTCATAAAAAAAAAACGAACCTATGATAAAAATAAGAACTGTGAACGCAAAAGAATTGAACTGAGATAAGATTTCCTAAATTTTAGAATTAGAATTTTGGTTGTTTCAATAACTGAATTCAAAAAAAAAAACATCGTTAAAATAATAGCCTTGTTAGGCTTTTTTCATTTTTTTGCAGATCATTTTCAGTAAATGCAACAACACACTTGTGAATTCAGAAGGGAAAAATTCTCATTTGTTTTTTAATTTCCAAACATTTTATTTGGCCAATTTGATGAAACGTTTTTTTCACAGTCAACAGTCTAACATAAATTTGAATAAACTTGATTATGTTAAACTGTTTTGGATAAATATAGATTAATAATGTATTTTCTAACTGTTTCAATGTATCCAGTTTATTGCCGAGATTAGGAGAATTGATAAAATAAACTCTGTAGATTTTCGTTGGGCATTAGTAGTACATATCAAAAAAAAGTTTTCTTATAGGCCAGTGAAACTTTGCACTATAACACGTGGTGGGTTTGTTTGGCAGAATTAAAAATAAAACGAAAAGCTATAAACCAGAATGCAATGAATACAACAAGAGCAAATCGGACGAACGTGTTAGCTTGTTTTAGATTCATTCCAAGTGAAGACCAGTGACATACAAGGTTGTTTACTCGTGCCCTTTTACTATATCTCCTGGTGATTGACTGAATTATGGAGATATCAACATCAGAGGCGAAGCACGGAATACACTGAACATCTCGGATGCAGTCAAACGATCTGGATTTCGCAGATGATCTAGCTCTTCTATCTCTCTCACAACAATTAATGGAGGTGAAGACGGCCAGTGTTGTAGCAGCCTCTGCGGCAGTAGGCCGCAACATACACAAGAGTAAAGTAAGTTTCTCCGATACAATAAAACATGCACCAACCAAATAACGTTTGATGGAAAAGCTTTGGAAGATGTGGAAACCTCTGCATACCTGAACAGTATCACTGATAAACAAGGTTAATCTGATGCAGATGTGAAGACATGGATTTGAAAAGCGAGGGAACATTTCTACACTTGAAGAACATCTAGAATTCAAAACAACCCTCAAACAACACCAACGTTTCAGTTTTCAATGCGAGCGTCTAGATAGCCCTACTGTATGGAGTGGGAAAATGAGAGAACTACCGAAACCATCCAAAAGATGCAGATGTTTTTTATTAACAGTTGTCTACTCAGGATATTGTGGATACGCTGGCTAGACACCACCAGCAACAACCTACTGTGTTAGAAAACGAACCAGATTCCAGCTGAGGAATAAATTAGGCAAAAGCGTTTGGGGTGTATAGGATATACTTTGTGGAAATCACCCGATTGCCAGTTCTAACTTGGAATTCTGTTGTAACACGCGTAATCAGCAGTCACTGAAGGGCAGAGAGGATCTAAAATCACAACACACAAGGTTAGTTCAACGCCTCACACCAATAGAGAACACGAAGTTGTTGTCACGGCACTCTTTTTATTTGAAAATCAAATACGCGGGCTTTGTACAGGAATAGGGTGGGTAGTGTACCAGTGTCTTATGAGTCATCCTGTAAGTTTAGAGCACTCAGGGCTTGTTCTTCAGCTTCCAAAGCGTTTGTGTTTGATCGTCCTGAAACAGAAAGAAAACAGAACGAGTTAGCAACGTCATACATAGTGATTTTGCCTCCGTTACACTGTAGGCTTACGGAAGAGAAGTAAATGTGGGAACACATTGCGCCGGAAATTGGAGTCCGACATGAAAAGAATGAATAGCAATTAGGTTGAACTGCAAAGGGAGGCCCAGGAAAGATTTGGTTGGAGAATGCTGTTCGGTGGCCCATACTTCATTGGGGTTAACAGGCGTACATTAGCAAGAGTGAAGTTGTAAATGATAACAAAAAGACAGTGAATCAAAAAATAAATTGTTACCCAATGTGTGATAATCAAGGCACCTAGTTGATACATAATTCAGGTTAACTACATGTGTGAATGTGTGTGTGTGATATCTTAATTTATGTGCGAAAATGAAGAGATAATATAATATGACTGACAAGCGTCTAAATAATGTTTCTATCTTACCATGGCAGTGAGAGATTTACCACACTTTGTTTCTGTATATAAAGATCAAGTCGAAAACATTTGCTGTCACTGGCCACTGCCAACGGAGTAAAAGTGGTATTCTCTGCCTTTTAATTATTTTAAAGGCTTTTGAGATATCCATGTAGTGTCCATCATCCATTTAATCTATAGTGATTACACTTGTGAATACGTTACTTTCAAATAATATATCCAGAAAACTTTGTAAATGCCTTTCTTTCAATCCTTTCTATTTATTTACTCGGATCCATACTGATAAAAAACATTTGTAATTTTCAGAAACTAACTTTTTTTATTTGAGATTTGCGTTCAGTTTCCGTTTCTTAACAATAATACTTACTAGTGTGATTACTAGTATTGCAGTCAGTGCACTTGTTCTATTTTGTATTGATGTTTCCGCATTATGTTATTTTTGTAAAAGAATTCAATAGCTCAAATGCATACAGACAACGATCAATAATTTCTTAGTTAACAGAGTACAATTTTGATTGATGTAAAACAAATTCATCTCAGTGATTTTACTGCATTTTTTATTGAGAAATAATGTTCAATCAAAAAATAGAAAATAATGATTTCGCATTTAATTAATAATAAAATGAATCCGCTATAAATCAATTTGAGGCAAAACAAAACTTTCAATCCTAATACTCTACCAACCTCGTTTATTTTGATAACTTAGATTAATGACCAACGGTCGATAGGTATCACTGTCCCTATTTGGCTTGCTAGTTTAACTGAGATTTGTATACTGTATACTGAACCATCTGAAAGCAAGAAGGAATGAGATAGGTTAATGCTTTAGAGTGATTTTATTGTATACGATAAGAAGTACATGGGTTATAGATAAAATAATTGTATACAGAACTATATGGTACCGTAAAATGTATGTTTTTTTTGGCTGTAAGCATGCATTCATAGACATACGCGCATAAACTGTAAATTATTTAGTCTGTATACAGTACTAAATGAAATGTATACTACTTCAAATGGGCTAATAAGGTTGTTTCAGTTTGACTTTTGAAATTCGGTCCAGAAGGAATATACAGATTTCAGTATAAGCAGTTGACCTTATCATACCGGTATGTAAAAGTTTGTGATTTTAAAATGTCGGATTTCTCATCGAGTTAGTGATAATTTACAATAATTTAGCCCGGTATTGTGAAGAAACTATAGTGGCTTAGAATTGAATAAGGATTCTGTATCAAAACAATTATCACAATCAAACCAAAAGCACATAATATTTTCTATTTTTCTTGGTACTTGCAGACGTGATGGTGCTTACAGGTTTTAAGTGCAGATATGATGAATTAAAGTATAAATGTTAGACAAGCCTGAATATCTACTGATTTTAAGTTTCAATGTTCATAGTCTTATGAGTGAGTTGAACGAACGTAGTTTTAAACTTCAAGGTCGACTGATATGATCTCATAGACATAAAATGGCAAGATAAGGAGGTCATTTGGATTTGATATCACAAGAGATAAGTGAAGTGGCTGTGATGTTAATGCTTCGTAGTCATTAGCAAAACTGATTTTTTGACAATTTGAAAACTACCGTTGCAATGATATTTTACCCCACTAAAATTCAAGGTCTTCAAATGAACACACATGATTTGTCTGACTGTAATTCAGCCTTGTCTAACTTTCCAGCTTCCTCTTTTCTCAGATTTTTCATCAGACTATAGGTTATTATCTGATGTGAGTCTCTGTCTGTTAGACCTACAATACTTTTAATACATTGGATAGTTTCAATGAAAAAAGAGTCCTGAATTTATCGCTGATCATTCAGCGAAAAAGTTGTAAATTCATGTTGAACTTTACTTTCTTGACATTTTCATCATTGTCATCTAACTTATCTATTTAGAAGATACAATTTGAACTTGTTTTATTATTATTTATAAATGAATGAATGTCTTGGAAATTTCATCTCCAGTTTTACTAGATTTAGCAGAATCTAGCTTGTATATTAGGCATTGTGGATAACAGTTTGAAGGATACTCAAATTATTTATTTTAATGCATACTGAATTGAGTATCTTTCAATACGTTTTGAATCAAAGAGACATTTGCGTCATGTTTTTTCTCTTCATATTTACAGGTATTTGTCGTCCAGAAATCAGAAAGTGAAGCATCCTCCCAAGGTACTGGATTTCGTAGTCAAGTGAGTAATTCTTTGTGTATATTTGTGAAATCGCCTCTTACAGATTCAAAGAGGAATATGAATGACTGTGTTGGTTAAATTATTGTATAGAGATCTCTCTGATGAGTGAGAATTTTTGTTGTATGTCTATGGATTACCACTACTATTATACCATTTCGGTCTGCTTAATAATGCAACCGACAGCAGCGGCAAACAACGACACCAACAAGAGCAACACCGTTACCATCATCAACACAATCACTACCGACAACAACGATTTAAATGTGTATCTAAGAGAGCATATGAAAATTTGTAAGAAAACGTTTTACCAGTAAATTGAATAACTTATAATACATCCATTTTCTTTTGTAAATAAATAATCTCTCACATTTAGTTTTGCTTATCATCACATTTTACTCATTTGATTCTTTGTTTTCTTCACACTTATCACCCATTCAATTGCTTATAAAAATGGTTATGGATCAGTGTTGCCATATATAGTCGATTGAAATGTGTGCATTTCTTTAGTCTATTTATTTCACATTACTAGGATTATTTATACTTTGATTCAAATGCATATCATTGAGTTAATTAAAGTTTTATTGGCAATCAATGAAAGATTACATAAGAAGAGATATTTTGCTTGATTATTATTTCGAGAAGTGTTAATCATTCATTGAGTATATGAAGTTAAAGCTCTATCGATCATATTTGACTGCTGACGGGAGATGAGTACTCAAGTGTTGTATTCTAAGTAGGACTCAGGACTTGGCGACTTGCAAAATATCCCAAGATCTCTTTTTTTAAATAATGGCTTCCTGACTTTTCACTACACAGCCTGATTTATATCCCATCTTCAGAACACTACTTGCACTGATGAAAGGAAGTAAAAATAATACACCTTGAATGTTTTGCTTTGAAAGTTAAGTACAAAAATGATAAAAAAAATATAGAGACTTGATGAATTGTATTTCAATGGTAGTAGCGTAGACACACTTTCGATAAAAATGCTGATTGAAACTTATAAATTGGTTGATTGCCAGATTCAAAAGTTCAGATTTATAGAAATCTAAATCGGCATCTAGGCATTATTTTCAGGATAATTTTTAAAAACTTACACACAAAACTGTATGAATTTTTTTATTTTGTATAGTTGATGTTTAACTGTGAAAGTGAAGCTTTAAATTAACTCTAATTTAAAATAATGCAAGTGTAAAAACTAATTGTGGTAGTGAGTGGCATTAAAAATCTGTTTCGCATTTATAGTTGTCACTTAAAATTTAACTAGTAAATTGTTTTTTTTTTTTGCGGATTTATTGTATGGCTATAAATTTGTAAGTAGCTATGAAAGAAGAGACTGATAGATAATTTCCGTTAATTAATATAGGAAATAAGTTACTTTGATCAAAGTCATTGTGATAACAAAGGCATTGCACAGGATGTTAGAACATTTAATAAAGACAGAATATACAACTAATGGGCAAACAAGAGACTATAATTCAAATTGATATTATGGAGGTATTAAGAACACTTAAATAAAAAGATGACTGAAACAATTCATACTCAACAAATCCAACATATACAAATAATAACTTAACTAAAGGAAATATGTAATATTAAACGAAGATTTGTAATGTTAAATCTTTAAAATTACTTATGTCTACTGAAAAATCCACGGCTTGATAATTAATTCCCTGAGAAGAGATTTCCACTTTCAGTTTTTTGCTTCTGATTTTCCAAATTTATCCATAATCTAGGTCTCCCTTGAATATTACTCATAACCACCCATCCATGGAAGTAGAATTCACCATTCATTACTTACTGAGTAATTTATTCATCAAACTATAAGAAGGTTTCTATCACGGACTGATATCTGTTGAATATTCATTATAAATTAGGGGGGAATGAGAAGTTATTTTAGTAATCTGGGACCCCACAGAGCAGCGCACGACCACTCGTAGAATCGAACACAGTAACTTCAGATCTCATCATCATTATGAGTTATTTAGACCTTCAAGTTGAAATCCTTTTTTATATGTTTTAGATTTCAGCCTTCACTTTATATCAGGACTTGAGTCCTTGAAAATGTGGATATTTTATTTTTACTTGTTATCTAGCTGATGTCAGTTCGTGAAGAAAGCTATCCTGAAATTTAGCTGATGTTTATGAACCATTCAGCTGAACGGCATTACTTTGAATGCAATCATGAATTGAGCAATGTTAGATCACCATTAGAAACCTAGAAGTACTGGGCGTCCGTTTCGTTCTGGTACGGGACTCTTCAGCAGTGCACGTCCACGACTCCTAGTCGCGGGAATCGAACCTAGGACCTACGATCTTACGCGCGAACGCCTAACCCTTAGACCACTCAACAATCTCCACAACCCTATAATGAACGGCATTAGATTAATAATTGTTATGTTGTGATATTTTCGATATATGTTCAATCACTTCACTATTACTTTAGTGACATAACAAAAATTGTTATAAATAATCTTAATAAATTAATATTTCTTCATATATTTTAATTATTTCAATTATGATTAGCCTGGTCTAATCTTGTACTCTTTACTGTTCAGTTCACTGACCAGTTACATAGTAGCTTAGTTATTCATCTAGGATTCAAGTATATTGAATTAACTCTGTAGAAAGTCGATTAACTTAGATCGAAAAACAAATTTTCTTAAGACACATCACTTTATAACTGATTACATACAGTTGACATTATTTCAAAATTAGGCCGATAATAACATAAATCCATGTTTGACTCAAAACTTCCTTCGACTACGAGGTCTAGTCTAACATGTGTGCATTTATCAACTGAAAGTTTGCTGATACATTCTAATGTATTTTGTACATGAAGATGTCCTATTACGATACCCTATCCTACCTGCTATGAAACAGTCATTACTATGCAAGTTAAGTCGTATTGTATTTAACTCCTGATTAATAATTTGATTTAATTGTTGGTTGTAGTCGATATGAATCACATCAATCAAAGTTCCATTCGAGTACGAACCCAAAACTTTGACAGCCTTCTAGTGCTCCCTAGTTTTCGATGGAAACTCAGTTGAGACCAATCGCTGACGAATATCACCTTTAAGTTAAAATATCCTTCCCAAAACCCCCTCATCACTAATTATTATATTATGTGAAATCTGCGTCCTTTAAAAATAAAAGGAAAGCATAAATGACACTGTCAATAAATCAATTTTTTGTAAAAGTATAGTATAGGGATGAGCTTAAAACAGTCGTCCAGCAGAAAGCAGATTCTGTGAATGGATAGTTTATAGAAAAGTAAACAATAAAACTACTAAGTGTAAATAGATTTTATATAAGTAGTGAATCTAACAAGGGATACTACCCCTAACTCAGGTCTCATGTGGTCGAAAAAAGAAAATTTCGCTATTGTGAGAAAAAACATTACTCGACATGAGATAAAAGGTACTAAGTGTTTGAGCCCATTAGCATCAAGCTGGGCTGCATCTCTTGCTATCCTATGTCATACGATGTATATACCATAAGCTATATTGCTATGTAGAGCTGAGGGATTCCAGTGAGACCAGAGGTTCGTTGTGAACATTGTGAATGACTTGGCAACACTTTGGCAAGTTTTGCTAATAGTCCATATACCTATTCGGTTTGCAGGGTGACCGATTTCATTAATACTGGTAGTTGTCTTGCAACATTCCCGGTGGCCATTGTCATTGGGGTGTTGTATTGGACATCACCATTACTAGTTATAATTAGTTTGACAGTCATGTCAGCGGGATGAGTCAAATTGGCATGTTCATGCTGAGCATATTGATTTACGCGATCGTAGATCGAAAATAATCACAGTATGTAATAGTGTATGTACATGGTGTGAATGGTCCACCAGATTGTCAGGTCCCTGTGTGGATGCGCCACAGGATTCAACTGTACTGTTCACGTTATAGTGCAAACAGGTGGGCAGTGTCTGGTTCTCCTAAAAACCAACGTAAAATTACCTTTAACGATTGAGGGTGAATTTATGTGATTGTATTAAATGAATCAAACAAACTCCTTTACAGGTTACTACTCTACCTGCAAATCTGTAAAATGATGTATACATTCACTTACATGGATATAGATTATCAATCTCCTGAAAACCTTTAAATATATCCAAGTACTTATTAAACGACTCCACAGTGCTCTTGGTTAAGCCATAATACAAATGTGCCCTGTCGAATTGGGATTTTCGAGCAGAAATCCATGGAGCGCTATTTGATTGGTTCGTAAACCATAGTCTCAACTTGTTAAGATTTATCACGGGATTAGGGGTTAAGCTTTAAGGATAGCATCGACTTGGTTGTTATATACAATGTGTAGAGCAAGAATTGAAGATTTAATCCGTTTAACACTATTAATTTTACTGTGCAGTGGCAAAAAATCTTCGCTATTATTCTAAACGTTGTGGGCACTAGAGAAAGATATTTCGACTGCTCTTTATACATGATACTTGTCCCTATACTATACTTTAAAGCTAATTCTCTGCAAATTTCCGAATTCCTTTTAGAAGTATTGACTAGTCACAGTGATAATTCATTTGACTAAACATTTTCGTTTAAGTTTACCAGTTTTAGACTCACATTTCCACTCTTATAAACAAAATTGTTTTCTTTGATGTTTATTTCCAATCACTTCTCCAAAACAATCGAAAACCGGATTTAGTAACTAAACCATCGATATGATGATGGATTTTAACAAATTCTCTCTGTATAACCAATTTCGAAATTATCAAGTGGTAGAATTATAATTCTATCAGTGGAATATATCATAAAGTGTATTAAGTATACGAATTAGAAGTTTGAACAAGTATGTGCTTGAGTGTGTGTGTGTGTGTGTGTCACTGCATAATTTCACGCAGTAGAAATAGTTTAAGCCATCTCAAACCCTTTTCTTTTCATATTTTTTATTAAAGCAAACTGATGTTAAGAGATTTCACAATAGGTTGTTTCCTATTATTTAACTTTTTAACGGTTTCTATTATATATATAAGAGGTGACTCTGTGACCGTATACTATCACCTATAGTTTACTTGATTTCTAATGAGCTTGTGGATTATCAGAAAGATCTTTGTTTTGTTTTTCTGAAAGAAGGGTTAACTTGCTTGACGTTTACTAAGTTATCATCAAAAATATTTTATTCTACTTTACTTCTTACTTAAGTGTGACTTAAAGTGCTTGAAGCTTTGTAATTGAAGTGATTTATTGTGTAATCCAAGAACTTAGATACTTCTATTTTCTTCTGCAGCTTCATAGTGGATCTTCATTAAATTCATTCATTCTTTGATTCATTAGTTAACGTTGAGGCCTTTGTACTTCGGCCCTTAGTACTGACACTAGGCAGTCGGACCTGAATGCTAGTTTCCTTCTAACTTTATTTGTGTACCTGACATCTACACTTTCTGACGACTATCCAGTGTAATCCGAGTCCTTATAAAGTATTGTTTGTCCTAGTGTTATGTTAATGTTAGTGCAAGATATATTTTCATTGTTAGTTTTCCGGTTGTGCTTAATTTTTCGGATCGCATAGATTTTCATGTGCTTTTTACCACTTAGTTCCTGATCATGATCCCAAAACTGTCACTAGTCTCACTCATCTCGAGTGGACTGATTGTAAGAAATTAGGTTTATCATTTAAGTTGTTTTTTCTCATTCAGCGTATAAGTACGTATGCTCAAGATACACCATAGATTGTCATCATTTTATCTCCCTAACCTATAATTTCGATCATTTGAGCTTAAAATAGAATAGGTCTTTTGGTACAGAGGTTTTACAAATGATAGAATGTACCTAACTCGACTGTATTGCATTGTATTGTTAAAATGTACAATTAAACTGAAGTTTTATTAATTCATGTTAAGTTACAGAATTCAGGATCCACACACGATATCAAATTAAGTTTAACACATTGTAAACTAACACTCCCAGTTTTTTGTCACTCTTGACGAAGTTTATTTTTATTAGATGTTATTTTTAAGTAGTCGTGATACGTGTAGTAGCAGTTCAGTAGTAAAATGGAGTACTTGGAAACAAAACTTTGAGTAGTTACGTCCCCATAATTATTTTTTGTGATTTATCTTCAACAGATATCTTATCAGTAGGAGGAGCAAAACTACAGTAGAAGACATGACAATAATATCTCGTTATTGGGCTCATCGATAAGGCAATCAATCATTTAAGACTTCAACTAGTACTCGATAGTGTCACTTATGAATATAAAGCTCATCATCAAGAAGAGGAAACCGTTTCATTTAGAGGCCTACTATTTATTATTTGTATTTGTCTAATCCTATACTTTAATGCTGAACACACTATGTAATATGAAGCACATGTGATTTCCTTATATCGATTAGATTCTATCACAAAAACTCTGAGTAGAATAATATCCATTAGATCAAAACACGATATACCTTATATAGTCATCGTTTATCTTCAGATAAGTTAATTGATATTCATTTTTTATTCTAGTTTGAGAGAAGTAAACACCAGCGGAACATTTAGTTTCAAGTAAATGAGCACTATTTGTCTGTTTTTTCCCACCCCCTCCTCCTTCATGAACATTTTTTGATTTGGATTGTTTTCTAATCAGTGCAATAGTGTGCATTCATTTCATTCCAATGATTTTTTTATTTTATTCGCTCATTTCACCTTAATACTGGCATATGCTTTGTATTTAAGTTCAATACATATTCGCTTCAACTAACTGATGATCACTGTTAGATTTTGAAATACTTATGTTTAGGTGATTAAAATGCATGTATGCATACTAAGTATTTTATGAATTTATTTATGTCCATGTGCATGTAAACAGGTATAATGACAGTGTGAATCTGTTACTTGAGAAATAAATCTAAGAAGTGTTTTTACCATCCTACATTTATCTTTTTTATACAGTAATTTGATACTAAGGATTAAAGATTATGTAATTGAATTTTCACTGTGGCTTTATTATAATGTCTTTTCTACATAAACTTAAGTGTTCAGGCATGGCACTGTATGTCATTTCAGGTTGTCTGTCTAATAGACGTATGAGTTATTTCGTATAAAATCTCATCATTCACCTTCTTTCAAATCTCATTCTGAAAATAAATTCACCATGTTCAGCTAGACAATAGTTCTTGTTTTTGGCAATCTATATTATTCGAGAAATTAAACTTGGCTATCTATAATCAGGTGTTTTCTAAGTTTCATGATAAGCCGAGCAAAACATTAACATTTGAAAGGCTCAATAGATTTTTACATCGTAATAAAATAAATACATAATTCTCTGCTTATTTCATACACATTCATTGCATTGTTAAAAAAGTTTATATACGAATCATGCATCACCCTATTTTGAACTTGCGTTTTATTCTGTATCACTGTTGCTGTTAGGGACGTACACTCAGTATTTATCGCTTCAAAATCAGTGTTTTTTTTTGAAAGAATTTCATGATGGGTTCTTCTTGGATTATCGAACTTCAACTGTGTTGGCTGACAAGTTCATTCTCTGTTGACTTGTACGGAGTATTATATTGTGATAGGAGTATAGATAAGTAGTAATATGGTTCGCAGGAAACTGTGTGACTAGAGGATGTCAAAATGAGTAATAAGTTCATATCAATTTAACATTCTACTCGCTAACCCAATGGGGACGAGTTTGAGGCATTTGCCTTGACCATCAACCGATTATCATTGTATGCTGTAAATTTAATAACTGTCATTCTGCTGAGTTACACAAGCTTAAGGAGCAGAGAATATTTCATTCATCACCGATAGTCTTTGAGTGAAAAGAATAATTAAATATAACATTAAATCATCTGCATTTAAAAAAATTTTGATTCCTACTTTTGTTTACTTGATTGGCGGTTTACTTTTTGCAAAAATACGAAACATCACCTATTTACTCAGCGGTAATAATCCGAAATGAATTAACTGTAGATTAGTTTCACTAAAGGAGGGTAGAGAAGCTTGTTTTTTTTTCTCATCTTTACATTGCTCTCGGCTCTCCTTTCTGGTTCTAGTCAGATGCTATTCATTCTTTTCGTGTCCGTCTCTAATTCCCGACTTAGTGTGTTCCCTCATCCACTTCTCTTCCTTAGGCCTAGAGGATTCCAATTTAGAGCTGGCCTCCTGATGCAATCGTATGATTTCCACAATGTATGTCCTATACACCTCAAACGCTTTTTCTTAATTTCTCCTTCAACTGGAATGTGGTTTGTTTTCTCATACAGCAGGTTGTTGCTGATGGTGTCTAGCCAACATATCCACAGTATCCTGCGCAGACAATTGTTAATAAACACTTGTATCTTGTAGATGATACAGCAGAAAACTGTCTTGATGTCGTATTGAAAATTGTGACTTTGGTGTTGATTGGGAGTTGTTTTCGGTTCCAGATGTTCTTGAATTGTAGGAATATTGGCCTTGCTTTGAGTGAAGCATAGTTAGACGCAATCAATATTTGTCTAGTTTACATACTTATGGGGTCATGTTGACATAATCATTCATTCATTCATTGATTCATTCATTCATCTAGTTAATCTTTAAATAATTAAAATTTGTGCTTGTAAAGAGTAGTTTGTTGCATAAATTGATTTATTGTTTGTTCTGTTTCTGTTTATTCTGTTCTTTTCATCATCAAGGTGTTTTTACTTCGGAAATATGCAAGTAATGAATTATCAAAGAGCTGTTATATATGCAGTTTATGTTCTGAAAGAATTGTTTATAAAGTGAGTTATGAAATAAATCTTAATGTGGTTGTTTAAAGAGTTCATCTCAACCGATTGATCAGTCAAACTTTGCTATAAATGGCTGACAATTTCATATTGCATTAACAATCTGTTTTCAAATGGCCACTTGTTCATTGATGCGATCAAATTATTTAGTTATAATAATAATAATAATAAAGAAATCAAAAGAAATCAAACTGTAACGGGACGTTTATGTTATTGACCGACTAGATAAGAAACAGTGCTTATTAAGCAATTAGGGATATGTGAATCGAACTTTGACTAAGAACACATCTTTTCTGCTTAAATTGTGAACACTTGGTGACTTGTTACCATCAAGTTCTGCGATATCTAAAAATGTTCACTTCGATTACGAGCACTCATTCATCTTTTTCTAAATCTGTTAGATGTTGATAAGTTGTTGTCACTACATTTCCAGAACAGTTTTTAGGTTCCCTTTTAGTGAAGGATGTCAGTGGTAATAGTTTTTCACTCCTTGTAGTTTCTGTAGGTAAGATAAGGTCAAGTTATGTCTATTGTTGTTAACAATGATATTCAACTCCGTAAACTCATCATACTTTCTGGAATTTGTATCTTCTTTCAGTTGGTAACAATGACTTGTATGCTTCTGTCAATGGTATGTGAACAATATGCTCCCCACTTTAAGCTTTAAGTAGTGTTTACTGATTACTGACCGAATGAATGAACGTATATGGAGCCGAGAAAAAACCGTTAGATTATGTTTTAATAACATAAAAACTGCATGTTTACGATATCAAATCTTTCTAACCTATTGAAACCATTCATATTAAGCAATTAGGCACTTAAGTGCTCTTAAAAGATCTTCCGTTAAACTGGTGAAAGGAATCGTCTTCCATGGAAATGTAAAACAGGATATATTTTAGTCGTTAGTATTGTGACTGAAACATTTGTTATCATGAATTATCATTGAATATTGTGGTAGGACGAAGTTCATAGCTATCAAAGTTAGCGAATATTAATTTATGGCATATTTTGTTTTGATTCAAGTTATAAAATCATTTTCATTATTTCTTCTTTGTCAAACAAGGGTTTATTTACCACAAAACAACTTTGGAATTATTACGCAGATCTGTCCAATCCTAATTATTTGACTCACTTTGCCATTGTTCACAATCGCTTTTCTACAAACACTTTTCCATCGTGGTGTCGTGCTCATCCTCAACGTATGATGGCTCATAATGGAGAAATCAATACACTGCGTGTAAGTTACAGTGATTGTATTTTTTTGTCAGTTGTGTTTGCAATTCATCATTTTTTTAGGCGTTTTCACTAATATTTAATGTAACAACTATATTTCGTCCTATACCCTACACAAGACTGGTTTTCATTGGCGACTGAAGGGTAAGTGCCTGGTAGATAGTTTATTTTCCTGTATTCCTGGCATAACTTACGTCCAACTGATGAATTTATGTAGACTAGATTTTACTTCATTGGATGTACAGTTCACTAACATTCTGAGTTAGTTAAATTAAATGTGAAATATCCAGCCACTAAAGTTTAAACCAGTGATTTTATGATAAAAATGGGCTGGTATCCAACACAAGAATAAGCAAAACAAAGCAGTTCATATTTCAAGCATACCACCAACTTTCTAGTGATCTTTCGACTATCCTTATTTAGTTAAAATCACCTTCAAATTAAATAATAATTTCTTATCTATTCATAGGAAATGTGTTATTTCGTCAATTACTTCTAAACATTGTAACAAAAAACAAGACATGATAAAGTATATTTTCTACTTTTATTGTCAATATAATGTTGCGAAACTAGTATTCCAGCGAACTGACTCGAATATCAATTAAATTTGGTTGGTTCTTCGCTGAAATTGAGCTTTTCATTAGTCTGTATAGGTAATTTAAAGAATTTCGTATTATTCAATACTTTTTTAATTTAAAAAGAAACGCTTTTGTCGTATAAGGAGATCATTAGATCGGAACTGTTACTCAACTAGTCGTTACCACTAATCAATTCGCTAGATTCTCCCAGATATGTTAGTGAAATTATGCTGAAGGCCTAGATTTCACTGATCACTAAGGAGAGAATACATGAACTACTGAGGCAGACGTCTGTGTAATTGAAACATCCGGTTGGTTTGTGCGATAATCATGCATTTAAAATGTTACATTACTCAAACTGATAACAATAACTCCGGACTAACAGATAATTTCAATGTGTGCATCATTATTTTTTATCTCTTCCAAATAGTTAGATTTTCCTGTTTATAGAAATTTGTTTCATTTGACAATAATAAATAAAAATTAGGGGCACGTAGAGATGTGAACTCTTCTCAAAAAATAAAACCTGTCACTGCTTTCTAAAAACAGGTAATTACCCATTTAGTTGATACTAGAGTTTACATCGCCACTAAATCACATTTCTAATCCTTAGTTTTTTTTTTCTTGATTTATTATATAAAACTTAGGGCAATGTAAATTACTGCCGAGCGCGTCAAAGTCTCATGTTCAGTCGTTTTTATACAAAGGCACAAATGTCCAAATTATTTCCTATCATTGAACAAGGCATGTCTGATTCAGGATCATTTGACAACATGATGGAATTCTTATGCCATGCTGGTGACTACAGTCTACCAGAAGCTGTAATGATGATGATTCCTGAAGCATGGCATAACCTAGATCCGGAGAAAGGCGAAATGTCCAAAGAAAAATGGAATTATTTCAAATGGGCTGCTAATAGTTTTGAGCCTTGGGATGGACCAGGTAAATCAATGTTTGTTGTTTTTATGTGGATTGCTGAAACACACTGGTTAAATTGATTTATACATTTTATTAGTAATGAAGAGGGTTTGAGCAGACCGTATTATTTTCATAGTTGTACTGCGCAGTGGTTCGCTCCGTCTTACTTTATGGCTGTGAAACATGGCCAGTGAGAGTAGAAGATATTCGTAGGTTACTGGTTTTCGATCATAGGTGTCTTTTCGAAGCATTGCTCGTATATCGTGGGACACCCGAGTGAGCAACGCTGTTATTAGGAATCGGGTGCTAGGTAAGAATGGCAGATCAATCGATGAAGTATTGAAACTTCACCAGTTGAGGTGGTTGGGACATGTGTTGCGTATGCCCAACCACCGACTGCCTCGTCGAGCCTTGTTTTGTAGTGTAGGAATAGGTTGGAAGAAAGTTAGGGGCGGCCAAACCAAAACATGGCAGAAATCCATGAAGTCATTCAAGGTCTCTAACCATCGATTATTATCATCTCGCGGACCCCAACCAGGTAGTCGACAATTACCGACATGGCTCAAAATCGTTCGCAATGGCGCCGGTGCATTTATTCTTTGTGTTCTCTCAAATCCTAATCTTCTGGATTCTTCAACACCTCTAGTTTCGACTCTCTAAACTTATCTCACTGAATCATACTTCTTGAATAGTATCTTCTAATTCTAACCCCTCCGATTACTTCTAATACCTTTACTACCTCTTCTACTATTGGATTTGAATTGACGATTACTTCTCTGTGTTAATGTGGTATGGCAACATGAACTGATGTACTAATGTACGAAGTTCTACGTTGCATCTGACTGACTGAAATCACGAACTAATCCAAGCAACATCACAATTAAAAACCTGGGAGCAGTGAACGACTGTTTCTTCGCAGTATGAGACTCGTCAGCAATGTGCATCCACGATTTCCGCTCTCAGGAATCGAGCTCAGTGCTTCTGCGTTTCTAATAGCCTCCTAGATCAGTTCGTGATTTCAACTATGGAAATTGAAATTTTGAATTATTGTGTTTATGCCTGGTTGGCCATCGCATTTGACGTCAATGAATTTGTATAAAAAAAAAGAAGTAAATTTTACTTTTGTCCTTTTTATCTAGAGGGATGAATAAATTTAAAATGTTCTCTTTGCTTTAATCCACTTCAGGATTGTTGTTTCAATGCCTAACTAATACACATAATAAAGATGGTTTCATTTAACAAGTTTATTCTCATAAAGTGTTGAAATAATTCACATATTGTACAAAGATTCGACAGAAATTGAATTTCTTGCTCATTATTTATATGAATAGTATTTTACTATTTTTCATTATTACAAAGTCTGGATAGTTTGATTTAAATGTTTATACTTTTTATTCAAACACTTCTGCTTTTATTAATTGTAAACTGTTGTCTGATATTTGTATTTTTCATGATTTCGAAATCCTTGACAGAAATCTAAACTGGCCCTATCAATGAACAATCGTAGTGTGTCAACAATAATATTCGTTTTTAGATTAGTTTTATGCGGAAAATTATGAACAAACGTAATTTAGGCTTTAAATATTTTACTTACACCTCATGATTTCTTTCTTTCATTATCCTTGCTAAAGATATGTTGACAACTTTATCGATGTAGAAATTATTCAAGTGGGTAAAACGAAAGAATAGTGATTGAATGTTCAGAGTTTAAATAAAAGCAGATGAAACTGAATACAGATTATACTAGAATAGTCGGTTTTAAGAGACATTTTCTAGGACTCTAACACCTGGTTTTTAACAATTCAGCAATACTACACTGCACTGACTCACTGGCAAACGTTCATTTGCAGACCCTTGGCTTTCCTGTAGCCTTACTCGGTTTAATCCTGTTCCATTTATCAGTGTAGGCTTTAACTTGGGAATATGCAACACGAACGATAGCCCATTTCAATCGGACCAGTGTTATAACCTTGTTAGCATAATCATATTCTTCCACTTTGGCCTCGTTTCAAAAACCTCAGTATCATCACTACACAGATCCAATTCACTCAAATTGTGCTTTTAAGACATCCATTTCCTAATAACATTCATGCTTTGTAGCCGTGATAAGAGGGACAAAAATCGCTGTGTAGAATATTCGACACCAAAAAAGCAGCCGTTTGTTTAGGGCCATGGGACACCTTTACACTTTTTCCTATGTAATGAGATTTTCTTTTCTTTTATGGAAAAAGTGAATGCTACAGTAAATTCCAGAAATAATTAGCAAAACAAAGTTAATGTTTAGCGAATCCCATATAGAGAGGTGTTTTTTACATTCTGTCAGAAATTGTTTTATCCAAACTCTAGTTGATTAAGTTTATCATAGAACTAAATGTGTACGTTCTGCCTTTTCTAGATTCACATCGAGCAAAACAGAATGCATTATTTTGGTGTGTATCTTCTTCCCTGTTTCTACTTCTTTTGTATCACATTGTCTGAATAATAATAATAATATTAGAATTGTTATTTCTCTGTATGCAGTTGTGTTAATGCTATTAAAATATTGATTTTTAGGTATTATAAATCCTAGAAATTGATTTCAGCTAACAATCACATTCATTCATTCATTGTAAGCAGGGATTTCAAGGAAATAAGGCTTTGTTCATTGATTTTCTATTATTGTTAGACTCTTGTTATTACGGATTTGTTTTTGCTCAGATTATTTCATATTAAAATTGAGTAAATTATTTCTCACTGGTTATAACGATATACATATACATATATATGTATATGATTGTTTGTTTGCTTACGGATTTGCTCTTACTTTGTTTCTTAATAATGTCATTATTAGCAAAGAGCAATTTTATGTCCTCATTGCAAAACAATCACTGTATTCATTTTAATTTCCTATAGTAGTCGCTTGTGTGTTATTCCCGTTAATGTTATTGATCGTTCTTAATTCATGAATATTAAAAATAAATTAAAACAATTTCAACTGCTCTCCTTTTAACTCATATAAATCTGAAAGAACTACTAGTAATACTACTACTAATACTACTACTACTACTACAATCACTAATAAATATTTTCATTTATTTGTCGTCTGAAAAATCTATACGCTTTCAATAATGAGAGATGGTGTGTGTAGTATACACGTGTGTGTGTGTGTCTGCATAAGGAGCGTGCGCGCGTATGCATTTCATGTCTTTCCGAGGAGAGGGGGGGCGCGTTGAATAGTCTCGATGGAGGAGAATTTACCTGCAAATTTTGAAGGAAACAAAAATAGTCAGTCAACTTCTTTTTCAGTTGATCCCCTAGTTTAGTTTCCTGTTCTAATTTGCATGTCATTCATTCATTCACTCATTCACTCATTTGTTTGTTTGTCTGTTTATTACAATCATCTACATTGTAAACGTGTGTTTAGGCACATTCTCGTTGATTATGATGCATTGACTGGCCTCTTTTGTTTATCGGATGTTGTTCTTTTTTTTTTGTATTATTATTATCCATGTTTGTTTGTTTGTTTGTTGTATGCGTTCTATTTAGAGTATTAGAGACATTTGAAATGCTTTAAATATTATGAATTAATTATTATTAAGTTGAATGAAATCATTGTTCATTTATCATCTGATTGGCAGATTGATTGTAATTTCCTTAGATCTCTCTCTGAGCGATGGAAATAATATACTGACTGGCCCCATTAATGACCATATGACTCTCAATCAAATAAGAAGTATGCTCGCATTTGAAATCCCACACAGGCTATGCTATGCGTTAGTCAAATGAAGACTGGAATTGACAGAGTTTTACCACCTGGAAAGCACATCTATCTTTGAAGTGAATACTAGCAAATAGTAAAGTCTGACTTTTCTTAAACAACCCACTAGCTCCGATAAAAGTTTACGTCATACTCTGAGACCTAGTAGTAAAAATGTATGTATTCAGTAAAATTGTCACTGAAATGACTATGAAATAAAAAGCTAGGAAAATTTTAAAATCTAATAAAATTACTATTAGAAGACTGGTGTTATTTATTTATCGAATGATGTGTCAGTAAGTAGTAGCAAAAGATAATCATGGGGATTACATTGACAATGAATCGATGGTGTTTCCTAACGGTAATGCTGGTCAACATTTGTGTGAATATAGTTGTGGCTAATAAAATTTACAACTATTCAAACTGAGTTATTTTCAAAAATGTAGACATTGTAGTTCCGAATTTATCTAAACGTATACTGCAACAGGTTCAATCTCACTGGGTTTCATACGAATGTTCATTTCAGTGACTCCGTATATGTTACTGACTTTCTTTATTTTCTGGGTGGGAATGCATCAATAACTCATTTTCTCTGTAATATGGTTGAACATGGTATTTAATTAACACCTCACATCAGATCACAAAAATGACTAAATTTTCAGTCATTTTCATTGTGTCGCAATGTACAACAGACCTTGTAGATCATAGAATAAATACCCTTATTCATAACAACTATCATGCATCTGTACTAGACTTAGGTTTCTGTTAGTCTCAGGAGGAAGAAGTCAGTCATTTACAGCTTGGCAACTCTGTTTAGGAACAATGGACTACGCTGAAGAAAGTCTTTATACCACTAATTCTTCTGAAACAGTTGAGATCAGGTCGTGACCGTTTGTTTGTGGCCATCATCATATTTGTTTATTTATATATACACAGTTATCAAGTATGTATTGTTACTTCCATCAGAATTCAAAATATCTTATGAACAGTTATCTCTCTCAGTTACAATTTTCTTCAATTAAGATACTGTCCAATCTTTTAAGATCACATACTTTGTGACCGAAATATCGACATATCACTTTGCCTTCCCTTATCTGAGAGTACTGTTTGTTAGATATATATTCTATTACTTTTCTGTTTCAATATATATCACCAATCTATTTTGATTAATTATTCAACATTTGTGCATGCCTTAGTGACATTTAAAGTTTAATTTGTTAAAATCGGAGAAACACAATACTACACAGCTATATTTAGTTGAATAGTTTTATTATTAAAGGACTTCGACTTCGCAAAATATCCCAACCATAATCTTTATTTCAAAAAGGATCGATGACTCCTAAGTATAATTTCTACTTTTTTCAGTTATTTGTGACAAGTTGATAAACCTCTAAGAAGTTAAGAGTTATATTGATAACATGAGTAATCTATTAGTTTAGACCCCCTGATCTTCATGTACCAATATCTATGCTTAGCTGATCATTACTCGGACAACAACAGTCGATTTTGTAATTTTTCTTTCAGTAATTGAGTAACTTTATTGATGTTTCTCCATGTTAACTTGTAAAACATTTTCCTTATACCATCTCTCTACCATTATAGCTCACTATCAGTAATTCTTGTAGATCTCTCAGATATACTTACCAGTTTGAATGCCCTGAGAAGTACCACATTCAAGGGCTTTAATATGTGGTATGTGTGCATGTCTATCAAGAGATGTTAAACAAATAAAGCCAAGATAACACTATTGTTTAACTATTTCAAAATAACTGTGATAATTAATAAGTTTAACTTGTGCTACTGAATAATTCGATAAGTAGTTAGGTTGGCGATCTGTTTTGGCATTGAAACTTTGAGGCTTTGTGAATGTGAACAAAAAAGTTTAGAGAATACTTGAATTCTTGTTGAAATTCAAGTTATCGATATTATCTTTTCGAAATATTTAATGAACTCGGAAGATTATGATTGATGTAAAACGAATAGTGGTACGTGGTACTTCGGGCCGAAATCCGCCATTCGTATGACATTTATAATGGCGCTTTGAAGGTTTAGTTCCGGATCCTAAATCCACATTACATCCAACTTTAGGGGAAATATTAATTTATAATTTTGAGCATTTCACATATCTAACCGCTGAATGTCACGAGATCCTATAAAAACTTCTAGGATATTGCAGAATTGTTTTTAGTCTGTGGTAACTTGAAGTAATATGTGAAGTGATATGTGTTCATTTATATTCTACTGATTGGTTTGTATCGTTTCTTTAGCTTAACATTACTTATTGTCTTTTGACTTCCACAGTTTCGTTCTTGTCCAAAATATAACCGTTTTAACAACCCAACAGACTATCCATATCTTCATGAATTATGTACAAACAAAATTGTTCACCTTCATTGAATTTCAATGTTTATGTGTTATGTAATACCCAATGAAGTCAGAACTTATCCTAGTACATTTCTTTTCCAGCTCTAATTGTATTTTCTGATGGACGATATATTGGTGCAGTACTTGATCGTAATGGTCTTCGCCCAGCTCGGTTTTATGCAACCAGTGATGATATGGTCTATATGTCAAGTGAAGTTGGTGTAGTTGATATACAACCAGATGTGAAAATTATTCAAAAAGGTCGCCTAAAAGCTGGACGTCTATTGATTGTTGATACAGAAAGTGGACAGTTATTAGACGATGAATCATTGAAATCCAAAATTGCTACTAAACATCCTTATGAAACTTGGCTTAAAGAAGGAGTAAGCAGTGTTCATTTCGTTCGAAAAAAACCGGGTTTTTTTTTTAAATAAATCATACTTCAGAGTATCTGGTTATTTTTTTGATTCTGTTTTAGGTTAATAGTCGTTTAATGTATCAATAAACAACCAGAACTCGAAGTAAAATCAGACTCCATTCCAGTTCAGAGTCAAATGCTTAAACAGCGAATCTACTGTTCCAACTGGACAACTTACGAAACCGAATAGTTTATAATATTAAACCATAAAATTTGAGTTAGAAAAAAGCCGTAAATTTAATCAGTGTGGTGTATGCTCTCGTATGATAAACGAAAGGCTTTTCCGCTAGATATTATTGTGAACTTTTTGTCAGCAGTGGTAGTGATACAATTTTCGAATTTTACTATTTATAATTTAAACATTACATAGGTTTACAGTGTTTTATAATAAGAATCGAATACTTGACTGTGTTTAAGCCTGTTTCGTCTCAGTGTATTTAGGAAAAGTTAGGGTGTCGTTACACCTTGAAATTTTTTGAAAACCTCTTATGACGCTGATAAATTCAATTTACTCTTTTCAAGGAATGCTTTCATCAGAAGTTCATTCACTGTCACAGTGAAAACTGTACAAATAGAATTAATGTTTTCATGAATTATGCAGACTGTTAGGTTGGTAAGAGCATATTGGTAGTTCAACCTTAGAAGTACCAAACTGAAGTGGTGAATTTCTAATGAATAAAGAATAGAAATAAATCCGTTACACAATAAAGCAAATTTCAACTGGTCTATTATTGATTGAATCTCTTTCAAAATTAATTAATGCCTTAACATAATTAATGTGACCCTGACACAGTGAATAAGTCTGTATTTGACTGGAACGTCACATTCAAAGGCGTATAGGAATTTTTTGGCTTTTATTCTCTTTGTTTGATTAATAATGGCTTTCATCAAAAGGCATTCGATTGAGAGTCATGGTGAATCAGTTATAAGATTGATTAAGATAAAATTATCTCACAGGTATTTGTATTTTTTTTTTGTAATGATAGGCTATTGACTTACCTGAAATGCATAAGGCTTTTGCGAATTCTCCAGAACATTATAAGAGAGTATCGACACTCGAACCCTCAGTTATCGATGATCGTCGACTTCCACTATTTGGGTATAATCCAGAAAATATTAATCTTCTCATTTTGCCCATGTTGAAAACTAGGTGAGTTTATATGAATCACTGTGTTTTTTTTTTCATGTATTACAAAAAAATGTACATAGCTTTTATGAATGTTACTTTGTTATAAAGTACTTGGACATTAATCGATGCGCTCATTTTTTTTTGTTAGTTGGTTCTGTAAAATTGACATCTGTCAATTATAGTTTTCCTTAGCCTAATGTATTTCATTCTTGACTATCTTTCCTATATTTAGATTATGTGATATTTATGAAAATAATTGTTGAAAACTTACTTTATTGCCTTGTCCATGGCGAAAAACAATGGTTTTAATGAAAATCGAAGCTCATGCATGCACTGTTTGTTTCCTCCAGAATAAATTCTCTTCTCTTCTTCTAACTCCTAACTCATAAAAGAACATCGTAAAGAAATGAATGAATTGTTGTTAACAAAGGATAAATTTTCAAGGCATTTATCAACTCACTTCATTTGAACATTTCTTAAGGTTACCCATTCTGCAACCGCAAACTTGTTTAACCGATTATAGGATGTGATGAATTTATCTCTGCTCTTTTTAAGGTTACAAGTTAAATTAGATTTAGAGTAAAAAGTTATGAAATGCAAAGAAAATGAGCAGTTTTTGTCTAATTTATACAAGGAATAAAGGAATGCAACAAGATACACTCTAGAGTTTGTATTAGTGTGATTTGAACAATCGGAGATTTTTAGTTGTCGTTTGATGAGTTTTATTAGTAGAACTGGTAACGTTAACAAACTGAACAGTTATTAATTGACCAGTCAATATCACTCAGAGGATTGGTTTCTAACAGTATTATTCAAGTCAGAATCTTATGAATCGATTATCAAGTAATAACTATGACTATGTTACTATTCCTTACATTTAATTATTAAGTTGTACAGCCTGTTCATTGAGATAAATATTCAGTACTTTAAGGCACTTGCCTGAGGGCTTTATCAAAAATTAGATTGTTAGTCCTTATTATGTAGCTATTAAGTTTGCATCTCTGAATAAACATTAGTTTCTTCATATCCCCCCAGTCAATGTTTCAATCTAGTTACAAAAAGCTTGAATGGTAGAGCCAAAACTTTTTCGTCTAAACATAATTTGGTCAAGTAATCATTGGAAAACATTCAATGTTCATGAAGTGCTAACAGTTCTCAAACAATTAAATAGTTTCCATGAATATGTGAGTAGCGCAAATTCAAAAAAAATTATACCTGTGTAGTGAATGAAAATGTATGGTGTGTACATGGTGCCCAGTATAAATATAAGCCTGATTATTAAGTGTTTCAAATCTGAACTGAATAATCATTTACATTTTGTAAATGTATTTAGTCATGTTCATATTGTATCAAATATTTTGCATACAGATGTATCGTTGTTTTCCTGCACAAAGCAATAAATTTTCTTCACTGACAAATTATTCTATCCCCTGGCATCTGTCCAATGGGAACTTTTTGCTTCCAATATACAGCGTTTGTGAGAAGCTATCATTTCTACCGTTCTAATAGGTCAAGTGTTTGATCGCGATCAGCACAATTCATGGTATTTTCCCCATCATTTCATATAAGAACAAACTCGAGAGAGAATTCAGAATAATTTAATGGAATATTCAAACATGGCGTTTATTTACTGAGTAATTAATGTAATCACGAACAGTTTCTTAAATTTACTTCTGTTACTAATGTTTACCGAAAGATCAGTTTTTTTTTACATATTGGTCGAAGGTATGTAGGCAGCATTATTCTGTTACATTCGATTTTAAGTGTATTAAACATATAATAGCAAAGCGAAAACCGAGGCCTTTTGTATTTTCGAGCGATGACTTCAATTCTGTTTACGTTTCGTTTATATGCATGCCTCTAACAGACAACAATACTGTTGCTGCTAGAGTTTGTGAACGAACACAAGATAAAGCTCTAAATCAATCTGAATCTTGAAAACGTGAGGCTTTAGTGATTCATGATAATTTATGGACGGAACGTAGATAGAGAGACATATTGAATTTTCTTCATGATTCTGGTCTGACTAAAATGCCTACCTATATATAAAAAGTCAAATAGTAAATTTAGCCTGTTGTTTGGTCTTCTGTTTGTGACTATCGACAAAAATAACCTCAACTACTATTGATCTAAAATATATATCGTCTTTTATTTGTGAACAATACTTGACTTCGTATAAGGAATTATTCATAACACTAATTTATGGCGGCTAACCTATTATAATACCATGTAACTCAAATTTCATAACACAATGAAATGAATAACTTAAGCTGTGAAATACCATATATTTTCCTGAAACTAATAATTCCGAATCATTTTATTTATTCAAGCATATAAACATGGTTACTCTGTTTCAGCAAAGAAGCACTAGGCTCTATGGGGAATGATGCTCCATTGGCTTGTTTATCGGAACAAAATCCCCATGTATTTGACTATTTTCAACAGTTGTTTGCACAAGTCACAAATCCTCCTATCGATCCATTTCGAGAACGAATTGTCATGACTTTGGTAAGTGTTCTTCTCAAAGGGGAATATTCAGTCGTTCAGACTTCTTTTCAAGGGTAAAAGATTATTTCGAAAAAAAAAAACAAACTTTAATTCTCGCGCAGTTAAATAGCGCTCAAAATTGACATTCATCCAAAGGAGACCAACTGGGACTCATTGGGAAGGTGTTCATGATTCACCGATTTGAATCACGGTTAACTTGATTGAAATTTTAAACCGTTACTTGGATAATTAAATTTCTGCAATACAATGACAACATCAACTTTAATACAATGAACCTGCATTCTATTCTTTTCTTCATCTACATGTATGCTTTATGATAGACATTATATGCATTTATACATATAAAATTATAATTAAATTATAAGTGGGTGAGTAACTGGGACTTTTCACCAAAAAGGAATTCACTATGAGTAAAGTTATAGAGAAGAGTCAAAGATACTTAGTAACACTATTCATTAATTGAAACAGAACCGCTACTAAATACAGTAAGAGAGTAGATTCAAATTGATAAGACAAGGAACAGAACTTAATGAAAGCTGAGTTAATACAAGTAGGTAGATTTATAAGAAGTAAGGTTGTGACGGGGAACTACATATTAGGTTGCAGATTTTAATCTAAAAGCGTAAATGGATAATAAGGCTTATACTGGGATCACTGTCGTTGAGTGACAGTGATCCCCTCAAAATGTCATAAAATCGTTAATTGACTTAATGTTATGTGGTCTTCACAGTAACTCTTGGACTTTAAACAGTTTCATTCACCTTACTTCAAATATATACAAAAGATTGTTGTAAGGTGAGAAGTTAGATGAGTTACTCTGACTAGTACCTGAAAATAATTTTTAATTTGGCATATTTATAATATGTAGATATGGTTTAATTCTGTCCATGTTCTTTTCATTACTTCCCCTCTAGATGTGTCCTATTGGACCACAGAAAAATATTTTGATTCCATCAAGATCACAAACGCATCGTTTATGGCTTGCGAATCCAATTTTATCATTAAGGGATATGGCTTTGTTACGTTCACTAGGGGGCGATTCTCCATCACAACCTGAGGATGTCAAAATAACAAGTACTGTTCTCTCTTGGCGTAGTGTTATTTTGGATGCTACACTATCTACATATGAAGGTTCTGGAGAAGTTTCATTGGGTACAAAATTGTTTCAATTTCTGCAAGATCTGTGTGACAAGGCCGAGAATGCAGTTTTACACGATAGTGTGGATTTATTAATAATTTCTGATAGAGCCAGTAGTCAGGATCGACTGCCAGTTCCAATATTGTTAGCTGTTGGGGCGGTACACCAACGTCTAGTTCGTCGTGAACTTCGTATGAGGGTTGGAATAATTGCGGAAACGGGCGAATCAAAGTAAGTTTAATTCTTCCAAAATTGTATTGCAATAGCATTTATCAATTGATTGACGTGAATAATATTTGATTGATTTACAATTTGGATTTCTGTAATTTATACTACACTTTTAATTGCCACAAATATGTGAGATGTAGGATATGTTTCAGTAACTGAATTCACAGAATTCTTCAGTAGTTCAAACGTACGTTTAGAAGCATTGTTAATCATGTATTTGGTAAGTTTATAGTGTGATGCCGTGTATCTTGATATTATTGTAACTCGAACGGTTTCACTTCTTAAAGGATTCACTTTAGCAACTATCCAAATAAGCTGCAGTTTTAAGAACGCAACTCTTTAGCAAAACAATCATTCAGTTATTTGATTAAAAATAACTTAAGTCATCACTCTTGGCGTAATAATAATGTTTCCACCTTTAAGGTTGACTCAGCCGCTAAGATATGCTTCCATATCAATCAAATGGCATAATCTGTTAATTGCTGTTGTCTGCGTTAGATCAGCAGACCAATAATAAACTTATAGTTTAATCATCCTCTTAACAATTATATTATTTTGTCAATAAACTTCTGTCATCAAACAACGAAGTCGAGCATGATATGCACAATATTAACTAAAGCGTCTGACGAATATTTTATTCTGCGGCAACCTATCAAAATACGTTTGAACTGTTTCCATAGACCTTGGTCTCTTTATCTCTGAAAAAACAACGAATAAACCGCTGTGCCTAAAATACAGATATTACCTTTTTGATTTGATCTTTAAAAAAAGTACCCTGAAACCATTACTAGGCCACAAATTTAAAAATAATAATAATTTTCATATATTATTTATCTTATTTCAGAGAGGTTCATCATTTTTGTACACTTATTGGTTTCGGTGCAGATGCCATTTGTCCCTACTTAATTTTTGAATCTGTCTCACGTTTGAATTATGAAGGTCTACTAACATCAGATACAGTTGTGAATGAAGAAGAACTATATTCAAGTTTCATAGCAGCCGTTGAACGTGGTATACTTAAAGTAAGTACGATCAAGATTCACAATGGCCGCTTTTTTTTTTAAATCTGACTACTTTAAACTTTTACATCATGATACGAAAAAGAATTTATCAAGTTATGATGCCTCATTTGCCCCTTTGATAGTTGTGCTTGTATTGACGATTACTAAAGATTTCAAATGGATTAAGTGAGAACTGACCAAGCGTTTTAGGTTAAACTGTGTCATAAATAAAATGTGCTATTCTAATTTGTGTGTATCTGCTTAAAACTGACTTTTACAAATATACACGTTAAAGTGAGTATGTGATTCTGTATGTAAATATTCATTCTCATATTCTTTTCGTCTTGATAGTCATATGTCTTAAGTTGTGCGTTTGCAACAAATCATTCGAGCAACTTTTTTTCAACCTAATATACTTTAGCAAATATCGTAATAAAAGTAATCTGGTCGATTGTTAAAGGAAGTATCGAATTGAGGTTGTGGAGAAAATTTGTAGTTAAGATGTAGTCTCATTCTCTGAACTGGATGGTTTCATCATTGTAGAGATTTCATTGATCTGCTGAACAACATAATCAGGTAGAATTAAAGTATTCGAATTTCGCTACAGATGACTCGTAGCTTATCATGTTGACCTCATCTTGATTGGTTGTTATTGTCTTCAAACCTGTCATAATTTGCCTCTAGGTTTTGATTGTATCCCCCTTAGATTTGTTCTTGATCATTTGCTTGTCTATGATTTTTCTGATTGGTTGACAAATTGGTTCAATGTCGATGAGATCGTTGATTTCCAATTGACCTGAGTGTCAAGCTTCTAAAAGTTCTCTGGTGTTCTTCGTATTCTCTCTATCCAGTATTTCTACATTTTTCCAATCAATTGTACAAAACGACAAAAGAAGAACCCGGATCGATTAAAGTTAGACATTAACACCGTTGTATACCGGCTCAGTGGTCTAGAGGTTAAGCGTCCGCGCGCGAGACTGAACGTCCTGGGTTCGATTTCCGCGAGTGAGGTTCAAACAAATGCATTTCTGATGAGTCCCATACTGGTACAAAACTGGAATCCAGTGCTTCTAGGTTTTGAATGCTAGTCTAACAATCGTCGATTCATTATTTCGATGAAAAGAAAACCGAACATCTACAAAATAAATTGTTCAAACTGCGAAAAACATTGCATCAGACAAGGTGGATGTCCTCTTCAGCTTTGCATACGTGGAAATTAATTGACAATCAAATGCCATAACATTTCTTCCTATATATATTAATACATGCGGATAACTATGGACATACATTCATGCTTCTCAAAATAATCGGACACTTGCATTAATTAGGAATACTTTAACAATATTTTTCTATTGACCAGTAGTACAAATAGTCTAATTGTTAGTGATAAAAAGATTACCCAGTGAGAGATTCATCATATATATATACTCACTAACTACTGAATGTAATTAACTCAAAATGTTAGTTTTTTTCAGATTCAGACACAGGTCATTCTGCAAAATTCACAAAATTAAAGTTTTTTAATAAAGATTTTATGAAGGAATCGATCTCAAGTTACAATTTTGTTTGATTTTCTAATCTGAGGTTTTATGAAGTTGTCCTTTCTAATTCACCAATTTTTGAATTAAGTTTACTGAACTATATTCACGTGTTTTCGGCTTATTTTAAAGCCTCGTTTGGCAACTGATGCAGGATTATGACCTTTTTGAGAAAGTGACCTTTGTAATTATCATTTAATAAAAGTTGGCTTTAATTTTTTGCAGGTTATGGCTAAAATGGGCATCTCAACATTGCACAGCTACAAGAGTGCTCAGATCTTTGAAGCTGTTGGTTTAGCACAATCTGTGATTGATATGTGCTTCTGTGGGGCCGTAAGTCGTGTAGGCGGAGCAGATTTCGAAATATTGGCAAGAGAAGTTACTGCACGTCATCGACTAGCCTATCCAGAATGTCAAACACTTTGTACTAAAGCACTTGAAAATCTTGGTCAGTTTGGGAATAATCCTGGGTTTTATCACTGGAGACATGGTGGAGAAAAGCATATAAACAGCCCAGAGACAGTAGCGAAACTTCAGGTATGTTATTTCCAGAAAATTTTAATAAACACGGTTTCATATCCTTCAATCTGTGTATAATATACATTTGATTCCTCAGAAAATGCCACCATATTACTTATTTTCGTCGGAGAAAATACTACGAGCAAGTAGTAAGTTATAGTAAGTAACTTCAAGTTTTGTTTGCTTCCTGTTGTGATATTAACTTTTTGGACTGTGAACGTGTACAGAATACAGTAACTTGGTATCCAGTGATTTTTACAGATGGATTTATGATGAACGCACTGTACTAATTCGTGTTGCTCATCTTGTTTCGAATAGTTAGCATTTGAGTAATCTCAACCAATCCATCTTTCTACTTTTACTGACATTTACTTATTTTCTGATGTCTCACGGGATTCCTGTAATGCCTAAATGGTTTCCATTACATGTGCTACTTTGTTTCATGTTTCATTTGAAACCTTTTATTTCTGGGCTACAACGTTCATTAATAAAGGTAGGCAAACAGAAAACTAGCTGGTGAATCGGTTATTATGGTAAGAAGTGATTGGTACTAGATTACTGAATTATTACACTTACGGATACAAAACAAACGTTTACAAACTAATTTAGAATCAGATAATCACTAGCCGTTTATTGGAACTTTCTATACTAACGTCAAGAAAATATGACACTGTTGTTGGTCGCTTTGTAAATCTTTGCTTTATGAGATACTGTTTGGATATATGCATTCATTCGTCTTAACGATACTTTGCTTCCTGTCATTATGGTCATAGTCATTTTTATGAGTCAGTCAGTCAGATGCAACGTAGAACTTTGTACATAAGTACATCAGTTCATGTCGCCATACCACATCAGCACAGAGAAGTAATCGTCAATTCAAATCCAATAGTAGAAGAGGTAGTAACGGTATTAGGAGTAATCGGAGAGGTTAGGATGAGAAGATACTATTCAAGAAGTATGATTAAATGAGAAAAGTTTAGAGAGTCGAAACTAGAGGTATTGAAGAATCCAGAAGATTAGGATTTGAGAGAACACAGAGAATAAATGCACCGGCGCCATTGCGAACGATTTTGAGCCATGTCATTCAAGGTCTCTAGCCATCGATTATTATCATCTCGCGGACCCCAACCAGGTAGTCGACAATTACCGACATGGCTCAGTCCACTCGTCAATGACTTCATGGATTACTGTCATGTTTTGGTCTGGCCGCCCCTAACTTTCTTCCAACCTATTCCTACACTACAAAACAAGGCTCGTCGAGGCAGTCGGTGGTTAGGCATACGCAACACATGTCCCAACCACCTCAACTGATGAAGTTTCAGCACTTCATCGATTGCTCTCCCATCCTTACCTAGTACTCGTTTCCTAACGACAGCATTGCTCACTCAGTCATTTTTATGAGAGAGTAATTATATACAATAATAATATAAATGTCATATTTTTATGTTAACTTTATAGGCTGCATCTCGTAATAATAGCCATGAGGCTTACAAAATGTTTGTTCAAGCTGCCGATGAGTGTTCACGTCATTGTACTCTTCGTGGACAGTTAGATTTTAATTATTCGGAAAATCCTTTGCCGTTGGAATTAGTAGAACCGGCTGCAGAAATAGTAAAGCGTTTTTCTACAGGTTTGTTTTTATTATTTTAAACCGATCAAAACATTTCGAGATTTTGTTACAAGATTCATGGTTTAGTTATTTATTTATATATTCAAATAAAGTATACTACTTCACTAGCTACAACACATCAATCATGGCGTAAAATTCTTGAAATTCTCGAGATTTTCAATACACTATTAAAAACCTTGTTAATAAATAACATGGCCTGTCTTTTATTATTATAGAATTTTGTAAGTAAAACTATCCTGAATACAATCGTGAAGCTTTAGTTAAGCAATGTTGTTGAAAGAGATTTTGGCCTTGCATTGTATACTCTCAGTCTAAACGAAATGTCTTTAGAGCTTTTTAAGTGTTTAGTGATGCTTTTTCATAGTTCATTTTATCGTTATTTCCTACGTATAGAGAAAATGTTTTGGAATTAGGTATTCAGTAGAAAAGTATTTGGAATATTGTTTTCATAATCAGAGAAAACACAATCTCTCTTTCTATGATTACCAAATTATAAATGAATACGGAGTAACAGGATCTGAACAAGAACTATGCTAGTTTCAGGCTTAATATTTTTGCAAGACTTAACTTTTAAACTGAATCACGTCTTCACTTTAAGTATCGATTGAGTGTTTAACATCCATCCATTGAGAACTGATACGAAGTCAATGTGTGCACTGTATTTTAATTGTTTTTTATAGGCGCTATGAGTTTGGGAAGTATTTCTGCAGAAGCTCACACTGCTTTGGCTAGGGCTATGAACAAAATCGGTGGCCGTTCAAACACTGGTGAAGGAGGCGAGCGACCAGAACGTTATAAAGATCCTGAAATATGTTCTGCTATAAAACAGGTAAGCTCAGTCCTATTACACACACGTGTAGTTTAAATATACCATAAACTTTTATTCAACAAACTAATATACATCATTGTCAACATAGACTGATCTCCGTATTTCGACAAATATTAATTACTATCTGCTAACTGATTCTTTACCGGAAGTTTGGTTCAGAATCAAGTTAACTAACTCTGTATTGCTCGGTTGTTACTTAATATGCTTCTAGCAAGTAACAACGTCATAAAAAACAGTGGCAGCTACTTAAAAAATATAAGTACATCACTTATCTCAGTGAAAACCACTGAACTAAGTAACTAATAAGGTATCGTATACTATTTTGAATTATTTTGGAGAATAAATTTCCGACAAACGAGACATATACAAAAAAAACTAAAGCACGTGCCTAGTTTCCTGTCAGTCGACCAACCATTTTTGCTACGGTTGCCATAGTTTTGTCAGATCAATAATACAGCAGAACACGGGCACTAATATTTATTGAAAGGAAACAAATGATTTATGCCGTAATTATATTCTTTTTCCATGGCTGAAATAAGAAGAATTTCTATTTATATTAACCGATAACTATTGACAATCTATTTATATATGATTTTGAGAAAAAAATGTCTCCTTATTGTTTAACTTTATACAAAATCCTCTCGTATTTTTTGCTTAGTTTACAAAGAAAATGATTCACAGCAAAAAAGTACATTGAGAGTGTTTTTTGGACGACGACTGATACAACTAGTTAATTAATGTGATGTAGTGGAACTCAATCTGAAAGCAATGACAAGTGTATGTGTTGTTAGTCTAAAGCACGTCGTCATATTTGAAACTATTACTACTATACTACTATGCAATGCTGCTGCCAGCTGGTAGTATTGATTTTTTTTTAAAGTTTCAAATTATTCCATCTCCATAGATAAAATTGCGTTTCTGCCTGCCTACATTGACAACGTGTAAATCAATCGTTTTATTTGAAATCCCTTTTGAACTATTTCACTAACACAGTAGAATATTCTTCTAATTTTATCTGTTTGTGTCTCTATAGGTATAGATGAGATTCTAAAAGCTTTTTGAGAGAGAAATTGTAAATTTTCTACAAGTAATCCGTGATATAAGACAATGAAGTGTTTATTTAGCTAACTAGACAGATGAAAAAGGCTTTTGTTGATTGGAAGAAAACTTGTCGTTAGTCAGATCAGCTTTAAGGATGAACAGCAGAATGAAATCCGACCTAATTTAAAGTATTAAATACCGAATACTAAAATGCATCTCGGCATATTTATCATAATTTAAATAGTTGGTTTAAAATAAAAACCACCTATAACCGCTGATAATAATCATTAAAGTAAACTTAAATTCATAATGGCAATATTTCCTATTTATAAATTTAACCATTCATTTCGTCCTGCCTAACACATAGGTTGCTTCCGGACGTTTCGGTGTGAACAGTTCATATTTGGCCCATGCTGAAATGCTGCAAATCAAGATGGCTCAAGGTGCTAAACCTGGTGAAGGTGGTGAGTTGCCAGGTTATAAAGTTACTGAGGAGATCGCCCACACACGTTACTCAGTGCCTGGTGTGGGTTTAATCAGTCCACCACCGCATCATGATATTTATTCCATAGAAGATTTAGCTCAGGTAAATTTTCGCGTGAATGCTTCGCATAAATCTGTTTCGGAAATTCGCAATTGTTTATTGATGCCGATTATGTTACGTGTCTATAGTTGGCACCATGCACGATTCACTGTAACAACGGACTAACTAGTCGACGGGGACCATGAAGTAGTGAAATATTTGATGCTCAAGTAGATACTGCTGTAAAAGCTTCGTAGAATCCGGAATACCGTAGATTTACGTTAAGATTTTTTCTAAAAAAACTAACAATTGTTAACTAAACTTCTTGAGCAGCTTCATTCTATCACAGAACGAATGATCAAGTAATCCCAGTATGTCTATAAAACAAATGTTCCATTCTGCATACTTTTGGTTGTTGAGTGGGGCTAGTAGCTAGAATGTCTGACATTGGGCTTTAACTGGCAATCGTGTCAAAATAATTCAAGTGGGAAAGTAATGTAGTCACTGTTTCCTTTTGAGCTTATCAATCTGTATATACTATTTAAAAAATTAGTTTCAGATTAGTGGCATGCCTTTTTATATTTATTTTAAATTCATTCACAACAGAAATTTTAAACGTTTAGAAAAGATCACAATTCTAGCAGGGAATTTCAAAATACACTGCTTAAATGCGTGATTAAAGTGAAGATATGTAAACGTTTACAACTAACTACTTGTTTGGATTCACATTATTAGTTTTATTCATATTTTATACTAAACTAGTTTTAAATTTTTTTTTAATGAATCAACAAATTAAATTATCTTTTCATCGCAAAAAATGTTTTAAACATTGAATTGTGTAGCTAGGGTTTCATGACGTATCAAGTCCCAATCTAAATAAGAGACAACAAAATCACTCATTCGATATAAATTCACGATTCACAAAGATACATTAACACTATATTAATTTCTGATTAAAGGTTTCGGGAAAAAAATTAGTGTGGTGTCAGGTTGTTATAGTTACTCAATGATACGCATTGGATTTTACTGCTGTTTACATTGCGCTTGACATTAATTTCAGTGGACATTTCATTGTTCACGATATAGATTGGATTCTAATTCTGTTTTAATTAGTCTTTACTCGTTAACTCCGGTAATGTATGTAGAAGAAAATACCTTCGCTTTAATACGAGTGACAGACTTTATCCGAATTCCTGTCAAGTACAGATTTGACCAAGTCGCACAAAATATACTCAAACATATTTCTGCACAAAAGGTGAAGAGGTTTCCACTTATCATTTGTAAAAGTGGTCTTCTTTTGTTATATAAATTAAAAAGCTAAATAGATGGCTAGTGGAATTTTCTTAGGACGTAAACTAAATAACTGAATACACTTGTACAGTTTCTAGTGATGTTCGATTCTGAAAAAGGCAGAGCCACTTTTAATAAGGTTTATTCTTTAGAGACGGCATTGTGGTCAAGCCAAGCTGAGGATTTCATAGTCTAAAAACAATTTCGAAACTAATTTACAGACTTTAAAATATGTACTGATTCTGATCAGTATTGGGTAGTTGGTCTACCATACTGAAATAGTTAACTGCAAACATAATGGGGATCTTTAACCTGGACACTAAGTCATTCTTGGCAGAACAAGTCTACATATTTTCCAATACATCTGGGCAACAACCACACCATTTACAAAACTTTGGGTGTAACTAGATAATCCAGTCTATCGTTTCAATGGAAAAATCCTTACTTCAAACTATACGGAGTCTTAGTTTTAACATTTGAACGAGAACACAACTGAATATTCAATGATTAAATAAGATTTTATGCATAATGTACACTTTGAACTACGTCGAATTAACTTAAGCCAGTATATTGAGATAATATTCATTTTTTCTATACTTGAAAATTTAAATTTTACACCACTTTTACTTCCCAATTACTATTAAAATTTAGCTTATTTATGACTTGAAAGCAGCAAATCCATTTGCTGTAGTTAGTGTGAAACTCGTGTCTGAAATTGGAGTCGGTATCGTTGCTGCCGGTGTGGCCAAGGTAAGAAGTCAGCTTTTGTTCACCATTCATTTATATTTTTTCTAAAAAATAAACGAAGTTAACTATCGTCTATTCAAATCGATCGTTGCGGTGATAATAATTAATCCGTTATAATAATCACAGTTATGACATTACAGTATTGGCTTCATTTACAACACAGTGTGAGATGGTCACACACACACAAAAAAAAACTGGTGAAACTTCTTGCTAAGCCATACTGTACCTAGTACTTTTGCCGATTTAAAGTATTTAAAAAGACAAAGTTGACTGATAAGCTTAAAGTTAACTAACATAGTTTTATTCAACAACATAGTCGATTAACAATATTCTAAAAAGGTGTTAATAGTGTAATCAACCTACAGTTCACAGATTTAAAGTATCTTGACTTGCATTTGTGAAGAAAACTGAAAATTTATGTCAAGAATGTACTCGGTTCATTGACTTCGTCACAATTGATGGACTACTATCTTTTGGCAACAATCTTTAAAGTTAAGAAAAAAAAACATGACTTGAAAATAATGTCATCCTCATTAGAATAAGAAAATAAAATGGACTCTTTTTATCGGTGTACATTTTTCACTTAATTTTATCTCCCAGGCTCGAGCAGCACATATAACCATTTCCGGTCATGATGGTGGTACTGGTGCAAGTAGTTGGACAGGAATTAAACATGCTGGACTTCCATGGGAACTGGGCATTGCAGAGACTCATCAGTCCCTTACCAGTCAACAGGCGCGTTCACGAGTTAAACTACAGGTTGATGGACAAATACGTACAGGTAGGAATTGCGAGAGCAGCAGTGTTTTATCAGTGAAATAATATTTTACTCATTTATGCATAATAGCCAATTTTTTATGTGATGCACTGATGACAATAATCGTTTTGATACTTTGTTGTATGCAAATAAAATTCAAGCTATGATCAAGCATATTTCATTCAATAAATCTCTTGTACAATTAGTCTTTAACAAACTCAGCTGTAAGTCGATCGATTACTGAAGCAGTTTATATGAGAAATTGGATCTTTATTGAATAAGAGACACATTAATAACATTGAACAAAACAATTATCTAACCTAATCAGGTTGGTAATATGAAAAGCATAATAGTCAAGTAGAGCAATGACTATTTATGTGTCAATCATCAAATACTTAGGTTAAGTAGTTTACTTTAATAATCTAACAATCCTATAGATAGCTTAAGTTGATCAACCATGCAGTGTCACCAGTAGAATAAATGGATTCCTGTTTATTTTTTTTTTCAGATTTCATTGCCGTAAACTAATTACATTTAGGATAAATAATAAAACCTACCAGACAGCTGGATTTTCTTAACATTGTTCATCCGTCCTACCTCTAGATATTTCACAAGTAAATAGTTATAAGCATTATCTAGGCAAACCATTCGAGTTGCTATAGAAATGAAAAGATACAGCTTGAAATTGTTTGATAAAAGTAGGAAAGGTTGAATACAGGCTGGGTGGAAAAGATGAGCTTCTGTTGTACTCTTGTTATAGAAGGGAAAATGCTTCACACACACAAGGGATTGCATTCAAGCTGTCCATAGAAGCACGACAAGCACTTATAGGATGAGAATCTCACAAACCCATGATCATCAAAGTATCCGTCGACACGAAAAAGGAGTGCTTTACAATAAGTGTTATACTCCCGACAGTGATAGCAACGAACACGACAAAGATGAGTTTCATGGGAGGCTACAACAAATAGTAGGGAAAAGCTCGTAAAAATATCTGACCATTCTTCATGGACGACCGAAACGCCAGGGTTGGAATAGACAACACTGGATCTGATGATAACATAAGACGATATAGACTAAGAGAAAGGAACGAAAATGGTGAAATTTGCGAACCTATATGCCTTCAAAGAACTGGTCACAGGCCGCACCATTTTCCCACACAAACGCATACACCAAGCTACATGAGTTTCACCGGATCACACTACATAGAACCAGAGCGACCACATCTGCACCAATAAAAGGCTCAGAGTGACCACCTACGATTTGAGGACGAAGAAAAGAGCCGACTTAGCTTTAGATTAACACTTGGTAGTGGTCAATATGAAACTGAATCTAAAGAAGCACTGGACAACTGGTCAAACAGCTTTACAGAATTTTAATATGACTTCGGGATACTGATAAACACAACGAATTAAGGATAACCATCAGCAATGGGTTTCAAGCATTACAAGCGCAAATTATTATGCATGGGGCTTTGGGCCTTGAGAACCTCCGTCACATGGAATAGATCTCTATTGATACTTTGGATACTATTCAAGAAACAAAGAACAGAAAGACAGCAATCACTAACAGCCAAACAAGAGTACAAATTGAATACACAGAAGCAAACAAGTAAGTGAAGAGGAGCATTAAAGCTGACAAATGTAAACATGTGAAAGATCTAGCGATGATGCCATAAAAAACAGCAAGAGAAGGAAGTATGAAACAACTTTACGATACAAAAAAGAAGCTAGCTGGAAACTGTCGTAAACCAGAACGACCAGTCAAGAACAAGGAAGGCAAAGCAATCAGCCACAATGAAGAACAGCGAAACAGGTGGTTAGAGCACTTCGAAGAACTCTTGAATAGACTAGTCCCACTGAACCTTCCCTAACATCGAAACAGCACCTACAGACCTCTCAATCGATGTTGACCCACCAACAATTGAAGAGATCAGACCAGACAAATTAAGAGTGGCAAAGTAGAAGGACCAGACAAACCAGCTCAGGCATTGAAAGCAGACAGAGCAGTAACTGCGAAGATGTTCCACGTTGGCACCAGCAAGATCTGGGAGGAAGAACAAGTATGAACAGACTGGAAAGAGGGATACCTCATCAAGATACTAAAGAAAGATCTCGGTAAGTTTGCGAAATACGGAAGCGTAACTCTACTCTCAACACCATTAAAAGTCTTCAACAATGTTGTTGAACGAAATGAAAGATTCAACAGACTCCTACCTTCCAGATCAGTAGGCTGGATTTCTTAAATATCTATCGTCTACTGGCCAAATTGTGCTATAGAGGCTTCTTCGGCACAACTGTGTACCTGAGGATATAGTCAACATCATACGGGATTCTTACGATGGGCTACATTGCAAAATCTTGCTTGGAGGGCAGCCCACAGATTCATTACAAGTGAAGACCTGAGTCAGACAAGGTTGTTTACTGTCACCCTCTCTCTTTATTCTGGTATTTGGATGGATTATAATAACGTCGACCTCTCAATGGGAGCAGAGAACAGAGTGGTCAGCTCGGATGCAGCTGGATGATTTGAACTTTTCAGATGACCTAGTTTTTCTATCCCACACACAACAACATTCTCAAGTGAAGACATTCAATGTTGCTGCAGCAGGCCTCAACATTGACAAGGGGAAAGCGAGATCCTAAAATACAATGCAGCGAGCATCAACCAAATCAGATTTAATAAAGAAGCTATGAAAGATGTGGAAACTTTTTTTACACCCGGACAGCATCACTTATAAATAAGGTGAATTTGATATAAACGTGAAGACGCAGATTGGCAAATCTAGGGCAGTGTTCCTACAATTGAAGAATATCTAGAACTCGAAACAACACCAAAGTCACTATTTTCAATGCATACGTCAAAACCATACTGTTATATGGAGCGGAAAGTTGGAAAACCAAGGAAAACCATTATTTACAAGATACTGGTGTTTATTAACACAAGGTATTCCGAATCCATTGGCCAGACACCATCCACAACAACCTAGCGTGTAAGAGCAAACCGGATTCCGGTTGAGAAGGAAATTTTAGGAAAAATCGTTGAAGGTGGACATCCCGTAACATCGTGACAGGACGGGCCATTATTTGGAATCCTCAAGGCAAAAGGAAGAGAGGCAGATCTAAGAATACATTACGTCAAGAATCAGCGGCAGACATAAGAAGAATGAATAGCAGTCAGGAAGAACTGGAAAGGAGAACCCAGGATAGAGTAGGTTCGGAGTTAGTTGGTCGGCGGCTTACGATCCATGAGGAGTAACAGTCTTAAGTTAGTAAAATCTAAGATGAAGGTGTAACCGAAAATTGAATTTGAACTAATAATCTGAAGAATCATGCAGTTCTCGTTAACATACACTTTTAAATCGCTTGATCATTTATCGACTGGATACTATTCGTTTAGACATTAGTACGCTCGAGTTCAACTAGGATTTGGTTTTTATAGGAATCACAGGCACAAAACGATATCACCAAAGCTGGGATTGTCTAGTTAATATATTTTACAGAAACCAGATTTGGTATCACCAAATGACTGATTCCATTCTATCCGGGGCACAATGTTTCAGTTTCGGCTTTTATTTACTACTTACTGACTAAATTGAATTACGAGATGAATGTTATCAATGGTATCTCTTGTTCTATGTTTATTGTAGGACGAGATGTTGTTATAGCATGCATACTGGGAGCTGATGAATTCGCAATGTCAACTGCACCACTCATTATATTAGGGTGCACTATGATGCGTAAATGTCATTTGAACACTTGTCCAGTCGGAATAGCTACACAAGATCCAGTTCTACGAAAGAAATTTGCTGGTAGCCCAGAACATGTTATCAACTACCTGTTTCTTTTGGCTGAAGAAGTCAGACAATATCTAAGTCGTTTAGGTGTGTCTTCTTTGAAAGAAATTGTTGGGCGTACAGAATATCTGAAGGTAAATTTAACCATGTATATTTTAATATTCTTTTTGAATGTTTTCAGCGCCCTGACATGTTATGTGAATACTGACTATTCTGCCACTTCGTTTCCTTGTTCACAGCAGTTGTACTTGCCAAGAATAATGAAGAGCTATGAACAAATGCTATTGATATGATAAACGTTACATATATATAAGTAATTATTAACTTGATTTAAAGCCACTTAGGATCACAGTTATATCATAGTTTTTAACCGATAGATTTTAAAAGCATATAGGAAAATACATTCAGGAATCAAAACTCACACAATGGCATATTCGTGCTTTTCTAGGAGAAAAAACAACAAAGCATTTTAACACAAAAATGATACTAAATCCCTAGGCTTTACACCGCACAGGTAATTTTAATGCAAACGATGATAAAGACATTTATATACAATCAAGTGACATTTTAAGTAACAAAGGTAATCAGATCACCAGACATTCAAAAGCATAACTGCTAATAGCCGAGCTCTTGAGAACTTTAGCTAATGAGCCAGCTCAAATAAGGATGTGAGGTCACTAAATACAAAAGTAATGAAACAGTTAAAAAAAATTAAACAGTTATAGTGTCTATCCCAACTGTAAATAAAAGGAAATCATTGGCAAGATGATCAGAGTCGAAAGTCTACAGAAGTTAATTTTCCATTTAAATTACTCTCTTAGCAAGGCTTTCTTGCTGATAACAATGGATATCTGCAGTCTTCACGTTTACTGTTTTGTACAACAGTGGTGTATTTATTTGAATTTACTTTTACGAAGAATGACGTTAGTCGACTGAATTGAGTAATAACTGAGTTAAAGCCATAGATCATTGCAGTTCAAAATCCTAGTGCTGGATAAAATACTTACTGAATCAAGGTTCACTCCAAAAGTCGAGGACTTTAATATATCATAATACTGATATATATTTTGGCTCAACCTTCAAAGCTTTATGATGCAGGAATTTGCAACTGCCTCATATGATAGACTATCACCCAACCAATAATTTCTCATCCAGCTGACTAACCGCTCATTAGATATTACTTATGATTCTATACAAATAAGCGATAGTAGTTTGTTAATCTAACAGACGTTTCATACAAAATAGCCGATTAACAGAACAGCTTGATACCTTTTTCATTAAGAATAATTATCGGCTTTTAAATTATAGCTTATCTTTATCAAATTCACTGAACCTAAACCGTTTTTCTTTATTTATGAATCAAGCATAGACAGCCTTGCTTAACTGCAAAATCTCAACTAGTTGATCTGAGTCGTTTATTGATTAAAACGCAACCAGATGAAGTCCATTATGGTTCATTAAGACAAAGTGACTCAGTGAAAGATTTCCGTGAAAATCCGACAACATTGTCATTTGCCGACCTCTTGCCATCTGATCGTCGTTTAGATATAATAATACTACGTGCTGCTCATAAATTAATTGATACTCCAGCGGACATCAAACTCAGTCCTTCTGAATCCGTAGTACGTGTGACCGAACCAATTAATAATTCGGATCGTACAGTTGGTACTACGCTAAGCTATGCCATTTCAACTAATTTTGCTGAAAAAGGATTACCACATGATAGGCGTATTATAGTAAGTTTTTTTCAATAGTATGAACCATAAATATAATTTGAATTTATCATTTCATTGTTCTGGATAAAGATGAAGTTTTGTGTAAGTGTAACTGCTAGGACACCTATGTTAAAGCATATTTATCAAAGAAAATATTTACCATTCTAACAGATTTTCTGTAGCAGCCAGTATACAAGACACGGCATAATTAATGAATATTTGTTGGAAATAATCTAAAAGCACATTCAATGTCTGATATATGCGAAACTATAATTTAACGTTATCATGGAAGCCAATCCCATTAAAATGAACTTGAACTACTGGTATACTTTGATCATCTAGTGCAGTAGATGCCTTCTATTATAGACTATAATGAACCGTAACTAAATTCAAACAATCAAATCGAAATTGCACTGTATGACTTTGTAATTTAATGAATGAATTCATCTTAAAAATCCGTTTCTGCTCAGCTTCTAAGAATACATAATGAGAGGTGCACCAAATAAAAATAAACTGATTAGTGAGGTTTAGTTTTTTATAAATTTATTTAAGTGTATAATCATTATTCTACTGTTTAATTCATTTAGTAATCAAAGCTACAACACTTGAAAAAGTCTACTTTATAAAATAAAAAGCTGACTTCCAATCATAAAGTTAGTCGATTTATTCATCATTTAAATACTGAACTAAATGGCCGACATTTTATCATTTTTAAAAAGTGCCCAATGAAATGAAAAGTATTTTATAAAACAATTTGAAAAGCTCGTTCATAAATTGGAAAGGACTTTTGTTCACAAGGGAATATATTTCTCTTTTTTGTCTATCAGTTATTATGAAATTTGGTAGATTCTGTTTAATTTGAAAACTGATAGTTCACTTAATTGCATTCTATAACATTTAAGTAACTTGATGTATTTTTGTACAAACGAATCAAGGTAAATGTTACTGGAAGTGCTGGTCAGAGTTTCGGAGCCTTCCTTGCTCGTGGCGTTCATATTCGCCTTGAAGGTGATGGAAATGATTATGTCGGGAAAGGTTTATCAGGTGGACAGATTACAATAGTTCCACCCAAACAATTATTGGAAGAAGGATTTAAATCAGAAAATAACCTAATTATCGGTAACGTTTGCTTATATGGGGCCATAGAAGGACGTCTCTTTTTAAGAGGACAAGCAGCTGAACGATTCTGTGTACGCAATTCCGGTGCTACTGTCGTAGTTGAGGGTAAGTTTATTATTTAGTGACCCAAGTACTGATTTAGAAAAAGAATTCTAAGTTGTTGATTTTCGCCAGAGGTTTTATCTATAATTAAATAAAACCACTTTCTGTTTGCTACTATGTGCTACTATAATACAATAGTCCTATCCTGTTCACGATCAAAAATAAAGAACCGTAGTGTGTGAGCTAGATAGTTAGTTACAAGCAGGAAACAATATATTGCATAGTCAGTAAGCTGTCTATCTATCCACACAAAATGGCCTTACTTTCATAAGCTGTTATAACCGGGTGGTCTCCAATGTTTTATCTGAGTCACCACCTTATTTATTACTTATGCTCAAAGCGAGAATCCACTACCATTCTCACGATATGAAGTAAGAACACAAAAGACTTGTACACTTATTAATTCCAAAAGCGTGATGGCTACTCTGGTCGAAAATACACTCAAGTTATATATTGATTTGTACGCCTCTCAAATTATTAATTAGAACATCAAATAGATAAGTCTTTAGAAATTCTCTTGAAAATTGTATCCTTTTATCTTTATCCTTGCAGGTGTCGGTGATCATGGCTGTGAATATATGACTGGTGGTCGTGCTGTTATACTTGGCCGAACTGGGCGTAATTTTGCTGCTGGTATGTCAGGTGGTCTGGCTTTTGTTTATGATCCACTCGGATTGCACGGAGATTTTGTAACAAAATGCAATATGGAATTGATCGATTTGGAGTTGATGAATTCACAGAATAGATACAGTGGTTGGCTTAAAGAAATACTGGTTGAATTTGTTAAAGAAACTGATTCACAGGTAAAACTTCTGTAGGTGTATTTTTTTCACCGAGATTTCTGTTTTAATGTACCTAATGAATGAACAAAAAACCAAAGTGATTAATTAGAACGTTAGAATGGAATGAAACAATAGAAAGCGGTAATTAATGACCTTCGTTTCTTTTTGAAATATCCTCGTGTACTCACATATGCCTGCCTAATGATATCTTTAAAGAAGAAGTTGAATCACTAAAATGTTTAATTATTACTCAAAAACACGATTTCGAAGCTCCAAGCGTTTAAAACACCGATTATCGTCGATAAGTTAGGTAGGTAGATATCTAGGCTCTGTTAACCGAATGATAATATTCTCTGAAAACTAGGGCACAAGGTATTAGGTTCACGAAAATCAACTATCACTCACTGATTGATATGATCGCATTTCCCTTGAATTTAAATAGTTTTACATCCCCTTCTTCTTACTTCCAACCTAATCGTGAAAATTTCTCTCCTCTAGCATTGCTACAAGCCATGTGAATTTCTGTCCATTAACTAGAGTGAAATAATACTTTTTTTTTAAAAAAAAAGAACCCAATATCTGTTTGTTCCTAAATTTATGATTAAGTTTTCTGCCTAGGTAGACAACGTTTGTAACTTCCTGTGATGTAAGAAATGCGTTGACTGCGTGTTTTGTTGTATATGTACATATATATATTTTGCAAGCAGTTAGATATCAGACGTATTGATAAAAAAATTTCGTCTGTAACGATGATTGGTTACAAATATTTCAAAAAAAAAGAAAGTGGAAACCATGTGTTCTTTTACGCAGAAACTAATTGAAGAACTAGTTAATAGTTATGCTAATCGAAATAAGTTTTAATTTCAATGCTCCTAACACAAGGTTCACTTTCAATAATAGTAGTATAACTTGGACTAATTTTAAAAAGAACTATTATTGCAACAATCGACATTACTGTCTTTGGTAATGAAATATGCAGAATTTACTGTACTTTTTGAACGATTCCACTGGCTCTAACTGACTGAGGTATCTGTTGTTTGAGGATGCGAACAATCTGGATACAACTTTATTTTTAGGTACTATTTGAATAGATTATAAGAGAAACCTATGAATTCTCTTTTGTAAATTGCTTCAAGTGTACTTTTTGTTATATAGCAGCTATAAATTCGTTAAAAATTCTTTTCTTTAAATATTCATTGAGTGTTGACATAATTGTCAAATATTGATTATGTACAGTTGGTACTTAACAAGTAGTATGTTACATTTCAATGGATTTTACTCACACTGAAACTATGGTAGGAATACTTTTTTTTCGCAGTTTTTTCATAGTTAACTGGATTCTATCATAGAATTTCAAACCTAATGTATTTATTTGACTTTTAAGTGCATAATTCCAAGTGCTTGTAAAAATAGTGGCAATATACATAACATAATTCTATCATTTTCTTTCTGTTATTCAATGATGAATAGGTCGCATCAAATATTTTGGCAGACTGGGACATTTCCATCAATCATTTTGTCCTTGTATTTCCACGTGATTATAGAAATGCATTGGCCAAACTTGAAGCCTCCACCACTACTACTACTACTACTACCACTACTGATTCCAGTGTGCAAGACACCAATACAGCTACAATTCCCATCGTTGAAAGTAACAAAATCACTGATCACGATGTAAGAACGCTATTCATTGGTAATTTTTTCCATGTAAAGATTATCCTATTTGGATAATATTGATAGAGAAAAATCTTTTCAACTGTTGAGTTTCTCAAGTTTTATGTTGTAAAGACTAATCAGATAGGAGATATTAGACAAAAATAAGCTTTCAATCTCATGCATAAATAATGTCCTTGTATTATTTTTTATTACTACGATACGATGATTTGAATACACACCTAGTTAAAGTTACAAGTATGTCATGATGGCAAGTTTTCTAGTACATGTTTCTAACTAACAAGTATCCGATTTGTGATTTCAAGTAATATATGCTACTGTTTTAAGTTTATCCCATTGGATCTTTTCTTATAGATAAAATCCAGTCAAGTATCATAAATCATACTCTTGCATAGCACAAATTGCCTATGCATTTCCACATTTATCACTTTAAGCAGCTTACTACTCGACTTCAATTAGACAAATGATCGAGCGCGCAATGAAATAAATCTTCCTTTCCACTTTCGTATATTATACTTAGGCTAACCCCGTTTGTGCGACGGTGGTAGTAAGTAGTCAAATACGCTGTTGCGGATGAATTTATTTCATGCGCTCATTTATGCAGAAGGGAAGCGTACAAGTAAAACGAAGCGAATTGGGGAAGGCGAGTGGGCCAAGTCTCAATAAGCTGAAGAATGACTAAGTATTTATCGTCAAGCGATAATAGGCTAGACATGTGATAAGCGAGTAAGTATTCACACACAATCAAGTATCATATAATCGATACTGTGATCGAATTATTACAAATACAACATTATGGTCGATACAATTATCGAATAATTTAAACGAAGGTACAGTGAATGAATGATGAGATGCTACACACTCTTAACAGAAACAAAGTTCTGGTTGTTTTATTCTTTTGCTGAACAAGGGTAATGATGTGAAAAATTGAATCTATTGAACTGAGAAATAAGGATTTGTAGGTACTCTTTTAACCACATGATATACTTTTCGAAATCTAGTTCACTAATTGGAGTTTTGACTGATTGCCATCTTTTGGCTTACATTCTGATGTATGAAATTTTATGCAAGTTATTAAATTGTAAGTTGATTTGTTCGAATTCACTTTTATTAATTATTTATGCTCATTTTGTGTATGTCTTATGCACAGGGGAATCCCGCTGCTTTCTCTTGTTCATTAATTTTTTAAATTTTCTGTCGTAATTACTAGACACAAACTAAAGACATTGAGGATGTGGTTGGTGATGAACCGTCTGAGAAACTGGATAAAGTGCGCGGCTTTGTCAAGTATGCCAGACAGAAACAGAATTATCGTCCAGTTGAAGAGCGTGTGAAAGACTGGGGCGAGGTGTACGCTCTGAAGGAAATACGTAAAGGTTTGGTAAAACAAGCTGCTCGTTGTATGGATTGTGGTGTACCATTTTGTCAATCATATGTTGGGTGCCCTCTTGGCAATCTTATCCCAAACTGGAATGATTTGGTGTTCAAGGTTTGTTAAAGTTTGTAAAAATAATGATCCTTAAGCTTGATAGTACACTTATCATTTAGATCATTTCTAGACAGACCCTTAACATTATTGAACAAACGTCTCATGAATATCCATCCTGTTCTTGGGATATGCTAGTTTCATGTAAAGAATTTTAAACATTACAGACGCTTAGCATTGGAACGAAAAATGATTTCTATAAAATCTACAACTTTTTGCAACACGAGCGTGTGATGTAATGGGAAGTGAAACACTTGAACATATCGATCACTTTTATTGTCTTGGAAGTCCTAATAGTCTTAATGGATTAGCGTCCGTCAAAACTCCATGAATTCAGAATACCTCGGTCGGTTTTTGACAATTTATGTCACGTATGATGTAGATGAGATGTACGCCTACCAAACATAATGTGAGTATTCTGCACAACAGTCTACAATGAACTGTAGGATAGCTGGGAAACATGACCTTTAAAAGATAGAGGATATTCATAGCTCACTATTATTTGATCATAGATGTCTTCGAAGCATCGTTTGTGGAGTTTGGGACCACTCAGTTAGTAATAGCTAGGCTAGTGTTATATCCAGATAAACATAAAAGTAAATGTTAACTTAAGAACCAAGTTTATGGATTATCATCGTATACAGTCTAATTGTAAGTAACTAGATTTTTATCTATATATATTCCCTGTATCCTGAGCTCTTGAATAACTCATTAGCTATGGTTGTGTAATTTATTATTCCTAATCTGTTGTTAGTTCATTATACTCAATCTCCCCTACTCATAGCCACATTTGGCTCACTCATGTAAAGTTTTTAATCCCCACTTATTAGTGCAATATAGTCTGGTTATGTATGTATACAAAGGAATGTCTGAAATATAATAACAAGAAAATCATGAACTGGTGGTTATCGGCCTTTGTTCTTCCTCTTTAATTGAGGTGAGTAATGGGTCGTCGCTCAAGCATAGATTAGTGAAGTCTTCCGTTCTTGTTGTATATTGGTAACTGAAAGGTCATCTTCAGATTGGTTCATGCATAGGCCACAACAGTTGGGCGCAAGTAAATATAGTGAATCGATTTATTATTATGTATTCTCAGCCGCCGCCCACATCGACGGGTGATGTTTTCTGGTGCATCAGTAGGCTGAAAGAAAGCTAAAGGCTGCCAAACGAAGATGTGACAACAGTGGATTATTATTATTATTGTTATTCAGATTACTATCATTATTGAATAGCTAGATTATCATACATTTATTTACATTCCATTTGTCATAATCTCTTGATCAACCCATTAACTAAATTTGTGTAGTTTGCTATCTCTAATCTCTGACTCGTTTATTATTAATTGACACTTCTATTCACCGCCACTTTTGGCTCGCTCATGTATAAATGTATTTTCTCATTCTATGGTGTGATGTGTTCTCGTATGTTTTGTTTATAAACTATGTCTGTTTGAAATAGAACAGATTTTGTGGAGGTTGGCTACGGAATTCCGGACTAGGTAGGAAGGAAGAAGTTATCGAGTTGTGAACCAATAAAGATTTAGAGTTGACTCAACGTTTCTGGTGCTAAATGTAATCCTGAACGTTTGGTATTTATCACTTGATATTAGTAAACGGTTAAGGATATGGGAGATGGAGACTGCATGGTTGAGTTAAACGCAACTATTATAACCGGTGGCTAAAGACTGTTGATGACGTAACTCATAATCGTTCACAGTGAAGTAGGTGCATTCACTCTTTGTTTTTTCTGAGAACCTGAGTCCCAAGACCTCCTTATACTTCCTTTTTTTCTTTTCTAGTAATCTTATCTCTGTGCTAGTGTGATATGGTGTGTAAACCGATAACTATGTGTGCCAGGTTATATGTTGTATAATAAATGACAACTCTTAATTTTTTCATTTTAGTTCAGTCACTTACAATGAGAATTCATCTTAAAAATATAACCATAGACTTGTTCTAATAAGAAAAAATGTACCCTGTACCTAACTCATACCACTAGTTGCATATTTTCAGTTTTATCTGTTCGAGTTATTTGCGTAGATCAGCAGTGAGATACTTTATTTGTTTGCTGCTGTAGAAGTTATCTACAGTTAACACTCCATGTTATCGCAACTATTTAAGGTGAACAACTTCATTATTATACATTTTCAAGGAATGTCTCGTGCTTTTATGAAGATACGTATTTAAACGTACACTAAAGAAGCTAATGAAAAGTAAGAATCGTCAAATAACTAACTACCTGGGAATGATATCACAGGTGCTCATTCAAATGGTTTGTTATTATTCCTGTTTATTAGTGTGACTCCTTTTCCAACTATAGGATTATAGATTCCGCTTTTAACCCTATGTAAAGTGTTTCGGTTAATCTTAATTCCAACTTTCTCTGAGGGATGATGAAGTGAGGTTTAACCCTGAAGCCATGTGGTTGAAATTTGGGTGCTCTAATAATAACCAAACCGGAATGTGAGTACAAAAAAAACATATATCTGTCTGAGCTGTTTACAAGCCCCTTAATTTGTAGAATTTTGATTAGTTTATTGGTTTAGAGTCATGCTAGCTTTTCATTTGATGAGTAGTTTTTATAATAATTTTAATTTTTGTTGTTTTGCAAATTTTTCTCAGTAAAAATAAACGTTTCCTTATATTGTTTTACCTTATACAGGGTGATTGGCACGCTGCTCATATCGCTTTGGCACAAACCAACAACTTCCCTGAGTTCACAGGCCGTGTATGCCCAGCACCTTGTGAAGGTGCTTGCGTACTTGGCATAAACTCTGACCCAGTCACTATAAAGCATATTGAAGGCGCCATTGCAGATAAAGCCTGGGAAAACGGCTGGTTACATCCTATTCCTGATGAGAATCGTATGCCAACTGGTAAACGTATTGCAGTTATTGGTAGTGGTCCATCTGGATTAGCTTGTGCAGATCAGCTAAATAAGGTAAATGATGGTAAAAAGAAATCTTCGTTTTCTAGTTCAAAAAATGTCCGGTTTAGTTTTTAGCTGTGTTGTCGTTTAGTTCTTTTTGTCTACTGAACATGCTTCACATTGAATGTTCAGATTTACTAGGGAAATTTACAAAAATAACTCATAAAAGTAAACATTTTGAAACGACAAATTTAGAGAAGTAACTATTGATCTGCTTTTTATAGGTTGGACACGATGTGGTAGTAATCGAACGAAGAAACTTACCTGGTGGTTTACTACGATATGGAATTCCAACTATGAAACTTTCTCGTGAAATCCTTGATCGCCGATTGAATTTAATGAAAGCTAACGGTGTTAAATTTGAGCTGAATACACGCGTCGGTAATGATGGTCAACCTCCAGAACCCAGAGATTTAAATTCTGTTTGTCGCGATTCCGCAGATCGTGAAAACATTTGGCCCGCTAAAAAACTGCTGGATGAATTCGATGCTATAGTTTTATGTTTGGGTGCTACTTGGCCCCGAGATTTGAATATTCCAGGTAGTAATTTTGTAAATTATTGTGAATGAGATTATCATTGTATCATTCAATGTTAAAACTGACAGTAACTTGATAGGGAAGAAAAATGTATGTAAATTGTCCCCAGAATCGATTATTGCATGTCAAAGACAATATTTCCCTGATGGAGTAAGATACTACTTGCAAAAGCTAAAAGTATGCTTATACTCATCATCCATTACTCGGTTTCAGTTTTGAACTATTCTTTTTGAAAATTCTGTCTTTTACAACTATGACTTATTAATATGATTGAGAAAAAAAATACGAGGATAGTGTTTTGATCCGAATTAATGGGGTGTGTAAAATCTACCAAGCAGAATTCGAAAAATTCTTTCACTTATTTAATCTAACAACAGTGAGTCAAAATATCAGCAGTCTAGTGGAATTGAACAGTGCAAACCAATCGGTCAACAGGCGAGTTATACTTTTACAAAGTGGATTCATCGACAAGATTGACTCGATCGATACATTGTAATGATTTCTCAAATCTCTAGTGAGTTAGGTCCATTGGGGGGGGGGTTATATTATAGAACTTTGAATTGATGCACTTATCACTTTGCTATCAAATAAAAAATCATTTTACATTATTTAGGCTTTTTGTATTTGCTTAAAGATGAGAGAATATTTATTTATTTGGTTAGTAATCACTAGTAGAGACTTAAAAAAAACTGTCCTCAATATCTTGCGTTGGACAACGAAATCGAAAAATAACAATATTTTACAGTATACAAATTAATGTTTGTTTTTTCTAGTAACAAGCTGATCAAATATAAGTAGTAAAGTATAATGGAATTTTATTTGGAACAAACTTGACTTTGATAGGATGAAGTTAATTGTTTAAGAAAAGATAGTCAATAAGTTATAGATCAGATGTTTGTATTAACACTGAATTACCGACGCAAATCGAATGAAAGCCTACCTTTAAGTATAAGCAAGTTATCTAATGATTAAGGGTTTCCCTGTTTCAAGTACTCTGAAGTGATTGTAAAGCATTTTTTTATTATAAGTAGTTATAACCCGGTCGTCTAAACATATTCATATCCTTGAGTCGCAAGTTATAAACACTTTCTAACCGTTTCGGAGTTGGAAACCAGATTTTATTCTATTCTTCAATAGTATGGTTGAAACTCTAGTGATATGAATTTCTACTTGGATACTGACTGAGTAACTAGGATATTCAAAATAACTCGAATTAAAAGTAGTTACTGATATTTTTTTGAGATCGCACGTGATCTTTACAGTTGAATATTTACCGGTATTGTTGTTGTCTTTATAAACGAAGTTGTTTTTGCTAGAAATATATGACTAGTACGAACTTTCAATAACGTTCTTGTTTTCTTCACACACTTGCTATTTTTTTTAGGTCGTCAACTTCAAGGTATTTATTTTGCCATGAGTTTCCTTGAACGCTGGCAACGTTATCAATACAAGAATAAGATTAAGCGTACATATGTTGATCCTCAAAACGATAATAATTTCGATTCTGATTCTATGGCTGCATTGGCCAAAGGTAAACGTGTAGTTATACTTGGTGGCGGTGATACAGGTGTCGATTGTATTGCTACATCTGTACGCCAAGTAAGTCATATATATATATATATATATATATATATATATATATATATATATATAATTCAGTAGAAGTCAAATTATCTACATCATCAGGTACTGATGTACTGTTTTGATAATCATGAGATTATCACGTTATTGATTACAAGTACCCTGAATGATCGCAGCTCAGACGATGACTTCATCGGGATGAAATAATAAATGTGGAACAGCAAATTTATTGTGTACTCAAACAATCTTTTGTAAGTATTCAACGTCGTCTAGCATAGGTTGTGTAAGAGGTGAAGCTCAAGAAAAAAAATTGCTAATAAATAAATATACAATGAAACGAATTCAATGCATTGAAATTTTTAAGCAAATGAATTTTTTTCCCCTAATTTTCTTATACATTCTCTATTTGCTAAATTTGTTTTGCCATATAAGGGAGCTGAAAGTATCCGTGTGTTTGAGATTCTACCTCCACCGCCAGTCAACCGTGATATCAATGAAAATCCATGGCCTGAATGGCCTCGTATATGGAGAGTAGATTATGGGCATTCGGAAGTTGCTGTTCGTATTAATGGAGATCCAAGACAGTTTAATACAATAACTAAAGAATTTCTAGACAATGGTAAAGGATCAGTGAGTGGTATACGTACTGCTAAAGTTGAATGGACTAAATCAAATACTGGCAAGTGGGTAATGAATGAAATACCAGGTAAAATTCATAGTTTGTTTTATAATATATTTACTTTGTCAGATAAATGAATAAAGTCTCCATAACTAAATATTTCATTTATCAGTTAGAAATGATGCATACTTAGATGGCACTGAAACATTTCCTAACATTGGGATTAGTTCTGAGTATTTTTCATAGTTAATTAATCAGTTTGTAATATATATTTTCAAAATTCACACTGATTCTTCGTCTGTTGAAACAATTTCAGAGTTCAATATTTCATTTACATTGACAATAGGTTTTGTATGAATCGAAATTAGTTTAAAACGTCAAAATTTTAATTCAAACGTAATAAGAAAAATCTAATGAAGTACTACACTGCATACAACACACAATGTCTAATTCGGATTTTAATAGTAGTAATCAGTCAGTCAGAAGCAATGTAGAACTTCGTACGTAAGTACATCAGTTTATGTTGCCATATTGAGAAGACTGAGGCAGGTTCGATATATTGTATTTAGCAAATTTACACTCTTAGTCAATCAAAAACGAAAACATTACATTGAACACTCTATTTGCACACCATCTTTGCGTTTTGACTTACAACGCTCCAGCCTTCTTCCATTCCTGCTGTGGCTTCCTTTTTTTCCTGTCGGTACTCGATTTATTTCTTGCTTTTGCTCCATTTGCTTTCCGTTTTCCTCTAATGACCGTGAGAGTTCTTCTTTCATGTCCCTTATACTACTTATATGGTTCGTATAAGTAGCACACACCACAATATAATTGTTAATTCAAATACAATAGTAGAAGAGGTAGTAAAGGTATTAGAAGTAGTCGGAAAGGTTAGGATTACAAGATATTATTCAAGAAGTATGATTCAATGAGAAAAGTTTAGAAAGTCAAAACTAAAGGGGTTGAAGAATCCAGAAGATTAGGATTTGAGAGAACACAAAGAATAAATGCACCGGCGCCATTGCAAACGGTTTTGAGCCATGTCATTCATGGTCTCTAACCACCGATTATTATCATCTCGCGGACCCCAACCAGGTAGTCGATAACTACCGACATGACTCAGTCCACTTGTCAGTGACTTCTTGGGTTTGTGCCATGTTTTGGTTTGGCCGCCCCTAACTTTCTTCCAACCTACTCCCACACTACAAAACAAAGCTCGTCGAGGCAGTCGGTGGTTAGGCATACGCAGTACGTGTCCCAACCACCTCAACTGATGAAGTTTCAATACTTCGTCTACTGATCTGCAATTCTTACCTAGCAACCGTTTCCTAATAACAGCGTTGCTCACTCGGGTGTCCCACGATATACGAGCAATGCTTTGAAGATACCTATGATTGAAAACCAATAACCTACGAATATCTTCTACTCTGACTGGCCATGTTTCCCAGCCATAAAGTAAGACGGAGCGAACTACTGCACAGTACACTCGTACTTTAGTCATCTAACGGATATCTCGCCTACGCCATAGGTGACGCAGGTTGGCAAAAGCCAATCGAGCCTTCTGTATCCGTGCTGAGATTTCGTCAGTCACCAGGCCATCAGCACTGATGAGACTCCCAAGATAAGTGAAGCGGTCAACACGCTCGACAACTTCACTCCCTATCACAATAATAGTAATCAATGATAAATTCATTTAATACTATCGTGAATTTTTTACAAGTAATACAGAGAATAAGTTGTTTGCTTGTCATGATCAATGTAATAAAACTTCCGAAAAGCTTTGAACTGCTTTGAAGAGGAAATGCAGTGTGTTTATACTTCTAGGCATATCAAAGGTGGCTGATTTTAATCGCCTATTTCCTTTACTTTCGAAATCTATTTTATGGTGTGTTACTTATTTATTGAGATGAATAGTGACTCAATAAATAGTATGTTTATTTGCCAAGTTTAACTATTATCTGTCGAAATTTGAAATATTTCAACCAATAAACTAAAAGCCATCGCCAGATATAAATTCCCTCTCTTGATTTTGTTCAACCAGATTCTGAAGAAACATTTGAATGTGATTTAGTCTTGTTGGCTATGGGCTTTTTGGGACCTGAAACTACATTGATCAAGCAACTTGAATTGAGTTTGACGAGTCAGTCAGTGATTCAAGTAATACCGGATAAACCATACACTACACGCATTCCTAAGGTTTATGCTGCTGGAGGTAAGTGAAATCTCTATTCAGATATTCGACCGGAATATAATAATCGTTTCATAATAAGTGACGTCATTTTTATTTTGAAAATAATCCTTATTATCTCCACTTTTCTAGTATCTAAATCATACCTGATCAGCCAGAATAGTTAACTTTGTGCGTAATTTAAAACCTGAAAAAAAAGTTTTCATCAGTTGAAGTTTATTTGCGAATTTGTCAACACACGATGAACTTTCGTTTACGCATTCATATAGCGTAAAGAAGTCCTATCCTTTGGATTTCACAGTTAGACGCGCTTTCGAAATAAAGTGTCACTATTTAAAAGCCACTTAAGAAATTGTTTATCGTTACTATTAAGCAATACTCTATAACTAGTTTCTATTTACTTGGTTTAGATCGACAAAGTAGGACAGTTATTTCAGTCTGCTATTGTCGCTAATTAAAAAGTTGTTCCGATCTTCATGAATTAGTGAGTGATATAGGCATATTTCATGAAGTATCCGGAAATAAGCAGTCCTCCTTTAGACATCATTTATATATTTAACAGCGTGATTGGGAAGGATTTTGTATTCAAACCAAAGGTGATCGTATACAAACTGTACGCCATTACCATAATTTTCAGATGAATAGATTCAGAAATAATCATTGCTTAGTTGAGAAGCGAATTTTGGTACATGAAAGTCAAGTGATTTCGATAACTTATAAACATTGTTGGGTATCTATACACAGACCAAACGACATCTTCGACTGATGTGTGATGGGGGGATTTCATTGAATATGGGATAACTTGTCAGACAGTCTGAGGAATCTGAATAAAGTTCTGTGCGTAAATAATTGCTGGAGACACACATTCACTAACTTTCAGAGACTAATTAGTAATTATGATAAGCAACATGCGCCCACTAAAGTCGTGTACATACTTATCCACGAATAAATCACGAGTACTTAGGTCTTCTACATCTACCCATTCCGTTTACATTGACATACGTTTACCTTGACCATTTCTCTTACATTTTTATCATAAAAAAGAGTGATCATTCTTGTGAGTGTCATCCTGTGACATCTGCTGTTATAATACAGAAAAATAGAGAGTATTACTCAACAATAACGAAGCGAATAAATAAAACAAAACATCTGAATAATTTGTGATTGTTTTATGAAAGGCTTGTTTTATCTGTACAAAGTATTAGCGTGCACCTTGATCGCAAACAGAAAGTTGGTTTTGTGGCTGTGTTGTAATCGAAGTAGGGCTCAACACTTTAGTGGCTCACCATCTGACTCCAGTACTTACGAGCTAAGTATCCTATAAATAAATCTCCTCTTCAATATCTGTATATCATCATACTTAAGCGAATGGTAATAAGAAGCCAAGTATAGTTGTTCTATGGAGAAATTTATTTCGTGCAATCGTTCGGACGCGTAGACATAAGAATAAAGAGCGTGAAGAAGAGCGAGGTGTAGCGGAGAAGGCTAGTGAGCCAACTCCATGCGATGGAGGCATGATTAAGTATTTATAGCAGACAAACATAGGCTAGACATGTGTTGAGCGAAGTAACCAGTGCATATACGAACTCAATTAAAAACAGCCAAAATATAAACGAATGATTGACAATGTCGAAAAATTGTCTGAATACTAACTAGAAAATAACGGATTAATTGATTTGCCCAAAATCTGGGACAAGCCCTGTGAACTGGACATAAAAGTACAGCACTAGGATAATTCAGTTTTGGGTTATTAAATGAAAATACTATTGCTATGTATTAGCTTCATTGAAGAAATAAGTAATCACAGTATGATTTTTTTTTTGAAAATCTTTGAAAACTATGAATTGGAAACTGACACACACTAATTCAATGAACTAATTTTTATTAGGTATAAATGATGAACGAATTCTCGGCTATCGGTTTTAATGTACAACAACATATAACTGTGAAGTTGTAAATTAAGCTTCCGGCATCAGTTGCTTTTTTCAACTGTTGATGAAAATCTTAAACTTTGTTCTAGTGTGTGTACACTTGTTTTTTATTATTTTGTATTCGTTCGATGGTCGCTGCTACTGAAATAAACAGATCTACAAATTTTAGTCATTCATTAGTAAAACTGGTTTCGCTGACCTGTGTTGGAAATTTTGTATTAAAGTTTTTTATTTCCCCATTATCATAATCCTAGCATTGAACGAGGTGTTTATATAAAAGTGAATAGAAGCTACTGTGTTGATGATGTTGGTGCAGTATCCCAATAGTATAATGGCTTTTGAATGAGTTGCTGCTGTATGGTTAGCATTGTACTAAAAGTTAACATTATCAATGCAGTTAGCTTACTGGTGTTAAACAGAATGGAACACATCTTATTTCATATTATTCATAATAAACCAATGCATCATTTATCATAAACTAACTTGGTCGTTCAACTTATCAACAAAATAAGTTCATACACACTGAGATACACGCCTACATAATATAAGCCTAATTTAATTTAAAATCGTAAACGTGACTAGTAAGTTCGACTGAATAAATTATTTCCTTATAAAAAAATGCGACAAAATAACGGAGTACTTATACGATCAAAACATTTCACTGACTAGATATGAATCGAAAATAAAAAAGTTGACGGAAAAGTTACTTTCATTTTTCGATTCATGTTCTATTCGAAACACTAGTTATTCGTTCAAATATTCCGCTCTTCATTCATCTCGAACTGGAGATAGCTAAGCATGTTAAACTGAATGATATTAGTTTAAAACTTGAAGTAAGATCAAGTAAATGTACATCACGAATTGTAATGTGATATGACTGAACTCTATATTCGTCACACAGTTACCTTGAGGGATTTTTTTCTACAGTCTATTTCACAAAAATCTGTCCATAAAACATAGAGTAAAGTAAGTTCCTTTTCCATAAAATACAAATAAAGCTGAAAACTATATGATTCGAATAAAATAAATAACGCTCTATACTTTATGAATGAAGTAATGTGTGATTTGTCTCGAAAGCTTGTATGAATTCGCCCATGGATGACCATTTCTGACGGGTGTTCAATTCTAACCTCCTCAGTGATTTGCCCTGTATACGATGTATCTAGGACCTCAGGGTGGATTTTTTCACCAGCAAAGCCCAACGGAATATGTCCATTTTATTTTGTCCTCTTTGCATTTCGACGAAATGTCAAATATACTGTTCAAATAAATTCTTATTCCTACTGTTTCTGTGCAATTTCAGATTGTCGACGTGGTCAATCTCTTGTGGTACATGCAATTAACGAGGGTAGACTAGCAGCGCGACAAGTTGACCTTGATCTAATGGGTAAAACACAACTTCCAGGTCCTGGTGGAATAATAAAAACTGCAAATCTAAGATGAATTTTCCTACTATTTAATAGCTTTTCTGCTTGCATACTTGTTATTACTACTTATAATTTACTGCAATGAATATCTCTTAGCTGGTGCTCGAAAAGAGACGCCCTAGAAGAATATAGCTATCTATCCTCTTCTACATTTTCATGTTCATTGATTTCTCAAACCTATTTTTTATTTATTTATATTTACTCTCATGATATGAAGTTGTTTTTGTTTTTTTTTAGTAAATTTATTTAATTTGTTTAATTTCATCTTATGATAAAAACACTGTTTTTTTTTAATTGTTATTGAGACAAATATTCATACAACTAATTAATTAATTAATTACTCTAATACTGTTTGTTCTACTTTTACTTATGGGAAAAGCTGACTGAGATTGTTTTAATTTAGCTTACTTTGTGTTTCTGGTACTAGCGATTCATTTTTTGTTATCCATGTGTGTGTCTCTGTGTGTAAGTGTGAGTGAATACCCACGTTTCTCGACTTCTAATTTTTTTCTTTTCTTTATTTAATGACTTTGATAAGTGAAATGCACAACATCTTATTCTTCTGTGACATCCTATTCTCAGCATTCCATCATAAAGTGTACATCATCCACACTTTGGTGGATCGTTTTTATTTTTCAACACTAGTTAAACAACATTCAATGCTGACTACTGTTTAATCTTTCTTCTGTTTTTTTCCATATCAGTGAGTAGTAGTTACTTGGTTGATTGCTGTTTTTTTTTCTGTGATTCTTCCTTCAATCTTTGCTTCTGTAGTAGTGAGAATGAAACGAACACAAGACAGAGGAGAGAGAGAGAGAAAAAAGTGTTTCTTTGTGCGATTGCCTATTGTCATTCACAATGACTACGCATGTTACTCCATTGCATGGGAGGCGTAGTATGAAAGCGACTTCTGTGTTGATAAATGTATACATTATATTATTTATTTACTCATCTATCGAATCCGTAAAATTGCCTAATATTCTCTGTTTGGTTATTATCCTCCTTATCATTCATTATTTAATAACATTAACTACAGTGGCTGCATCCTATTTTCTTTTTTTTTCTTTTTTTTGGTGTGTAATTTCAGCTGCACACACACACACACATGTATGTGTTCGTTCATCTCATTTATCGGTTTCACATCCAAGCCACTTACTTGCCTATCTTTCTTTTTTTCTCTCTATCTCTAATCTAGCTTTTCCTCTTTATTGGTCTGTTCTGATAAATTGTTACACACACACACATGGTCGAATTGGAATAGTATATTCTTTCTTTTAAACAATGATTTATTTTTCATGTCAGCAATGCAGAAATACACAGAAGGTATTTCTATTTCACATTTCTCTGTGTGTGCTGTTTGTTTTTTCTGGTTGGGAAGTGATAGTGTAAATGTAAAAAAAAGGAAATCTAGTCTAGAGCTAGATAAACGAAATAATCATCTATGAATTAGTGCTAATTAAAATATTTATCTTCTGTTAATCAGACAAGCTTTACACCTTTGTATGATTGTCCATTTCAATGCATACTGATAAAATGGAAACTTGAATTGATCAGTGGACTGAATTGTACAGACACTGTGTTTGTGTTATATGTCATCAGGCTAAATAATTACAATGACTGATCGCTGTCAATAATGAATATTCTGTTTGTCTATTCCTTAGTTCTGAGCAAATTCTGTCGATCAGGTTACAACATAAGAAGCAGCAGTCTAGGTTGTGTTGCGTGTTTGGAGGTAGTAGGCAGGAAACCGTAGAACAAGAGTTTTGCACTAGTTGGTATTTCTTAGCAATCTTGAGGAGACTGATCTTGGTCTTGCATAAGGTCAGTTGCAGCCTGAATAACTAAGTGGTAATATTTCATACTGTCAAGTTCGGCGAACTCTACAAGGCACACAATTTACCTCAGGAGTGAAAGTACACCTTAGTAACCACTGTCGATTAGCAAGCACAAACGTCTTGGATTTTCTACCAGCTACCTTCAAATCAAATTGTTTCATATCATATTGAACTAGGTAGAGTGTTTCATCTTGCTAACCAGTCGACAAGAATTTCTGAACTGAGGTTTTAAAATCCTGATATTTTGCAACCACATATATATGTAACGTAAAGAAATCTTAAGTATTATCAGACTGATGTCTGTTGTTCAGTATCGTGATCAAAAACTGCATAACTTGTGTCTAACTTCAATCAATTCATATTTTTAAGCAAGCTTCATGTATTACCTAGAGCGTGTAACTGTCTCACACCTGACACGTATTGAACACTAGCGGTCATGGCTTCTCACTAGAACTTCGGGGATGCATCTTCAAGCTAGTCACTAGTGGGCACATCTTTTTCATTTATAAAAGGGATTTGTTGAGATGGTATTATTTTCACAGTTAAAATCACGAACTGATGTTAGCTAGGTTGCACTAGATCACTGACTCATTGAAGTTAGACATTTATGTCGATTGATACTGGCTTGGTGGTCTAAACGTCAGGCATTCAGGTGTGAGATAGGAGTTCCTGTATTCGATTCCCGTGTGCTTAGTAGTGGATTGGTACTGCTGGAAAACTTCATGCTATAACTAAATGGTCTGCCAATAGTGGTCTAGCTAAGTCAGTCGGTCAGTTAGTTACAATGTAGAACTTCGTACGTACGTACAGATGTTCAGGTTGCCATACACCATTATCACACAGACGCAACTGTCAGTTGAATTCCCATATTACTAGAGACAGTAGAAGCATTAGGGGTAATCGAGAAGATTAGGGACCGAAAATATGGCTCAAAAAGTATAAGCCATTATAATCAATTCAAAGAGCGAAACATAAAGGTGATGAAGAATTCAGGTGGATGCACCTGCTCCATTGCAAACGATTTTGAGCTATGTCATTCAAGGTCTCTAACCATCCCTTACTATAATCTCGGTTGTCTATACCTACCAACATAACTCAGTCCACTTGTCAGTAACTTCATGGATTTCTGCCATGTTTTGGTTTGTCCGTCCCTAGTTTTCTTCCAACCTAGTCTTACACCACAAAATATAGCTTTTCGAGGCAGCCGGTGGTTGGGCATACGCAACACATCTCCCAACCACTCCAGCTGATGAAGTTTCACTACTTGATCTATTGATCTGCCATCCTTACCTAGTACTCGCTTCCTAACTATAGCAACCAATAACTGTGTTTCGCACTAGAATTGCCATTTAAGAATTCAGAATCAGTAAGAGAAAAACTGGTCAGCGGCCTATGCTCCATTGGGGGTAACAGACGTAAGTAAGTAAGTAAACAGATCTATTTAAAAAATGCAGTCCATTAATAAATGATGAAATTTAGGACGTTCGATTATCTAACACTGCTCTCAACTGAAATTACGACACATTAGTGGAATTTACTCCATTAAATTGTCATGTTTAAGATATACTCTCAGGTTGGTTCGATTTTATACACTTAATAAGGTCCGTAGTTTTATTTACTAATGTTATTACTTTGTTATTTCTATAGACCTCTTGTTCAACGTACGTGTATAGTTCTTCTTAATCAGTGTGTTCAGATTACCACACAGCCCATGAACATTCTCAATTTTATCTGAAGTCATTTAAAAACAGTGGAAACTGAATTACTTTTTAAGTTGTTCTTCAATACCTGCCACAAAACAGCTTAAATTCTACCCCTGCCAAGTAAATCAATAAAGGGATTGGTCATCCGCCGATAGTTTTTGAAGCGTCTTTATTCACCGAATTTCATTAATAGTCTGTAGTGCGCTTTTGTTATCGAGAACCTAACGACTAACATAAACAAATTCATCAAGACTATCTTTGCCTGGAAACATAATTTAGACTTTCGCTATCGTCAACTCGATTAAGTAGATGTTGGTTACAGTTAAGTAACTAACTACACCAGGTGATATAGTGTCCATATTTGAACTCTTTTTAGGGCTCACAGTGATATCGATGCGAGGAAGAATTTTTCATCATATTCATTCATTTATTAAATAGTGGAGACCATGATTCAAACAGAATCTATTAATTACCCTTAAGTTTATTTGCTCCTAGTGAGTAACGTCATAGTTTTGCCTGAGAGTTTGAACCTTGATAGACAATGAATCTAATTAAATGCTACTGTGGATGCAGCAAGCAGTTATGGAAGTAAACTTGTGATGCCGTTTCAATTAGCCTGAAGTAAACCCTCAATATTCTATTGACAAATAGAGGATTAAATCACTTTGTGACTGATTCTTCATACATAATAAGCTATTAGAAAATAAGCTGAATAGAAATCTAATCTGTCAAAATAACAATTTTTTCAATCGTTCTTGAAGATTTAACAATCCTAAAATAACCATTCAAAACTGAACGTCGTCTTGCTAAATTGGTGTCTTCATTCTATTCGTATTACTCTTCTTTACTTTACGTTCTTGGTTATCAGGCCCATTGATTTGCTGATGCCTCAGTCTTACAAGACATATGTCATTCTATGATTAGGATAATACTTTCTTTTGTTAACACTATTTTCAGAATAAACATCTTTAAATCTGACTCGTTTCTATTCACCAAGTTAAAACCTTGTATAATACATCGCTTCAGTTAGTCTTTATTAATGAGTATCTATAGCTGTTTTCATTTTAAACTACCCACTGAAAAACTGTACTGTGTATTTCAATGCAAAAATGTACGGAAATGTATTTTATAACAACCAACTATATTTTATTAGCCCTTAGAAATATGCTTTCATTGTCTCAGTTTCCATTTTGCCAATGGAAGTTATGTGGTTTACAATTTTCTGACTAACTTTAATTTTTAAGCACAGTATTTTTAGCTGGAATCGTTAGTTATTATTCTTTAGTAAACAAGAAGTGAAATTCCTATCAAAATAACTTATACAGTTCAATAAACTAAGGAAAACTTTAACCTCAATCTAGCGATTCGTTAGTCTTATTGTTTTTAAGATTTCTGCACATATGACATTGCGTAAAACCAAGCATTTTTCTACCCCATTTCCTATTTCAAATTTTGATAAACTTGTGATTTGAAAGCGCATGGTGCTCAGTACCGCGCCTCCTTAATTCGTAATTTTTAAAGCGAAATCTGGCAATTTCTTAAAATCCTTAATCTGATGACAGATCATGAGCCTCACATCTTAGCTTGCATGCTGTGTTTGCTTTCACTTCCCAATATTGGCATGATTAACATCTCCGCCGTTCTATATGAAGATCGATAACGTAACATTCAAATTATGGTAAAACAAGAGATCTGTTTTGTTCTTGTAAAATTACTTGAAAGTCCAATTGTCTTAAGCTCGGGATGAAAAAGAGTATTGAAAGTGATCAACAATATTTTTAGTAGAGAGAAATGAGTAAAGTAGCTTCATACAACAATAACCGTTTGCTGTTTCAGAAGATGATATGCTTGACCGTTTTTGATCAGAAGTTTGAGGAAGTTGTAATCACAATTCAAAATACTATGCCACCAGATTGACGGATTTGATTGTTTAAGCAGTCTGTTAACAAATAAACTTCGTCTGAGCAACAGAAATAATAATTAGGACGACGAATGATGGTCAGGAATTATTTTTAACAAAATTCAAATTCTCGTGGACTGAGAATACGTGAAGAATTAGTAGGCTGTGCATGATCCTGAGAATTGGATGTCATAATTTTAGACACATCACCTTAGATCATTCATTATAGTTCAATGACTGTGTACATCTTAGTCAAGTTTTCCAATGCTACTTGTCTTGGACAATTTAAGCTAGGACTAAGAAATAATAACAGTAAATTATTGTATCCTTTAGATTGACTAGTCATAAATATTAATGCTTCACAAAGATTCTCTTCCTCACACATCATTCCTAATTCTACTTGAGATAAGCTAGGCAATGAATCGTTTGCGTCGTCACATTGAGTAGATCGATTTTTAAAAATCGCTGTACACAGACAGGATAAACCACACACAGTTGGATAAAGATTACTTAACTGCAAGCAACAATTCTAACCAACTGTGGTGAATACTACTAGCAACGTATTGGTGTCGCAATCAGAGTGGTTTTCTTCTGGAAACCACAAGACATGTAAAAAAAACGATCGTGAATAAACTGATTGTTATTGCAAATGGAAGTGTGAAGATAAGCTGCATATAATATTCTGTTAGTAAACTGTCTCCTCACTAGATACACCATGAATCCACTGAATCTTGGCATCGTCGTTCATAACACAAGGTAGGTTTGATCAATAATTGAACGGTGTGTAAATTATCATCTATCTGATCGATTTCCAGAAATCCAAGTAAATGTAAGATGACTCTCAAACAACTATTACCATGAAACGTAAACTAACTAGTACAAGGGTGGGAAAGTTCAGGGTTTACTTTTTTTTTCACGATGAACAATTTTCAAATATGGTGTTTATTTTCAGCCAATATTGCACATGTTAAGAATTACGAAAAAACGGTCAATAACCAACCGATCAGATATGAACTATGGTACAGGTGAACATATTAGCAGAAAGATAGGCACATATTTAATACATTTACATAGAGCATCAAAAAAAAAATGTATCTGCTGTAATATATTGATTGACCAGACACACGAATATATAAATTGGCTAATGTAGATTAGTGTTTTTATTTAATAATATGGTATGTAGGCAATTGGGAAAGCAGGTGGAAAATCAACATGCTAGGTGATTTGTTTGTTAATCAATGTCCGCATAGGAATACGATGGATGATGCAGGGGGGCGAGCGATGTTTTTATAGTGGCTTTTTCATGATTTTAAAATATCTTTAACATTAAGCAGCTTAGGGTAAGAAGCGACTTGTGAAATGTAAAATCCTTTTAATAATGGTTGATGTGCACGGTGGAAATTCACTTCGCGCTCATTTAATAAAAAAAACACTGTATGTAATGCAACATTTGCCGGATGTCTTAAGCGATCAGTGTGAATTACACTCATAACAAACAAATAGAATAAACAGGAGGAAAGATTCATGAATTAATGAAAGTTTAGCATTATTATAAAATGTCCATGATCATTATAGATAATTATTAGATGATATTAAATGTGTTGAATGGATGTAGGTGTGTTTTAAAGATAAATTCAGTCGGTGCAACAAAGAGGTAATATAACAAATAAAATGCGTAAAATGGTTCGGTTTGGTTTGGTTTTGTTTCATTTTTCACCTTTATAATAATTGCATTTGCTCTCTTGAATATCGTGTAAGCAGATAGATGGAGATAACTGCAAAGGTAAACTATGAAAATAAAAGTAAACAAAATGAAAATGTGATCATTACCAAACACAAGATAATGAATACTTGAAAATGAGTTTACAGTTAATTGTATGACATCATTATATTAGGCATGTGTTATCTTTTGCTTGATTAGACTGATCAATCGGTCTCAATTTTAACTAGTTTATTCAAATAATGAATTCATTCTATCTCGTGTTACTAATTAAAATGATTACCTATTGTTGTGGTCGTTAGATGACCAGAACTCACTTGGGAAGGGTCTTAATTTTGTTATCTTATTGTGCCAAAGATGCTCATTTTGACTTTTAGCTTGCATTTCCCAATCGGGAAATCCTTGATTGTTATTGACTGATTGATTATTTCAGTACACTATTTTGTGGCTCTCACCAGGGGCGTTTTATCATTGTATAAATAGGCTTGAGTTGTGTGCTTGTTGACCTCGTGCTTTCTGGTTGCCTGTGGAATACATTTCTCTCTACGTCTTATCAAGACTTCTTCCTCTAGTTGGTGGGGCCTGAGATGATCGGATTAGATTAGCCTATCGTGTCGCTGAATCGCTTGTCTTCGTTCCATTTACCGAGTGAAATGAACTCATTAATAGCTCAAGCATATTACCTATGAGACAAAACTGACTGTAGGTTTTTTTTTAAAAAGTAGCCAACGATCGTGGTACAGTTTGACTGATTTCTGTTAATATATATTTGTTAACCAAAATATCCAGCTCAGAGAACGAAACTCCACCACAATATTTGTTGAACATCATTTTATCACATATCACTTCGAGTAATCTTGATTTGAATGCAGTGTTTACTGTTTCGGTGACACTGAATCGCCGTCAGCTATGGAATCATTTCCATAGTGTTATATAAGCAAGGCACTAGCTTTCCGAGTGAATTATTCCCCATGATTTATGAAACAAACAAATCGGCTGCAAATAACCTCCATTTACGAAGAACGGTGTAACTCAACGAAAAGATTTGACATTCTCTGTTCGAGAATCATAAAGCATGCAAGTCTAAGCACGACCACCCATTACATTGATTTTTTTTGTAACTGCAGGCTGTTTGTAGCTAATAAGGATTTTCGAGATAGAATGTGTTTGTTTTATGAATCTTATAGTTCTAGCTTTGTTTAAATTAATTATAGAACCAAGTTGTAAACATGACTTATTAACTAACCGTAAGTAATAACAGACCAATTAAAACATAAAGAATAATTTGATAACTTGGTTGTGCTGTTGACCATAGAAATTCGAAACAGCCCTAGAAAAGTATGAACAAAAATTTATTTGAAAAAATGATAGGATTGAATGGATACATCATTTTGTAAAATTGTGAAATTACATGATTCAAGTGTAAGTTCTTCGACTCATCTTCAAAACATATTTGCTTCATAAGTAATCTGAGTCTTGCTTGAGTGCGGAAGTCGATGTAAGAAGCAAAATTTTTGGATATGTAAACAGGTGACTGAAAATTAAATGCTTTAAATGATCAGATCACATGATACTGTCTAGTAACGTGAAGCAACTGGTAAAACACGTAGGTATCAACCCCGTTAACAAATACAACTTGAAACCGCCTACTAGTAGTTACTCGACTACGTGCTCTATATTTAAAACTGGAATCAACAGTTGCTTTAAATCAAGTGTTATTTCACCTGGACCTTCTATTTCCGGTAGTTAAAAAAGGTCAAAGTCATGGTCATATACTTTCGCATATATATATATATATATATCGGTTCACTAAGAAAATTTATGAACAACAATTGTAAGCCTATGACTTCCAAAGGGATAAAATATAACGGTTTCAAACTAAACCGCTAAGCGTAGAATTACATAGTAGGACACTACAGTGTATTGCAAAGTTTATGACCAGTTTAATAGTGTTTGGTTATCTTGAAACTACGTTTACTCGCTAACTCGTGTCTTATCGAATATAACTTTTAAACTTTTGGATCATGGAAATAATTAAGGATGGAATAGATAGTAACTTGCCAACTACTACCCGTTAAGAAATGTATACAACAAACGTGTTTCGGATGTTATTGCTGCATTCAGCCTTATCCATTATCTATGAGTTGTCATATTCGGCGAATGAAAACTAAGATGTTAAGTGAACGAACAAATCTCAAATGAATACTATAACTAGTATTCTGATTTTATCGAGTGAAGCAATTCAGTAATCCAAAGATATTGTTTCTTCGGACATAGTTATCAGTATCTCCGATATATATTAACGACCATAGAACTAGTTTTCTGTTGAATTTAGTCAATTAGCTTAACATCTACAAGGTATTAATCATTTTTATTTGCGACGGTACTCGTGTTATATGTGTCAAACAGAGGTAATATCCTATTTATCTTATTGAAAAAATTCCACTGTTTATCGATTTTCTTTGTGACATGGAAAAATCGAAACTCACGATATCTTTATAACTATTCTGTGCTGTTGGACGTTCCCAGCATTCTCTATCCTTCACGTCCTTGCAACAAGAGGCTGGAATCTTAACTAAAATTAATAGGAAATATTAGGCAAATTACTAGTTTGTGTAGTCCGACATGTAATACTTTATTTTACGTCCGACGTACAAACTCCTCAGTAAAATGTGTGTGTTCATTTGTATAACGATCTCTGTTTATCAAAAAAACTAGCAAATCATTTGTATTTTATAAGCATACAATCGTTGATAAAGTATTCGACTATTCAGTATACACTTCAGTATTCTAATAATCTTAACTGGGCATTCTGATAATCCATCATATATGCAAATGAATTTGTTGAGTTCAATAAATTAAAAAAACTTCACTGCAGTAGGTTCAGATTACATTAGTTTCAATTTATCTATTGCTAGTTTTAAAGTAAATTTTTTTCGTCATAAACTTCTCAGTAGTTTAGAAATGATTCTGTTTTAAGAAAATGAGATAAAAAGGAAATACAGCATACGATTGTTTCGCCAAAATTTTTAATAACTTATTAATGTTAGTATGAAGTATGAAATAATGTAAGTTTGTTTACCTATTACAGGTGCATTACTTGTTTGAGAAGGTGTTATCTATCAAGACAATGAAAGAGTCACAACTAAACCAGCTACCTCATAGAACATAAAATCTTCGAAATTGCATGCAATGATGAATCAAGGTTCGCTAAGCAACTTCATCAAATTAAACCCCTTTAAGATGTATTTCAAATTACTGCACTAATTGCAGACACATTCAATTAAGGTCACATTTCCAGATGAACTTCATATGTAACATCTTCTAATTATTGAAATGAGTAAAAAAAAACTAGGCATTTCATTTCAAAGCTCGATATCATTAGATGACAACAGACTACTCACCAACTCACTGACTCATGTTACAGTTTCAGTCTACGATTAGACTACTACTACATAGTGAATCTAATAACAGTACTCTTCAAATAGCTTATTGGATATACATTTAAAACCATCTAAACAATTATCGATGAGTATCTCGTATTGAACGTAATAAATTAGAGTACGCATAAAATTTCTGTTTCCAACTAATGGAAAATTCTCATTAGAACATGAAGAGTTACAGATAAGATTAAACGTGATATAGATCAGTTAGTTTGTTTAATTTCACTTCATACTGAATGTATCTCGTCAAGTCTACAATGAATAATCATGATTTATGGATGTTTGAATATGATGCAGTGGCTATTCTGAACCAAATTCAGTAAAAGTTTATTGAAACAGTCACAGTCAAATAAATTTCACACTGTTCTCAGTGGAATATCACAGTAATTGTGTGAAATAATTCAATAAATCACTAAAGAAAAAAAATCCGATTTCAACTAATCTATGAACATGGACAAATAAAAATAGCATTTCCCAGTAAACCATTAAGTGATTATTATAGAACAAAGGAATCACACTTACAATTTTGTCGTTTAAATGATTCATTATCTTGAAAGTCACGATAGTCAAATGAACCACAGCATTTATGCTTGATTAAAATTTCAAGAAAAAAAAATAAACATAGAGATCCGAATGTGTTAAACTAATCAGTTACAGCATGAAAAAAAAATGACTTTTTGAAAGCTGACTAAACATTTCATTGAATATCTATCATCTAAGACCTATTTAAAAAACACAGATATTTGAAGGAAGAATATTGTTTTCAGTGAATTCTCTTCAGCTTCTATCCTAATTAAACATCCATAAAAGTGACCAGGTGGCTGGCTTAAGGCAAATTACATCGTTTACAATCATAAACTGTGAATTTAGGTGTTGTTCGGATGGCTGATATGAAGTAATCATTTGAATTATCAATTTATACGTAAAATGAAATAGTGAGATCAATAATCAAAATAAATATGGTTAACATTACAAGTTAGGAATCACGTACTATGTAAGAACAACATGAATAAAGTTTAAATTAGTAGTCAATAGGAGTGGATGTTGAATAAATTTCTCAAAGCTTTACAAGCGTTGTAAGATTAAAGGTAGCAATGATAACAATATAATAATAATAATAATAATAATAATAATAATGATAAGATTTGTGACAAGTTGAAGTTATGTAAATGCACAGAGGAGGAGGTTGTATGCAAGGAGTGAGCTGTTAACAGATTTAACTATACGTTTGCTTAACCATACTGAAAGGTGCTCTCGCGAGCACGAAAGTACAAATTCCTCGAACATCCGCCTATGAAACTTGTCCTACAAAAGCAATTGAATTGATAGATACAAAAAGTGGTAGCTGGTCCAGATAAATATCTTTCAATCTTGGAATGCGAGAGACATCAACTGAAGTTTGGCTGTATTCAAGGTTCTTTGGCTCTGTGCAGTTTTAGTATTGGTATTTTACTAGGTGGATCGCCTCTAGATTGTTGACCTGTATACATTAAACTTTTGGTCGCAGTTAGGACTTCTTAATGCTTACTTTTCATGGCTAAATGCTGAATTGTAAATTTCTCCGGATACTTATTTTCTTTTCATGGCAGTTACGTAATGTATACAATTCTTACGCAACTGCGTCTGAGGTGCATATAGTATTATTGGCTCTATATTGAAGTGTATCAGGTTTCTTTTACGGTTGTCAAAGAACAAAGCTAGGAAAATTTCTATATTAACCAATCGAAGTAGCTGTCTTGTTTAAGTTTCGTTTTAGTGACCTATCCACTCTCCTTGCATGTAGAACAGCTGGAGTTGGATGGCAGAATAAACTTCATTAAATTTGATGGGTTTCTCAGCTCGGTCAGTATGGCCTTTACAAAGAATGAACGTATCATCCATATATCGACAGTAACATGAAAACTTGTCAGTTTGCGAGAAAACTGTCAGCCAATATGGGGCCTGTTGGTGAACCAATCGCTACCCCACCTATTTCTCTTTATATTTCACCATGGAATCGGAAGTTGATGTTATTATTAGTATCATTATTGATTTTATCATTATTTTATAACTGTAGAAAAAAATATTCTTCGTTCATACACCTGTGTTTTAATAATGATGGGAATTATTCAGTGATTAACATTGTTACGAAATATTTGTTTATCTTTGAAATATCCTTGTGTTTTGCGTGTAAAACGGAAGCATCCACTGAATAATAATGCCGGTCATAATTTCAAAGCCCAAATTGTTTTTGAAACCAAAAAAAAATATGGACGCTTCTATTTTCAGAAATCTTAATTTCATTCCAATTTGACTAAGTAAACTTGTATTTCTCTGAAATTGTCAAAATTAATGATTTTGTTGAATGGTCAGACAAATGATAGTTTGTGTAACCTATTCTAAGTATGTATAGTTGACAGTCTTTAGTGAACACTTAAACAGATTGTGAATGCAGAAATATCCTAAAACTTGTTTTTCATATGTGATCCGAAGACACTATATTCTGTATTTTAGGTGGATTTGTTCACACAGAATTCTAATTGTATACAACCAATGACTTTGGACTGATTAAAGGTATTCTGCAATTAGAAATCTATTAGTGACACTATCATTATAAATTATTTTAATAATGAAGTTGTGAACACATAAAGATCATTTAACACATTTAATGTATAACAATAATATCAATAATTCAAAAATGGTGCATCAGTTTGCCCGAAGATTGTACATTGATCACTTAACCACCAGTCTGCTAAGCATATATCATTACCGATTGTAACAATAGATACTAAACAAGAAAAAATAATTATTTCATATTGCGTCAATTAAGTTGACATCCTAAAGCTTAATTCAAATATTAGTCTCATTAATGATTGATACATGGAAGCTGTAGATCGTGGATTTTTTGATCAATACGTTTTATATAACTGAAACTGTTCCACTTGTATTGTCGGTCAATAACAATGTTACGCTTGAATGCATGAGATTTCAAGGAAACCGTCCCGACAAAACCAGCAAATGACAATAATAACCAAGATCAATTGGTTGTATATGGCTAGATTTCTGTGTTGAAATATCTCACAACATTTACAGCTTGCCTAGTGATCTAGATAAAAAAAAACGATTCTATCATACATAAAAGTCGACTGTGTTTTGTCATAAGACATTAATTTCAACCAGGTCGTTAACAAAAACCCAGCAATTAATCCACATCACCAACACACTTATCTTTCAAAAAAAACTAGAAAGTAGTAAAAATTTGATTTGAACTATTTTGTGAATTGAGTTTTTTTGGAAACTGTTCATGAAACACCTATTCATCATTTATTTATCAATGTCATTCATGATATTTGTTTATATTCACCATAATGCAAATCATTTGCACAATCATTTGAATAATTTTTATTTCTTGATATACTTACACAATTTCAAATGATGGATTACCACTGATTGCCAATTGTTAATTTGACCAATTCTTATCCAGTTGTTGTTTGTTTATGTTTCATCGTGCAACTATCATGTGATTGTGCAAGTTACACCATGGATCATTGGTCTCGTTATTGTTTACGTCATTATTTTGTTGTTGTTGTTGATGTTGTTTTTTGTTTTCGCTAAACTTAAATTTGATGCATGAAACATTTCTAGCAGACATACAGACGGTGAATATGATGGAATTGTACATATTGTGACGTAATCACATTTAAATGGTATTCTTAAGCTTTTCTACTGGATAATCTATTACGTCTATTTTTTTTTTCTTGTTTAAAAATCTAATTTAGCATAATTTCAACTCGGTGTTGTAAAGGCAGGGATGTAGAATCAGGAGTAAACAGTAAGTTCAATGAAAGATGGCCAGCCAGTCATAAGTGATAATTCTTGGGGCTATAAGTGACTTTGATAAATCATGTTTGATCTCATTGAGATTACTTGATAAAAAGTTACTTAGATATGAAATGAATAGAATGATAAGCTTGTTATTCGATTAGTCCTAGTTTTACATTTGTGTCAGTTCGCATGACTCATGCACAAACTGTTCCTGATTATTTAATTGGTTCTGACTAAGTTGTGATAATATGATATAACACCAGCACCTCGATGTCAAACTTTTACACTTAATAGACAATTGAGTTACAGAGCATAGCATCGTGGCTAGTGTCAGTTTGTGATCGAAAATCCTAACAATAATTTGGAAAATTAAACTCAGAACTCTAGCCTAACTCTGAAGACTTAAACCTAAGGTTTTTTCATTACAGCTGGTCGGTGTCAGCGGATGACAGAAACCCTATAAAGAGTGATAACACAAATTCATAACACTAGCCCGGCTTTTAATTGGTGAACTTGGCCTTTTCTTTAAACTACAACGAATAATTCAATATGTAAGGGTTAGCTTATTCATTCCGACGCTATTATTCCAATGATATTTTATGGCTTTTACCTCTCCGTAGTTTTATACTAGTCACCGTCCTCGGATTGGCTGGTAGGCCGGTCAACATCGTCAGTATATTTGTCGTTGTTGTCAGTGACAACAGCTTACTGATTGATACATGGCCTTTATTTCTTAATCTATAACTCCCTATGGACTATCCGATATCCAAAAGTCAGTCAATTTCGATTTGATCGTGTCTTTCTGTAATCGCAACAGCTTCTTTCACTTAATCAGTCATTACTATGATATTTCATGAAGTTTATTAACTTGATTTTAGTGTGCTAATTTCAGAATAAGCTGTTAAAAGTTGATCGGTATTCCTCTAGACAAATAGATTAGTGAAAGTGTACTTGTATTAAGTATTGATGTATAGTACTAGTACAGTAATTCTAGTATAATGCATAGAGAACATAAAATAGGAAAATGGATTCAAAACTAAATGGGACTTTTCTGTTACAGTAGAAAAAAACTGACAGTAATTTTTCAAAAAATAAATACATGCATTTCTTACCTTTTGTTGAATTTCATTGACAAATGTAGTGAAGCCGTTGTTTGATGGAAAAGTATTGTCCATATGATAATCAATGGTAAGTGATCTTCTATAACTGATGCCCAACTCATCACGGAACTGGAATTTAAGATACAATAATTTAAATAAACTCAATGAAACAAGAGATCAATCATAATAACCGAAAAAACAAAGCAAGTTATCCATAGGAATTTAAAAAAAAGTACAAGATACGAAGGATTATTTCATGATGCACTTCTGAAGGTCTGTCTTGCATAATTAAATAAATAAAGAAGTTGAATTTGCGAACGTAATGAAAACGAAATTTGTAGGTTTCACATTCGGAACATTGATAATAGCAGTATGTTACCGAATAAATATTGTGTTCTAGACTGGGATTTGCTATAGAATCATTTACACAATCCATACAAGATCATACCAGGGACATTTGAACGTCACTGCAGACATATTATTTACCTATTCAATGGTTTTGATTTTCTGCTTTCAATAGATTACCATCATCTTAGATCGCCAGAGTTAGTGTGGTTCGGTTTCGGTTGAGCTGACATCAAGTATCATCAACATCAGATCAATATGACATTCAGCATAAAGTAAGTTACTAGTGAGATATTGCTTTTTACATGATGCTGGTTCTTAAATAAAACAACCTCTCAATGATACCTAGTTGAATATATTTTGAAAAGATGGAATACGTAGTGATAAGGAATGCAATTCCGGGGATTGTCAATGATGGTATAATTTCAACCAACAATTGCTTTCTTTCAAGACAATGCCGATTTTGATAGAATGGTGAGAAGAGGTAATTGATCTGGAAAATGTGATGTATTTGCGCTTTATATTTTTGAAAAATCTGGTCATACATATTTACTTGTCAAGGAATTCTATAATAAAAGTTCAGTTAAATGAAAGATTGATATCAAGAGAGCATTCAAAACATTGCGCGGAAACGTTGAAGGGAGAATTTTGAGGTATATGTAAGTATTGGCTATTCGTAAATTAACCCCCCCCCCGCCTTATGTGTACAGAAACAGTTTGTTATCACCTTAAATTTACCCTGATAATCTTTAAGCCATTTTATGGCCTAGTTTAATGCGACAATTTCCTACCTTTCTTGTTCTCCCTACATGATGTTAATATTCTCTATCCTTGATTTACAATTATCACCTTACGTTTATTTGAATCTTTATTTAATTGACCTTTTATTATTCTTCGACAGGTTCATTCCAAGTGAAGACTGGTGTTAGACAAGGACGCTAATTCTCACCCTTTCTCTTTCTCCTGGTCATCGACTGGATTATGAAGACGTCAACATCTGGAGGGGAGCACGGTATCCAGTGGACAGCTAGGATGTAGCTGGATGAACTAGACTTCACCGATGATCTGGCTCTTCTATCGCACTCGCAACAACAAACACAAGAGAAGACGACCAGTGTAGCAGCAGCTCCAGCAGCTTCATCAGCAACTAGTCTCGACAGACAACAAAAAATGAACCAACCAAATCAGTCTTTATGGAGATGCTTTGGAGGACGCAAAAAGCTTTACATATCTGAGGCAACATTACTGATGAGTACGGTGGACCTGAAGTAAATTTGATGGCGTGGATCGGCAAAGCAAGGGCTGTATTTTCATAACTGAAGAACATATAGGACTGAAAACCACTATCTACAAACACCAAAGTCGGAATTCTCAATACAAATGTCAAGACGGTTCCACTGTATGGGGCGGAAACTTGGAGAACTACCAAATCCATCATCCAGAAGGTCTAAGAATTTATTATTAGTTGTCTACTCAAAATCAACTATATGTGCTTAGTGAATAGGTTAAGGAACTTTCAATTAATTTCATAATGATCTCTGCAATATTTATTCATGCAATCTGGGTTTCACAACTTTTAAATACTTTCTGAGTAATTAATTACGTAAGCCTAATGGCAGTAAATAGCATACTTACCATCTCTATTGTTTCATTTGCTTGGAAGTGGAAAACAGTAAATTCAATATTAAGATATAATTAGTCAAGGTGAAAATCGTTCATTTTTATGACTTTTCTGTTGTATACATTTTAAAGCCGGTTATCAGACAAGTAAAGTATTCTTTCAAACTATTTCTGTTGCAACGCATTTATACTCATAATTAAAATATGGGACTAATGTTTTTTTTTGAAAATGAATAATGAGAATAAATAGTTTAGGAAAACCAAATTCTACTAAATTCTACAACCATGGAAGTTGTGTTGATTATTCAACTGGTTCCACAAAAGAAAACTAATCAACTCACCCAATGTTTACGTGTTCCAAACACAATGGTGAATACAAGCAACGCCAAAAATATCACGAGAAGAAATGTTGCATACTGAAATATATTTGATAGGGAAACAACAGAAGTATCAAGGTAAGATAAAAACAAGTTAGTTTCTCTTCATTTCTACTTCTGATAGTTGAGAAATATGGTTTTTTTAATTTTAATAGTGAGAGAATAAGGGAAGCCACCAGCATTAAATCAGTTTGCATTCAAAAATTGTTCAATTTAAGCTGTGAACAGTAGACAATCCAGAAAATCATGCTGGATAGCATCATCATCATCATTTAAGCGTAACTCTTAATCAAAAAATTCTCTGACGAAGATATCTGATTCAGTATGAAAGACATGTGAAATAAAATTAGAGATTAAAGAAACAAAAAAAACCAACCAGACTGAGAATAAATATATTACATGAGCTAGCTAGCTAGCTGTAAGCATCCGTTTATCTATGAATTTACAACAATCCAATATTTTCCTCATTTAATGTCAATTACTTTTTGTAAAACTGTAGTATTTTATTAAATAACTCATTCTTTGAACAGCACCATACAAGTTTCAAACACTATATCGATTAACTATTATTGCAAACTTAACTTGTATACACACCATGTCACATAGCAAACAAATGATGGATATAGTACAGTTAGGCTGCGTCAACTTAATTTACACTGACAAAAAGTTTATATTATGGGGAAACGAACGAATAACATCATCTCGTAACAAACATTATTATAGAACTACTTACAATAAGCTAGTAGACAATATGACAATCAGAAATGAAAAGTGTAGACGTGTAGACTTGAAAATATATATTTCACATCAATTCAAGGTATATGAAAATTGTATGTAATTTATACCACTGTCATTGTGGAAAGTTAGACGACTAGTCTGTCGCCATATACTATGAAGGACAACATAAACACTATTTGAATGACACCAGCCTTAAATGACCTTACTCCTTCCTATTCATGTATATATATGTAGCTATTATTATTAATCTTTGTTTCGCTAATTCCGTCTGTCCTCAATATTATATCATAATTCATTGTTACACCCCTCACTACATACGTGTATGGTTGTAAGCATCTGATGAGAAACCACAAAATAAAATGAATTCATTTATTGTCATGGTGTCATTCATATTCCTAGCAGGATCAACTTCTTGATTGTTGAAAGTCTACCTGTTTTGTGACATGATCGTTCATACGTAAAGAATTAGTGACAGTGATGCATAATGGATTATGAATTCATAGTTAGGACATTTACCTCAGAAATTTATATGTTTGATATAAACTAAACCGACCGTTAAATCGGTATTTTATGACATACCAAATTAACGCATATAACTACAGCTACAACGCACTCCTGTTATAAAACATCTGTTCATGGAGCGTCTTTTTCATGAAACTGTGGAGATGGCATGACAAACTTAATTTGTAAACAGTTTTTGATACTATTTGTATTTATTTTGTTAATTTTCACAGCTTGTACATTCACTATGAAATTGTTGTACATTTTGTTTAAGTGTGTGATCTTGGATATATCAGGCGCACTTACTGCTTTCATTTTCCGTTCACTGTACAGCTAGCACGGCACTCACTGCTATACTCTATCAGATACACTTTATACATACATTTGGAGTTCTCACATACTTATTGGATTATATTACAAGGAATAATACGTATATTATCTACTTTATAGACTGCAGTCACACACACAAACTGATCTGTGGACTAGCATTTCAATCGTCATATTAAATTTCATATAATTGTGGTGAAATGCGACCAGAACAAATCGAACACACACAAGTAGCTGCATAAAGTAATGTTCTTATATTTTTATTGTATTTATCGCATTTAACTGATATATTTCAATATACATTTATTGATATTCGATAATTTTGTTAATATTTTGAAATAATATATTGATTGGTCCACCGACTTTTGAATTAATTACTTACTCGTAATATAATTATCGACATTTCCTTGTTTCGAGTATCTTTTTTTTAATCATGCATAATTTGCACTCAGATTTTTAAATTTTGCTTTAAAAATTAGACTTCAGAATTCAATTGAACTATAGATTTTTAAACCTAATCAATAGCATTTTGATGATGTCTAATAAACAAGTGCAGTATTGAACATTACTTCTTTTGTTTATGCTGATTCCCATGAACTTTTACTTGCAAAAGATCACTGAGTTACTTCAGCGAGTTGAGGTTTGAATTACGTTAGCTCAGGTAAATTGAAAAATTCAACACAGAAAAATGGCCGTTATGTCATTTCACTTCTTCTTCTAATTGGAAATAGAGTTTTTTTTCACTTTTATGCTACGTTTCAGTTTAGATTATGAGAATCTTTTGTCATTCTTCAAATGACTTCCATGATTGACTGCCATAAAATTGATCAAATACAATATAATATGCGAGAAATATTTCACTTTTTTTAAATAATTTGAAAGTATTTTTGCTGTCAGTAACTTACTAAGCCAAGTAAGATTTTACTTTTGCAGCATACTCCACATATTCCGCACAACGATAATACGCAAATGAATAAACCAAACAAGAAAACTGCCAAACCATAAGAAGCTGATTTGTAATAATAATTGAGGAGAAATAACAAAGCAAAAAAAACCTTTAATGAATTTCAATATTAATAATACATAGAATTTGGGCTATTAGTAAACTGTGCAGAATCGCATCTTTTATAAATACACCAATCAGTGTAAGCAAATATTCTATTCATTACCGACAGTATAACTGAATTCGTTCGACAACCTAACTCAAGGTGAAAAGCACAGGAGCAGTAAGGTTTTGTTGAAAAAAGCAGTATCAATTTTTAAAAAAATCCTTTCTTTGACCATTTTATGGAAAGCCTTGAAGATAACGAAAGCTCTGTAGCTAGGTTGGAGGATATTAACAACTGGACTTCTAGCTAAGTACTTGGGAAACTGTACTCGTTTTAGATATCAAAAGTCACTTAGAAAGTGTACTATTAATTAGTTTTCCAAGGGGTGTATAATCGGCTTGCAATTTAAACCTTTATTTAGATTGATGTTGTTTCAGAATAAAACTTATTGACTGGCAAGAATTTACCAAATAAAGTTATTCTTTCTTCGACCAATTTTTGAGCAGCTTCACGTGCACTTTCATCATTTATCTCTTCGATAATCGCAGGCGTAATTCGCTCAACCAAAAGTTTTTCATTCCATCGTATCAAAGCACCAAAAACCACAAGTCCTAAACCAATAACCTATTAAAAATTCATAAAAAATATGTTTCAACAACTAGAATAAAAAATTAAACTTAGGATGTAAAACATTACAAGTAATATTAAATTACAATATTGGTTATCGCACGATTGACTTTTATGCTGGTTGACGAGTAATAACTCTAACATAATGAAGATTAGAAACTTGTAAACAGTTTTTCTACAAAAATCTATAACGACGCGCATCTATGCATTTTGGATGAGTAACATCTTTTTCAAATACGATACAAATATAGGAGAAGTGTAATTCTAATTAACATATCTAGCTCATTCAATAACAAGATACCGTCAATGCATCAATCAGCCAGTTACAACGTAGAACCTTGTCCGTTAGTACATCAGTTCAAGTTACTGTATAACGTTGGCAAAGAGAGATGAAATTGTCAGTTCAAGCTCCATAATAGTAGCATTACTGATAATAGAAAGGATTAGAGATTGAAGATATGATTCGAGAGATATCCACCGGTGAAAAGAATTTAAGACAGAGAAAAAGTTGTCATGAGGAATCCAGAGGATTAGAATTCGAGAGAAGACGGACAATGGATGCATCTACATCATCGTAAACGATTTTGAACCATGTCATTCAATTCTCTAACCACCAGCTGCGACTGTTTCTTGGACTCCAGCCAGGTAATCTACATCTGCCGACATGGCTTAGTCCAGTTGTCAGTGACTTCATGGATTAGTGCCTTATTTTAGTTTGGCCACCCCTAGCTTTCTTCCGGTCTGCTCTCACATTTGACAACATCGCTCATTGAAGTGGTCGGGGATCGGGCATATGTAGCACACGTTCCAACCACCTTAGTTAATGATAATTCATTAATTCATCAAATGACTTGCAATCCTAACCTATTATCCTTTTCTTTTAATCTAAGCACTGCTTACTCGGTGGTGCTGGGGTGTGTGCTATCGACAATGAAGCTTATAAGTAGTATTTAGTTGAGTGTTTCCTTAAGTTGCTGCCATAGAGAAGAATGTCCAATCCTTATGTATGGCGAGACCAAAGTGTATATGAGACAAGAAGGGATGTAGAAGAAGACAGCCAAGAACAAGCTCGTTACGAAAATCAGTGTTTGAAGATGATTTGTGCATGTTCTGGCTAATAACTCGCGTCTTTATCCACTCATAGTAATCTCCTTTGTCCATCGAAATCCCAGATTAAGCGAGCAGTGCTGAGATACAATATTAATAGCCTGCTAATAACCTCTATCTTAATGGCGAACAAAGAGAAATGCTGTTCAGTAGACTCTTTCTTTGTTTAGAAAACGGGTATCTCACCTAAGCCATAAGTGACCTTAGCCGATCAAGCCTTCTGTATCCGTGACGAATTTTCGCCAAACACCAGGACAACAGCCCAGATGAGGTTCCCTAAATAAGCGAAGTGGTCAACACACTCAACTACTTCACTTCATATCACTAGTTCAGGTGCCGATGCAACCCAATCCTGAAACAACATTTTGCATTTCGAGGGAGAGAATCACATCCTGAACCTGCTTGTATTGTTGCTTAAAGTGGTCGGAAGACTGCATTTTGTCAGAGTTTTCATCAAACAGTACGATTTCATATGCATCTTCTAAGTCAATGAGTGAACCTCATGCTAGAAGTTCAACCTCTGAGAAGTCTGACGACAAATGTGATAACTCTGAAAGCATGCTCATGATGAAGTTAATTAAAAATGGGGGAAGTGGACAACCTTGACGAACACAATTTGAAGTCAACATGTCGTATCAAGGTCAAGGAATACAACTATTGTCGGACGTCTGAACGTGTGGGAATATCTGGTCTATGCATCCACATCCAGGTCTAAAACTAGCCTGGTTCCCAGATTCTAGCTAAGTCCTCAGTCAATCCAATCGCTAAAACTGGATCGCCATCCTTAAAAATCTCAGATTTTAATCCATCGGGTTCTTTATTTATCTCCGGCCTTAGATTTCCCATACCCATTTCAACTTCAATAGGAATTGGAGTTTTTACACCAATTTGCCTAGAGATCGGCGGTAACTGAAGTATGGCTGAATGCCAGTTGAACTGCTCCCTAAAGGGTTCTGCTTATCGATCCGATCTCCTGGATTGAGAATAGCCTTATTTCACTCTGACATTCAGGTTGACTAGAGATCCTAGGTAGTTTAGGTGCTCCTTAAGGATAGATGTTGATCTTTGTCCTTAAAATTAGTGTTTGCTAGAGATAGGTGGTTATCTAGGCATGGCTGCAAAAAAGGACAGCCATTATTTGTTGTTTCAGCAGAGACACTATAAGATCCATCTAGGTGCAATTCCACTTGGTTTATTCCACCAACTGGCAGCCATTATCATTACATCAGACCGCCTAGCTTTTTGAAAACTTTCCGTAAAATTTATCTTTTACCTCATCTGAGTTGCAATCAGTGGGAGAGTAATCATAGACAACGAAGAGGCAGCGATTAGTGTCCCTATCTTTTGAGTTCCTACTGTCCAGTTTAGTCGGACAGTGTACAAGCGGCCGTCTACTGGAATACAGCTTAATTTGATCTTGTGCCCAGACCAACGAGGTCGCGGGAAGCAGCAGTGGGGCCTCCAGATGTACGAAGACTTTGACAAGGTGCGGTCAAATCATTGTCTATACTCGGATCCTGTATGTGCGTTCCGGAGGCGCAGCATTCATCAAAGGCGCGAGTTTCTAAAGTCCTACCTAAGGAAGCCCGTTGTTCTATCTGGCACAAGGTCCGGACATTAAAGGCGCCAACATGTAGTTTAGAACATGACTTCAGGGGACCGAAAGTAACATAAATAAATTACATTAGCAGCGCAAGGCAATAAACATATGCGAAAAGGGTTATTCGTGGAGATTAGAGTTATTAAGAGGTGAAGGAAGGATTTGTTTGTGACCGAGTTGATCTCGTGTTCTGTTAGGAGTATGAGGGCGGTTGTCACTTCCCGGCTGCCTACAACGAGGAAAGGTATTTCTTCTTGAGAGACCAGTAAAGAAAACTGGGTTAGTGTTCGTCTTAGTGACATATCAGAGTGACCGCAGATCCTAAGGGACAACTTCTTGTGGCCAGCCATGAAAGGGCCTTTTTATGCGAAGATTGTGACGTGTTGGCTCCGCATTTTAAGAAGCCTTATCACCGGAGACTGAAATCTGTAAGGTAGGGTGAGATGTGACAGTTTTAGGGTCTGGCTTGGTAGGACCTGAAAGAACAGGTGTTTCAACCAATAAAGCTTAGTTGGGTCTTCGAAATAGGCAAGCCGGACAACCACGTCAAGGTAACAGCTACGGCCGTCATCACTTAGTCAACAGTTTGTTCCTAACGAAAAATCATTTTAGTTCAGCTTAAAAAACTGATTGCAAAAACTACATACACCTTGCGAAAACACCAATATCTATTTACGCAATAAAGAAACAAAATACAATACTACATAAAACTTCGTCGTTTTTAACATGAAAAATATTCTAAATTTTAGTGTAGAAGAGACGGAATCCGGCTAACCGTAGAATACATGACGCAAGTTTCATACTATTTGGGACTAATCAGTTAGATGTACCGACATCGCTTCTGGACTCGAAAGCAGCACCATTCACCTCAAACGTCATCATATTAGCCAGTTAGATAACACTTAGCCACTCACTTGTGCAACGCGTATGAGTTTCGATTCAATATGATAGTGGTTTGAACTATCTCTCTATTGATATTTTTAACTAGAAGTAGATCACACATAGTTGGTCAAAATCAACAACGGGATAATGCAATCCGTTCCAAATTGAATTATTCTGTATTTATTCCAACAGACACCATAAGAACGATATCAGCATGGATGCTGTTTAACTTCAATCGTAAAATGACACAACTAACAAATCTTGTTTTACATTTCTGGGTGGTAAAAGAATGGTTAGTGAATTTAATACGCTAATGAGAAGACTCGAGATTTATGAATGTTATCAAACAACTAAGAACAGCTGTAAAACCTGCTTTCTGATTTAAATATTCATTATTGTTTTTCCAAAATAAGTATTTCTTAGTAACATATATATATATACATATACATGCATGTTCGCTAGATAAGAATATTCCGTTGTTTTTATACTGGCAAAAAAAAACAAAATCTACAAGTGAACAACAACAAGTTAGTAAACAAATGGTTGTGTCCATTTTTGTTCAAAGTACTTTTAATAGTAAGACTTCAATTAGGTATGGGCAATTCATTGAAAACCTGACCTGCTGAGCACTCTTGGTAATATCCCAAAAATGACATTTCTTCAGGTGGATATCTCTCTAAACAAATCCAACTTCTAAGCTTTATCAGTCAGTGACTGGAGGTATGGAGGAACTTCAGATGTTAAAACGAAAGTAAGATACCCTGAGATACCCTAGAATATAGTAAGTTCATGTTATTGTGTGAGTTTTGTTTTTCTTGCCTTATTTAAATTTATCAAGCGATCAAGATCTATGAATCTTAGAAGTGTAAGTCACTATTCTGTGAACTCGTTGAGATTCCAAGTCAATACAAATCGATTTAGAACGTCAAGCAATCATTGACTATGCTAGTGAGTAGTGAAAGTTATCGCTTGTTTAGTGAATATTAACTATTTGTGTTGTGGAGAGAATAATATTAGTTTGATTTTAACAAACGAAAAATTTGTCCCCATATGCTACAAAAGACCAACCAGTTCAACCGTGGATATCAACAATGCGAAGTATAAATCTTTACAATTCATGATATTTGAATCACTGGTTGAATATATTAGAATCGGTAGCATTAGTCTTATAGAAAATATAGTCAATTTTTAGGTACAAGACTTCTCTCACTTCACGTTTTGATGAACTAATAGTTTCACAGTCAGTCAAATAACGTGACTAAATGAATCGTGACAAGTGGTTTTCCAGTTGTTGCTGAGATTTCTGTAACTTTCTAGTCATTCTGACTAGCGAGAATTCCGAGTCACAAAGTTTTAGCTACTTCTTGTTTGATTATTTAACCCAATTAAGTGCATGTTTGGTTGTCTTCTGCTTAGGTTTCTTTGAGATTCGAATTTGATAAACGAGCTAATTATTTTTATGTGAGGAAACTTGTTACCTTCTACTAGTGATGGTCAAATAATATTTACTTACAAAAGGCTGTATGGGATGGTTTTTGTTAAGGATAAGGAACTACTAATTGTTTAATCAGGATAAAATATTGATTTTAGTAGATGTTTCTTGAGTCGAAATAACTAAAAGTCTGGTTTTGAATTAGACAGAGGAAAAACAAAAGCAAGAAAAAATAATCTCTTTTGAAAAGGTACACATAGTTAATTTATTTTAATCTCATATATTCGGATCAGACACAATAGAATGAATGCCTAAAGTATCTTATTATTAATATTAGCCTTGTATCTACGTGTGGACTGTTCAGTGATGTACTAAGTAGTGTTATTTTCTTGGTGTTGTACGTGTCTGTGACCAGTTCAATTAATTTAGGTTATCATACAAAGAAAGAAAATTTTCCCCTTCTTCACACTGATCAGTAGTTTTCTGATTAGTTTTAATCTCGTTTATTTAGATAATTAAACATACAAGTGATTGATATTTCAGAAAAAATATTTCCCTTCATTGTTTCTTTTAACAAACAGACCATAAATTGATTCGTCGTCTCAATTTACAATGGAAAGTCATAATATTTACTTATTGTCACAATCACTATGATGTTAACCCAAATAGTGTTTAAAGTTTTGAGTTTTAGTATTTTCAATTTACACGTATGAGAAGTTGGTAAAAGAAACACAACTATTGACATACTGAAACTAATTTAAGGATGTTCGAATAATTTTATGAGTTAGAATATATATACAAAACAAACTTCATTATTCTTTACGAATGATATACCACCGAAATAGGAAAAAACCAAATTGTTCACACGAAAGCAAATCTCCAAGACGCAACTATTGTTCGTTCAATATATATATATATATGTGAGATAAGCAACCAAAGATCTTATACATTTTAATCATTTAGTAGATTTATGATCCACAAGAAACTATTGGTCGAATTGACGAGAGAGTCACGAGTTCTTAGTCAACATTTCTCATAGTTGAGTAGCTTTCTATTATACAAACACATGGTATCAATCAGAAAAAAGCCCACTTAAAATTACATGTGGGAAAAATGTCTCGACAACAAACTATACCTCGAAATAGTTGCATCATTCAGTAGTGTGTTTAGGTGCACTGACGAAGTTTTCGATATATTCGGACATTGGAAATACGGTCAAGTATAACGAAAGTAAATTTTGAAATATGAGATTTACTACAGCGAAAAGGATTCTGAATGCAAATATAATCGAATACTATAGTTGCGTTGTTTAGAATGAATTTAAACGAAACTACGGCTTAATTCATCATCACAGCCGCTGATAGTTCAAATTAGAAACTTGAAAAAAGCTTAAGATCTAACACTGTAGTCTACTATTAATACTGACATTTGTGTTAGTCACAAACCTGGTAGTGAATTTGTATATAGGTGTTTTGTTTGTTGTTCATTCAGGATTGTTCATGAGAAAACTTTTGTTGTAATCTTAAAGAAATCCTTCTCGTATATATGACTGAAAAACTTCAGGTACTTTTGTTGGCAAGAAAAAATATTCGCTTGCTACACACTTCGACAAACGTTATTCAAAATATCCGGAAAGCTCTATTTATCATTTGGTCAGGAATGATGTTGGACCGGGTACAAATATCAATCATTTCATGTTATCAAACTTTACGCTATCGCATTAAAATGAAATCAATCAGATGAAAATTAAGGTTGCTGAAGTAATGAGGTTAATCAAGACAGGTCGACAAAAAAAACAAATGAAATAAGTTGAATTCAGAACAGAATAAAAATAAAGCAAATTGAATATGCTCATCTACATTACAATCAATGTATTCAATCAATTGACCTACCAAAAGTAAAAACAATAGTCATTTCAAAAATATTCTCTTGAATGCAATCCTTTGGTCGGTCCATTTACTTTAGCTTTAAGTAATGTCCATGGTATAATAAACAGATCTTGACAATGGTATTGTATAGTTCAGTAGTCAGTTATAATTAAAAAGCAGACTATCGGAATCAACAAGATGATCATGCCCGAAGGTTCTCCAGGACAATCATATAGGGAAAGATACTTGAAAACCACGATAAACTTACGTTTTACCTCACAATGATTTACAAAAATAGCAGATTAGTATACAGATAGGTAAGCGTTTATATGAATGACCTAGTGTACGCGAACAAAACTACAGTAATTCAGAATATTCAAAGTATCACTAGTAATAAGTAGCACAGGAAGCCGTTGTCCTTATGATCAAAACTCTATGATGGTATAGCAACAAAGACCTCAATATTTGATAAGCTAGCTTGTTTAGTAATTCCAATTCAGGTTGAAAAGCTAGACCGAGTTAGTTACCATTCCATAGTGTAAAAAAAATAATGAAATAGTTTCACATCATAACTTCTCATCAGATTTTTTTAGTGTGAAAGCGAGTTAACCATTTTTATTTTTAAAATTTATTCAGTAATTTCACGTTGATAGAATAAAATGAACTATTAATAAAATAGTATATGAAAACCAACATTTTAGAAAAAGAGGCATACCACAAGTGGGATGTTGAACAGGACTAAAATTGTACTCGAGATTACTTTACACATCCTGTCGATTTATGAAGTACTTCAAACAGATCCACTCACTACTTTCTGTATGCCCTAACGAAACAAAACAGTGATTTTGATGTTGGCTATTTGTTACCCGAATGAACACAAATGAAAGTTCCTTCAACCAATCAGAAAAGGAATATGATTTGTTACACAAAATTTAAGTGGGCAGTTTACAGATTGGCCAAATATGATTGACCAATCGGACAACGTCAAACTTATTGATTCAGAATGTGACACTTCCATAGGATGAATCTGTCATTTATTTGACGAGCGATACAACGATGTGGAAATAATAGATAACAGTAGTGATCATAACTGTCGTTACTTATATGATAGATTGGGAACGAACGTTAGTATTTGATAACAAGCACGTAGCATTGGATACAGTAAAAACACAAAGACGAAAAATGAATGGCTAGCTAGCTAGATAATAAAACACACGCAGGTTTATATTGTTAAGGAGAGTTTCATTCAGAATGGAAGCCTACATTCATCCAGAAAAAAGATCACGTGCTTTTTAGGATATTCCTGAGGCTTTAATTGAAGGGCATTTTCCTAGCACTGGAGTAAAGAAATGAGAAGTTTGGTCAAACATATATCGCTTTTACATTTTTAGTGGTAATCGAGTCGTGATTGACTATGATCTACTCTAAATACTAATAACGAGCCCGTCACTAAAAAGATAAATAAATCCAGGGTAAAGAATATATTTGCGGGTGATTTCGTGGTGTCAAAAGAACACCGAAATTACGCCATGAAAGTGGGCGTAACAAAAAACAGCTACATCGAAAATATCAACAACACAAACACAAAGTTGCATGTAATTAGTGGTTTTTAGTACTGTTAAAAAAAGGAGTACAATAAAACAGTCTTTGTTACAATTATGTATAATAATAGATGATTCCATTTCGCCAAATGCGTTGTCTTCGTAAAAGCATTCCACTACACATTCATCTTCTGGCCAAATGTTCTCCACTTATCTTTAGTTGAATGCTTTTGTTTACTGACCGCCAATAGTACTTGTTATGTATGTAGTCTATTCCTTCATTCACTTTTTCTGTTATCTGAAATGTCTTGATTAACCTGGTAAAACTCATCTAGAATAGAGTGTCCAATAAAATGTGTCTGCATCAAGAAAAAATACAGTTTTATTTGTTTAGTTTCTGTTGAACTGGAGAAGTTCTTTTACAGATGTTGATGAACGAATGGTAGGTACACCTTATCAACACAGAAAAGAAACTAGGCTAGTAATTTAGAACAGTAACCATTAAATGTGCCATGAACTCAGGTATTCCTTGCTTGTAAAAAATTATTTTACCCAATTATGCTTTATAAAAGTTATAAAATGATGTTTTTAGATGACTGAGGCTTGTTTGTCTATTTTCTTTGAGTTTCTCTTCATTGATTAACGCTTGCCGTTGTGTTGGCCGACGGCATGCAAAACATCAAGTATTATGCAGCTTTCTGTAATGTGATTTTACTGTTTCACTCAACTTAGACCAGATTTTATTATCTTGTTTCATTTATACGTAAGAGTTATTGTTTTTTCTGACCTTGAGGAGTATTCGTTATAGCTGATTTTGAGAAATTGTCTGAAAGCATTGTCTGTCATCTTCATATTTTTTTTTCTCATGAAATGTTCGTTGTTCAAAATAATGTCTTTTAGAATTTCATCTTTTAGTTCTATGATACTTGCAGACTGACCATGACAAAATCCTTCATATTTCTTTTAGTAAATGTGGATTCATCTGGATGATATGTTTAATAATACCCTACAGATTATAATGAATTTCCTGTGTGTAGTTTCGTGACTGTTGTTTATACTAAATAAGATTGGACTTAGTGATAGAAAGTAAATGATTGCTTCCGTGAAGTCATCCCACTTTCAACATACTAATTTTGTTTCACTGTAATTCTTTAAATCCTTTTGACATATTAAAGAAACGAGGAATCAATTGCCAAGCCATACGATCTGTCAAGCAAGTTTAGTAAGTCAAATACTTTGGTCTGCTCGTATGTAACAAACATCTAGATAGCTATAATAATAGACTCCGTGGTGCAGGTCATTGCATTTTCACCTGTCTCCTCTCTGTCACTTCGGGTTGTTAGTTTATTTTACGTGCTCGATTTTTGCACTAACGCTAGGTACTTGGTGGCCATTTGGTGTCGCTGCCTGCTCGAAAAAAGGAGCCCCCATAGCCGTAGGAGTGGCAGGACGAAGATTTGCAGAGCTTCCTGGAGGAGTTTGAGGCCGCGGTGGAGCTGGTGGGGCCCGGGGCGGAGTTGGCGGTGCTGGGGACGCTGCGGGGAGGTGAGGCAAAAGCGGTATACGATAGCCCGGACGGTGCCGCCGGGAAGACGGCGTGGGAGACGGTCACCGGGCGGCTGATGACGGAGTTCGAAAGCCCGGTGGACAGGGAGGAGGCGCCGCAGAGGTTCCGGTCGGCGAGGCTGTCGGCTGATGGTGACCCGTTGGTGCTGGCTGTGGAGCTAACGATGTTTCTGCGCCGTACGCTGCCGAGTATGGACGGGGAGTCGGGGCACAGTTGTTGGAGTCGCAAATTATCGAGAGTGTGCCTGCCGCCGTGTTCCAGCAGCGAAACTAGTGGACGCTACACGTTGGGTAGATGCTGTACCCATTCCAGACCAGCGGGCAAGAACAATGACCGAAGTGGTAATCCGGCATATTGTAGCGCGTCACAGAATACGGAAGGTGATATTAACTGACCAGGGTCCCTGTTTTGAAAGTGAAGACAGCTTATTAAAAGAGGGGACGAGTGTGGTGCGAGCTACTTATAAGTAGTATATGACCTGAGTGTTAACGTAATATCTGACAGCAGAAGATGGGGGAAGATCAAGAAAGGAAGAGTTAGAACACAATGGAATTTGTATGAAACGCATGAATAGTGACGATGGATTGATGTTTTGCAACAGGAACAGTCCAGTTCGATATGATGAACTGATATTTTGCAAATTAACGATTTACGATATGGTTTTCCGATTTTACTGAGTAACTCTGTAATTTTCGTTCAATACAATCCGGTTGCCCCACCTGTGTTCTCGTTCACTACACAAAGACTATCTGCGTAGATACGAATTCTGTCTCCGGTGTGAACTCGAATATAACATCTACAGGTCGCTCTCCCTCGAGAGTTATTTACCTGTCCGCAAGTTCTCTTACGAGTAGATTCGGTACTCAACAACCTCACGAAGGATCTTTTCACGTGATCTTGTCACGGAAAGACCTTCAAGGTTGATGGACACAGTCAGCATTGATCGTCTCATATCAGCACACGTCAATGACAGTAACCTTCCTGGTAAACGAGATTTAATGCTGGACTCGTCCAACTCACTAGCGGGATCCTTATTTTTCCTTCTGATCCCTTGCTAGCGAAATCAAAGACCTCATTCTCACGTCCCACTCAGCAGCACGCTCCATCTGCACTATCTACGGATGAAACTCCGGTTTCATGTCCAGATCAGCAGACCATGCCGCCCTTGACTTCGGATGAGATTGCAGGCTCACGAGGTACGCTCGAGACTACCGTCTCGCGTTCCAGTCGCCGCGTACGCCTACCTATACGCTTTCGCGACCAATATTCCAATCAGCAACGAATACGCGATAGGACACTATCCTCATACTACATGTATGCTACACCTTTCTTTTTTTCCTTTTTTACCCTGAGCCCACGCCTCCAACCATCGAGCTGTTAGTACCGTCAACTTCAGTTAGCCTTGGCGAAAGCTGACCTGATCACTCATGCTCTTTTCAATGCACTCAGTCGATGTTCTGGTTACGAATATATCTGGTTTCGCACTGGTCGTTATCATCGTTTATGGCTCCTTCGCTCAATCTGGTTCCGTCCTACGTCCGCAGCTTAATCTGGTCCGAACCCCTACTAACGCAATCTTCAGACTCTGGATACGAGCCACGCTGGTGTGGCATGCCAATCCGATAGACAAACGTGGCACGTCAACTCGAGCAGCAAACCTGGCACGTTACTACTGATACAGTTCAACGCAGAAGACTATCGGTGAGAACACAAGCTTCATTGGTCGCTTCCTGTTCGTCAACCCTGCCGCACTATAATCAAATGTTGGTCGACCAGCCCCCCCTCCCTCCAACGCAGACGCTATGTATCGAAAGTGTAAACCCTTTGTAGGCGGGGGCTACGCTTCTACGGTAAAAATATGATTTTTGAAAAATAAACATTATTGTACTTGTTTTGTCTAACTGCGTTGCTGACATTTTTCTCTATGTGCTGTTCCCGATTTAATGCCTAATTTCTCCTTCAATAAAACCTTGGAACATGGATTTGTTTTGATATGAATGACGCAATTGTATGGAACATTTAGTGGTGATCATAGTCAGTCTTGACTCGCTGACTAGAATATCATATCCAGTAACCATTGGTATTATTTACTCACCTTATTAGACTGTTTTTGAAGTTTGTTTTATCCTTCAATATGGTTGCTCTAAACAAGTGTAGAGGCGCTGAGTTATAAATGGAACTAGATTATATCAGTTTCAACGAATAATTATCGATTTCTTGTAAAGAAAGTTTCCCACCATTAGTAAAAGTCAGAAAGACTACTTTTTCTAAAACAATATTTTAAAATCAGTTCATTTCAAATGGTCACCATATGCTATGAGAAAATTAAAATGCTGTTTATTGTAGGATCCAAACTGAGGTTTGGACTGAGGAATAACTGTCCAGTTAGTTTAGATACGCGTCTTGCCCAGTAGAAATCAAAACAAGGGATTTGGGTAAATAACGGTTCTAAACAATTTTACGACAGCTATTCCACCAATAATTATTTAATTATTCAAATGAATGATATTCTATCCCTCATGGATAGGTCAGATTCGTTCGACAGATAATATTTGATTGCTTTATAACACAGAGTGTTTCCTATTCTGGAAGAGTGCTTCAATTCACAGTCAAAATGGATGTAAGCCATCCAATCAAAAGAGGAACAAATCAATATGGCTG